GGGGCGGCTTCTCATCAGACAAAACACTGACAAAGAGGATGGCGAATATCCGACGATGGGCGAGAGAAAGGAATAAGGTCAAGCAGCCAGCCTCAGGTGAGGACTGAGTAGGGTATGGACTGGATGCTGCTGCTGCTATTCTTGGCTCCAAGCGTCGAACGGGTAACCCTTCCACGCCCTCGAGAACGAACCGGGTGTCTAGCCCTAGTCGGTTGGAAACGAAAGGCAAAAAAACAGAGAGGGAGTTTTCTTTGACCGACAGGAAGAAAACAGCATCATCCCCTCTTGGATTCAACATCAAGGAGGGAGGGGGGAAGGGGTCTCGCAGGGGAGGGGGGATCGAGCGCGGGAGAGCGGCGAAGGATGAGCGAGGGAGGGAGCATTCGACAGTGCATTCGAAGAGAAAGGAGGAAGACAGTATCCCGGATGAATCTCGTCATTGGACCCCTCTGGTAAGTCAGCGTTCGCAGTTGTTTCCACTTGGCGTTTCAGCGATCCCCATGGTTGCTCTCCCGTCGCTAGCTAAGCCTCGCGGCGCTTGGCGCAGTAGCGATGTGTCTGCAATGTGACTGCTGGGCAGAGCAAGACTTTTTGCCAAGGGCGATCTGGTCCACGGCCTCCATGTTGTGGCCTGCTTAGCGAGCTAAGCTTTAGATGTTGCGGAAGAGGGATACCGAACATAATTAGGTCGAGGGTTACTGCTCCCTATCGGACGAAGGAGAAACAAGTGCCATTGCTGAAGCCAAAACTGTCATTGTTTGCGGACCTCGGACGCGCCCCAGGGATAGGCAGGCACAGGCACAATCGCAGTCAGACCGTCAGGTAGACGACCGCATTTCTTAGTCCATCGTTCTCGCGTGTGCGTGTGGCAGACAGACAGCTGACTGACGGGAGCGTCTCCCGCCGCATAGCTTGGAACGAGCTCCTGTTCGACTAGGCCTCATCTCCCGTGATTGGATTCTAGTTTCTTTCTGACCATGGTCTCGGCGAGGAAACAACCCCTTGCTTGGCCTTGCGATGACTTAGTTCAGGAGAAGGCGGTTTGGGGTTTGGGATCTTTGAAAACGCTGGCGAAAGAGACAGGGCAATATCGGCAAGGTCGCTGACGTATCCACGGGTAAACGGCGCGGTCAACATCGTTTCTGACCAACGCGTGGTCCGGGTTGGAGTCAGCGAGAGAGAGAGAGAGAGAGACAACGGAGTCAACGAGGGCCAATCGGTCGATGGTGGCCAGAGTTGTCTAGGCCAGACCAAGTTTCTGTTGGCGGCTGTTGATGCTGTGGCTGGCAAGCTGTAGCCATGCTTGCCAGGCCAAATTGTCTGCAGGAGACTCGAGAGAAGACAACAAATGATGATGGGTGGACTCGGAGAAGCCCCAGTGCCCCTACTCCTCCCCCCTTCTCGAGTCTCAACTTCTCGTGAAGGCTCCCTCGTTCTCCTGGGGGTCCTCGTGGATGGACGTTGAGTCCAGTCTTTCTGTCGAGTAAGTGGACAGGCTGACAGGGCCTGAAACGGTCCACTGAAGATTCTGAGACAGAGTTGTGCGGCGGGATCCCAGCAGTAAAACTCCGAGCGGCCAAATGTTCCGAGCGGCCCATGTGCCCCGGGCGTAGTAAGGGATCCATACGTCGTTGGGTAGGTAGCGTCAAGTAGCACAGGGCTTAACATAGGTTGCAAGGTACAGGCACACTACTTCGTACACTACAGCAGTAGGTGTAAGTACTCGTAGCGTATCATTTGGCATGTTATTGTTAGTGTGGCGGCGAGCCGGTGAGAGCGTTCAACATCAACGTCCATCCATCCATCCATTCTCCCACCACCACACCATCCCAAAGATAACAAGGACATGGCTTGAGCTGGAGGCCTTATGAGAGAGTAAGTCGACCTTAGTAGCTCCCGCAAAGGCGAGGTGTCGGTGTCGGTGTCGCAGAACATGAGGCCTCGTTGCACGATTTGCAATACTGTTTGTCCCGCAGAGAAACGAATGTGACCGCCTTGCTTGCGCTGAGCATCAAATCATACCCGTAGATCCGTTTCCATTTCATGTTTTGCGACGACGGCTGACGCACTTGGCCTCGAATATTCGACGTTGCAGCCAGGCAGATCACCGCATCGTATCCTCAGGGACCTTACCAGATGGACCCCGAGACCGAAGTGCGAAGAGGCGAGAGAGCACTCTAGGGGGAGGGATAGATCCCATCCCGGTAGCATATCAAGTGCATCCGTCCTATAAAGGCATTTGCTATGCGCTGATTGTGCACAATGTGTGAGAATAGCATGATGGCCAGAGGGCAAGGCAGGCAAACTTGGATATTGAGCCTGAGCTAGTCCGTTCAACTTGCGAGAAAACGGGACGCTGCCCTGCGGCCGGTACAAAGATGAGATCAACTATAATCGGGCTGCTACCGTGAGTCGAGAGTGGACTGTTCTGATGCCCATCGTCTGAACCGGCGCAGGGCCACGGGAGACATGGAAGAAAGTTGTCATGTCGGAGGAAGTAACTCTAAAAGTCAACCTAAAAAGCATTGTACAACGCAGCCTCCGTCGATACCTTGGACTAGAAAAGGTTGCTTTCTTGCTCGGGTTTAGGCTCGGCGTAAAGATGGTTTGACGATAGTTACTGACTATGGGCGTGCAGTGCGGTGGTTGCGAGAGTAAATTGCCCCGGTCTGAATGCGTACGGCTCAATTGGCAATCTCTGCATTGGATGCCCAACAACGTTGAAAAAAGTCTACAAGACGGGCGACTCGGACACCGTCCTTGGCGACTTGGCAAGGTGAGTGACTTTGAGTAATCACCGGTGTATAGAGGTGTCAGAGTCGGGTGGTTCAGAGTCAGCCAGAGTCAGCACCTCGCAGCACACACGGGTTATTCGCTTTCACCGGGGTCACCACCACATTGGCTTACACCATCTTTCTTGTTCGGGAGTAGCGATGGGTGCGCCCTTTTCAGCCCGAGGATCTAAGGTCAGTATCTGAAGAAGGGAGGAACATGTGAGGCGGAGATGATGATAAAGATTGAGATGTGTTGGTATGTGACGTGATGACGGCAAACTCGCAATGAGGTCAGCGTCTGGGTTGAGGAGTCGAACAAGCTTGAACCAACGAGTCGGAAATCTAATTTCAAGGTAGACCATCTCGGGGATTGCGATCCATTTGAGTACACTGGTCAGGGGAGCGTAGGCATAAGAAAGCTTGATCTTGCATACGTTGGCTAAATAAAGTGGGAGGGAGGAGAAGAAACGGGCTTGCAGGACCGCCCACATTAAGGCGCAAAGTATGTCTGGATAGAGCTTTTGGAAGGGGGAAACAAATGTGAAGAACAGGACGCGGCGACTCCATTAGACAAGCTTGGAGGATTACCTGCGAAGAAGTCTTGGTGTTTCTGCCAAGCCGGATAATGGCCGTGGCGGTGGTGGAGGTGGTTTGCCGATTGAGCTGGGGAAGATGAGGAAGACTGGGAGAAGAGAATAAGTTTCTGCCTTACCAGCAAGGCTAAGGTAGACAAAAAAAAAGATGCGCTATGCTAAGATGGGGATAATGACTAAGCAAAGGGTGACTAGGGTGCTGGAATGGAATGGGAAGACGCGTTGACCCACGTGATCCGATATGGCCCGTGCAGAAGCTGAGGTAAAGGCTAAAGTCCGGCTGGCCACGGGAACGGAAGATCATGGCCATCAACGTGCCATCATGACTAATCACAAGGGAACCGCGTCCCCTGCTGTAAGGAACCACCCGTGGGCACCTGGCCCGCTGTCTGTCTGGACCTGTCTGGACCCCGACTCCGTCACTCCGTCACCTCTGAGCATAATACTAGTAGCTAATCCTCAAATGGACTAGTGCAAAGAGATGAGTCTGGTCCGGCCCAATACCGGGGGACTCTCGTCACTCCTGTCACCATTGGTACCGTGTACGAGAGAACGTGACTTTTGCGCCCGACTCGCGCCCAATCAACCAAAGTCACTTGCTATCTATCAAATCAATGCCCCGCTTCAACTCTCCTCTTCCCGTTCTCTACCTTACCTGTTGAACTGTTGCTCTAATTATCCGTATTGGAAGTATCCGTACAAAGTACCTTACCGTCTGCGTCTGCGTCTGCGTCTGTGGACAGCTTCCATCTGCGTCTCACCGGGTTCGTTCACGGTTCAGCTCCAGCCGCCAGCCTCCAGCCTCGTGCATTTTACCGCAAAGAGGTGAGCGCAGCCGCAAACCCGCAGCCGCACCCGCCCTCCACCACGCCCCCAGGCTCAGGCTCAGGCTCCGCGACTCGCTCACTCTCTCTCTCTCTCCTCCCACGTCCCAACGCACGTAACAAACTGGAACGGGGAGCGAACCCACCGCCCACGCCTACGGCAGAGACTGGGAGACCAAAGTCACCAGAGAGTTGGTTCTTCCCCACGCCCAACCCAACGTTCGTTCGCTTCCCATTTCCCGTGCAACGCAAACTCGACGAACCTCCGTCGTCGCCTGGGTCTCTCGGTCACACGCCCACCCGACAACTCTCACCCAACCAAACCTACCTACCTACCTACCACCAAACCCGCCCGCACCGCACCGCACCGTACCGTTGCGCTACACACCCCCCAATCAACCCTTCCATTCATCCAAGGACCTTTGCGCGCGCCCTCTGTCTACTAATTTTTTTTTTTGCTGCTCCCCTCCCGTCGCCACCGTCAGATCCAAACATCACGGCCCTGGCTGCCCGTTCCATCTCCGAACCCGGCCCATATTGGATCGCGACGTCCGTATACGAAAAGTAGGGGTCCAAGACATTACCGCATAACGACCCTTATTACCGCCACTAACCATCACCACCACCGCCCATCTGTCCCCAACTGTCTTGTCTGCCTGACCACCCCCCTCCGACGCTTGGGGGATACCCTTATCCTCCTCCGTCCTGCTCGGCCACTGCCATCCCTCCTCCTCCTCCTCCTCCGCTCTCCGTCCTCCTACCTCCCCGTTCCGTCCGCTCTCGTCGTCGGAGAAAAAATTAAGGACTCAATGTCAGACGATGAGTTCGGCGGCCCGGATGGCCCACCCGGCAGCGCCGGCGGAGACCGCGACAAGCGTGCACCGCGCTTCAGCTGGACGCCCGCCTACGAGGCCACCTTCTTCCGATCCCTTTGCGACTCGGTCCAGCTAGGCTTGCGCGAGAATCACTCCTTCAAGGCCGATGCTTGGGATCGTGCCGCCACCGCTCTTCGCGAGAAGCACGGCGCATACCCGACAAAGAGCCATCTCGTCAACAAGTCGGATAATGCGCGCAAGAAATTTCGTCTCTGGCGTGGCCTTCGCGAGGACCCCGAGTTCCTCTACAACCCGACCACCCGTACCGTCACCGCTTCCGAGGAGGCCTGGAAGGCGCATATCGAGGTACGTTGGTTGACGCGCGCGCGCGCGCGCGCCATATCCACCTGCCCACCTGCTCCCGTGTCTATATCATTTTCGTATCGGATTCGTATCGGACTTTTGTCGCTGACCCTTTATCCGCAGAAAGAGCCGTTATCGCGCGCGCTACGTGGTCGGCCGTTCGATCATGAGCAGTTCATGGAAATCCTGTACCCTGACGTCGTCGGTTCCGGAGGTGCTCCTAAACGTATCATGAAGCCGAAGCGAAAAGGCCCCGATGTAATCCAAGGATCTGAAGACCCGGATATGCCGGGCACCGCAGTACTCGATCTTCAGGTTGAGCCGCCTTACGGAACCCCTTCGCAAACGGGCATTAACCACCAAGTACAGCCTCGCGGCTCCGTAAGCCAGTCTCCCGTAGCACAAGTCCAACAACCCATGATACCCCAACAGCAACAGCAGCCTCAGCAGCAGCAACAACAACAACAAATACAGCAGCAGCAACAACAGCACCAGCAACCACAACAACAACAACAACAACAACAACAACAACAACAACAACAGCAGCAGCAGCAGCAGCAGCAGCGGCCCACCTCCACCGCGATTCCGCCTAGGACGCATATCGCAGGCACGAGCGCTTTGACGCCCCCCGAGGAAACCGCCACAGGACGCAAGAGATTCCCCCAACCAACATCGACATCCGACACTGGCGGCAAGGCCCCAACGGCGCCCATGGGGCCACCGGCGCAACCGGCAGAGAAGCGCCGGCGGGTGTCGGGCTACACGAACCCCGCGCAGGCATCAGGGCCAGGCGCATCAAACAGCCACAGCCACAACCACAGCCACGGCAACGACGCGACGACGGCATCCATGGTCTCCGCCGGCAAGCAGCTGATGGAGGACGGACTGATCAAGATCGCCGACGCTCTCCGCGGCCGGAGCCCACCACGGTGGCCCGAGCAGGCGATTGACATCTTCTTCCGTGACTTTTCCGACGAAGACATGGACCTGCAGCTCAAGATTGCTGAAAAGGCACTCGCGGATGACAACAAGGCCATGATCTTTTGCAAGATGTCGCCGGCGCTACGCAAGCACTGGGTCAAGCGTCTGAGAGAGTTGCACAACAACAGCCGCAACGCGTAGCGCCCCTCTTTTTTCAACGTGTGGTGTTGGGTAGCCGGCGCAAGAGGAGGACGAAATGTAGGATTCGGGGTCGAGTATCGGTGTTTCGATCGACAGCGGCGTTTTTCGATCGATCGATGTAAGAAAGGCTATATCGTGTGCGTGTGTGCGTATGTGCGTGTGGGCAAAGCGGGCAACGACTAAAGGCAAGGCTTAGGTTGGCTTCAAACGGTTGAACAGAAGACTGGGTGGCGAAGGGCGTTTTACTACAAAGGTGTCCGGTCTGGGAAGGGTTCACAATGGGGTTGGAGGAGTTAGCAACCAAACGGCATAGCGACTTGGGGTGATGTTGAGCTTTGGCGAAACCTACCTTTTTATTTTTCTCTCCGTCTTTTTTCCCCCCCCCCTCTTTTTTCTTCTCGTTTTTCTTTTCCTGTACGATTTCTACGATCACCACCATACCATACCAGAAACTACCTTATGTGGAGGTTAGGCAGGAGGCGGAATAGCAGACCGGGCGGACGGACGGTCGGTCGGTCTCCTTTCTTAGTATATTCAATATTTATTCTTGATATTGTCATTGGTGTGTGGGTATGCCCTAGGTTATCAGACTGAGAATCCTATAAATGTTGGAATCGCGGTGTGTTGTGTCGTGAGATCATAGTCAGCAAGAAGGAGAATTTGTCCAAGCATATGTCTCTGGAGAGAAAGAGAGCAAAGTGTGTTTGGAGGAGATTGTGTGTGGATTTCCATATTCGCCCCGAACGCCCAGTACATACATTACAGCCAAGAGCCGTTTATCCGACGTCGTCGTTCGTAAAGACGCCATTACACGCCAACAAGCCAGCGTCCGTGCAAACATGCCAAATAGAGAAGAGTAGTTTCCCAAGCTTAGGTTAGGTAGTAGAAGAAAAGAAATTCAAAGCCGCCGTCGTCCCCGACGCGCACTTGTCACTCTATTTCTTGCCCTTGGTCTTGTACAGGTAGCTGTAGGAAAGGAACAAGTTAGTATCCAGTTGTTTCTCCAAGGAACAGAGGCGAAGGAAAGTAAGGGGAGTCTAACCTTCCAAAAATACCCTCTCCGAGACCAACAACACCAAGGATACCCAATCCCAAGCCGACGCTCTGCCACGACAGACGACCGCGCTCGTACAAACCCCAGGCCTTGTATCCGAGGAAGGCGCTGAGGCCGACGACGCCGACGAGGTTGGAGACGACGAGGGCGCTGGCGGTACCGTCGGAGAGGGAGGAGAACTGGCGCTTGAGCCACGAGTCGGCTTTACGGGCCTTAGAGGCGGCCTTCTTCTTGGCAAGGTCGGCTTCAGCGCGGGCCTTCTCTTCGCGGTCGACGCGGTCGGCCTGGGTTTCTGTCTGAATCTCTTGCTCGAGGAAGTCGTTGGGGACGGTGTGTACGCTCGGCATGTCGACATCGACGAGGGAGGAGGTGGAGGCGGTGGAGTCGACGGAGATTTCGGGAGGAGGGGGAGCGGCGGCCTGGACGAAGGGGAATGTTAGCAATGTTGACATAGAGGGTTGGATGAGGTCACGCGATCAGAGAAGAGGGATAAGAAAACGTACCTCCTCAGGAGTCTGCTTGGGGCCCTTGGCGGCCATGTCTGCGTAAGAAGCCACTAGAAAGTATTGTTAGCATCGCATGCGCAATGTCGAGTGTGACGCAACTTTGTTTACTTACTTGTGATGATGGGAAGCTGTGGTTGGAAGAGAAGCTTTGAGCTTTGATGTAGGTAAGGTAGGTGTAGGAGGCGGCTGGGGGTATCAAAGAGGGAGGGAGAGATGCAAGATGTGCGAGGTGTAAAAAGGTGTGTGGCAGATCGACAGGATGACGCGCGGGATGGATGAACGGGTAGGAGTTCCTTTTAAGAAGATGCAGTCATGTGAAATGGGGGAAAGGAGGAAGTCGGGAGGAGCCTGAGGATGGGAGGGAATTTTGAGGGAATGGTTCCGTCAGGTGGTTTGACGGGATGGGATGGCGCACCCCCGCGAGCGCTTTCCTTGATCTTGGTTGGCGCGTAGTGGCCTGGAGACCAATGACGTATGACGTATGCGGCTCGGGAGCTTGGGACAACCTGATCGGCTAGCCAATCACAACCCTGATAGATTTCCGCTGTGGGGGTGTTTGGTTCCTCTGCACCTGCCGGGGGAGAAAGTCGGGTCCTGCCGTCACAATGTTCGCCAGGAACAATATTGTGCACCGGGGCATCCTCGGATGGGGTTGATGGGTCCTTCCTAAAGATAATGCACCTAAGGTACCTTACCTAGAAAGGTATAAGGTACCTTATCCGTAGGTGTGCTGTCATTAATGCATTCGGGCATGTTATTCATGCTCATGAGGACTGATCAGAGTCATATATCGTGTGGCTGGGCAAGTTGAAGCTATTCTCACCATAACACTGATCGTAGCGCTGATCAAGAATTAAAACGAACAATGAACAAAATGATTGGGGAGTCCCTCAGAGAAGTGTGTATGTCTATTGATCTTTTCTTTTTGCTTCCGTACTGGTACACTGTGTACACGATGATGGTACATGAAATATGCCTGATTTTTCCCCCGTCATGGTTTCATTAGCCACGCTCTACGCTCCGCAGCCCGCAGCCACGGCTCGCAGTCAAGCGTTCGCTCCTTCTCTTGCCCTTATCACTTTCCAGTCCTGGTAGCCATTTTTGTGTGAAAATTGGTACAGAAAGCAAGAACTGCCTTGTTTTAAATGTTGTTCGCCGCAGTAGCATCGACGGCCTTGTTGTTGGGCTGGGTAAGATCAACAGGCTCGGGCGAGGGAGCCGCCGGGGCCTTGGGCTTCTCCTGCTTCTCCTGCTTCTCGACCGGCGCGGGTTTCGTCTTCTCCGCCTTTGACTCGGCCTTGACCTCGGCCTTGGGGGCCTGCTCCGGGGAGTCGGCCTTGGTCTCCTTCTTGATCTCCTTGTTCTCCCCCTTCTTCTCCTCAACGGCCTTGGTGGGCGGCGCAATCGTAGCATCGGCGTTGGCGTCAAGGGCGGGCGCGGCGGCAGCGGCTTCGGCTTCATCGGCGCCTTCGTCATCGGCCAGCTCATCGCCGTAGACCTCGGGGTATTTCCTGAAGCATGTCTGCATTCCCCTGCAAATTCCAGTTAGCACTCCTTATACTATACTTCGTTCCACACCATCCCCGGACGTACTGGAACTTCTCAATGCAGTCCATGCCCTTGGGCTCCTCCTTGGAGTAGACGAAGCAGCTGAACGCAGCCTTGAACTCCTCTCCGCAGGGGCCGTCAGCCATGCCGCCCAGGCACGGGCAGTCCCAGTTGATCTCGCCCGTCTCGGGGTTGAAAGCACCCTGCTGATCCGCCTCGGCCTCCAATGCCTCGGGGGAACCGGGGGCAGGTGCCGGGCTTCCCTCGGCGCCTTCACCCTCCAGCGCCGCCTTGGTCTGCTGGCTGGCTTCTGTTGGTACGGGGGCGGCGGCGGCGGCGGGCTTGGCCTCCTCAGCCTTTACAATGGCTCGCTTGCGCTTCTCTTCGACAATGGCATCGACGGTGGTAAGATCGGATTCGGAGAATTGGGACGGGGCGGCAATCGTTTTGGCTGTTGTTCAACACGTGGTTAGAAACACTCATGTTCTTCTAAGCATCTCTTGCTTTATCGGCGCGGGAGTGACATACGGATGGGCTCCTCGGCAAAGACTGGACTTGTGTTATACCAGTAGAGGGCACCGGCGGCGAGACCCCATCTCATTGCCGCACCCTTCCACGTCCTGGGCTTGTCGGCGGGTGCTGTTGAGGCGAATCGTCTAGGAGCTGCGCGAATTGCCGACTGTCGGGCGGCGCTCAGGGCGCGGGGCGCCGAACGCATGCCGCTGCGATACATTTTGTGCGTATGTGTTGTATGTAGGAAAGCTGAACCAAAGGAAAGGGGACGTGGGGGGATAATTGCAAAAGGCAAACGACAAAGGGGAATTAGAGAGATGGCGGAGGGCGCGGGTTTGGTGGTGGACAGCTTCAGAGCTTCCAAACGTTGGCTGGTTGGTAATCCCCGGTGGAAAAGAAAATTGAAGCTTCGATGGGCGGGTTTTGCCGGAGTTTTGGCGGCGCATTATCGCTAGATTGCGCTGGCTGACGCCCTGCCACGCCGAAGCCCGCCACGGCCGTCTCATGCAGCCTGCAAGGTCCGGCCGATCGGACGGTCCAAAAAATCCAATTAAAATCTGAGAGATTCGACGCTTCATTGGCTACTGATGCCGTGCACCACTTTCTGCGAGATATTCCTTTTTAGGCCGGTGACACTGATGACTGCCTGCGTAAGGAACGCATCATGGACAACTTAACCTTGGATAATGTACCTGATGCAAGTTAGGGATACCGTATTGTTTTCCTCTCTCAAATTCTCAACTGTGCTACTTGAGCGAAACCAAGTCAAAGTTTGACACGTCTGCACTTCACTAGGAGGTCACTTGTATTTAGAGACATCCTTGTCATTCTGGCTATTTGACCCTCCGACTGAAGGCTTCGTCTTAAGATAGAGAGAATCCGAGAGAGGCTCTTCAATATGTCGCCAAGTTTCGAGTGGCGGCCAATAGGTCTCCTCCGCGACAAGAAACCAGAACAACCAAGCACTGTCGACTTTTCTCTCATCGTACTCAACCAGCCTGTGAGGCAGACACCAGTTTTTGACTCACTATGGGCGAATGGTACGATCTTCTCGCAAACATTTGATCCCATCTCCTGCTGACTCCTCCTCATGAAGCTCTCACTCGAGTTGCTGCAGATGGCGGAGCAAACAGGCTACACGATCTGAACAAAGTAGCTCAGGCTCAATCAGACCCTCCATACGTGAGTTTCTGGCTCCTCCGCCATCTCGACGGTCCTATCTGACTCATACAGAACAACCTCGACGTTATCATCGGGGACTTGGACTCACTCCTCCCCTCCGTCAAGGACTACTACACAACGCTAGAAAAGCCAGCCCAAGTCATACATGATCCCGACCAGTATTCAACCGACTTTGCCAAGGCCGTCTCATGGATCCGATCAAACCATGGCCCGAAGACCGACATCGTGGCTCTCGGTGGACTAGGTGGCCGCGTCGACCAGGGTCTCAGCCAGGTGCACCATCTGTATCTCTTCCAGCCGGGCCCGGACTATGCCCAGGGCAAGCTGTATCTCGTCTCTGGCCAGAGCCTGACCTTCCTCCTCAAGCCCGGCCACCACAGCATCTGGGTCCGCGAAGACGGCGAGGATGTCTTTGGCAAGCACGTCGGCATCATCCCGATCGGCGGGACCAGCTACATCACCACCAAGGGCCTCGAATGGGACGTGGAGAACTGGGAGACTAAGTTTGGGGGCCACATGAGCACCAGCAACCATGTGCTGCCCGAGACCAAGGTGGTCGAGATTGAGACGACCGAAACGGTTCTTTTCACCATTGCCCTTGTGGGCACCGAATAAAGCCAAAAAAACAGGTCAAAAAAAAAAAAGTCGACCGTCGCTTGTTGTACAGGGAGAGCTCCATGATGACCAAAACTTTGCACGGCGCATATACTGCAGCCCCGCCGACTCCAAAACGCCTTTTGCACTGATTGTCGCCCAAACTTCGTTTTCTCGTCTCTGGCGGCGCAACTCCAACGTAATGTGCATTTATCGTAAAAAGTGTATGCATGCCCAGCAGAAGAGGAAGAAGATGATGACGCCAGCCCAGAATATCCACTTGTCTTCCTTGGCGCGGCGCTCGATCATGCGAATGGTGTCGCCAGAGATGCCTAGGGTGTTGCCAACGGAGTAGAGTCTCTTCTGGGTGTTCTTGAGCATTTCACGCTGCGTTCCAAGATCGCCCAGCACAGCTTGTCCGCGAGCAATGTATTCGTCCAAGGCCGAGTTGGTACTGGCGAAGAAGTTCTGCTCTCGCAGGGCGTGTTGTTCTCTTGTGACGTCGTTTCCGCCCATGCTCAGTCCACCGCCGCCGGCCTGGCCGGTCGAAGCCCCTCGACTGTGGAACTGGGATGACTTGTTGACGTTGGCATAGGGGTTTTCGGGAGTGGCAGTGACATAAGCTCGACGGCCTAGCAGCTCGCCTCGATTGTTGTTGTGAGCGGCTTCTTCACGAGCCTTCTTAAGAGAGTCGACCTGAGACCGGAAATCGGAGAGGTCATCGCGGAATCGTTTTACACGTTCGTAGGCTTCTTCTTGTTTCTTCGGTACGAGCTCCTGGCGGGCTAATTGGTTGTATTCGTCGACGGTCTTTGAAAAGGAGGCGAGAGATGCGGACACGTTGCCAATTTCGGCGGGGGTCAAGGCAGCTGGTTGCGCAGCTGAGGAGGAGAGCTTCTCGAGGTCGTTGCGGATGGCCTTGCTCTGGCGCAGGGCCGAGTTGTATTGGACGTTCTGCAGCTTATTAGTATGGCGCATATAGGGTTTAAAGTCAGGAGAGAGTCTGAGCAACTGACCATTTTGGACTGATATGCAAACGGAGCACAGAGGTTGAAGATGTATATGGTAATTGTCGAGACGGGAGCACTCAAGAGGTTAGATATTGAAAGTGTGTCCCTTGAACGAATGCAGGGTCTTGAGGTCTGAGGTAAGGGACTGCCTGGAGCCCGACGGAGCTCTGGACACTTCGTGCTGGAGCTCCCTCCCCAAAGTACGAAGGTACCTCCAAGTCTCCAGGTGGCTTCTCCAAGAAAACACGTTACCGCCTTCCCAATCGGTGGGGAGGGCGTACGTACTGTGTGTACGTACAGTGTCGAGTTTTCCCGAAGACAGTCCGCCCCATCCCGGAGGAATCCCTTCCTCCCCTGGCTCCGTCCTCCCTCTTGGCGTTCCGTGTAAGTTCAAGTGTAACTCTAAACCTTCAACTTCACCTCGACATTCCAACATGCTCACCATATCGTTCATTTGCTCCGCGAACATAGACAACTTCTTATGACCGAACCGTTGTCCCTTCTGCTACTATCGATAACCATAATGGGATACCTTTGCCGAGAGCGGCCCGCACAGCACTCCGTTCGTGAGCTTCGGTTGAGGTCCGCTATGGATAAGTCACCGGTAGTGTGATTATCGCCGGGATCTTACGCTTTTTTCTACTTGGGCTGAAAAAGACCCACGGGGCACAAATTGACTAAGACAGAGAGATACCGAAGTCTTATTCTCCGCTAGCCTGATACTGTCGCAACTCCAGCCGGCGCTCACTCTTCGAAACACGCCGACTCGGCACCGAGTATGCATTCTGACAACGATGTCGTATTAGTTCCACCGAACGAGCGGTGATCGATTACATCTGCGCCCCAAATGCCCCCGAATGGCCCCAAAGCCCCCAAAATGCCCGATTATGCCCCAATGACTGCCTAGTCAAGTACTTAGCCGCAGACGGACTTTTTCATCATAAGTCCTGATCTCGGCAATAACATGTCTATATCAATACATTTGCCCCAATGACTGGCATTCCTCTTGCTGCACTTTTCATCATCAGGCTTTGTAGCAAGACTGGATAAGACTGAGATCCAACATCATCGGCAACCATGTCTCGACCAACGAGTCCCACGTCTTCAAAGATGTCAGCACCACCAGTCGACTCTACTAAATCAACAATAGTGGACGAGGAAGCAGCAGCGCCACCAGGAGAACAACAACCTCCACCATATACAGTTTATACGACATGGGAGAAGCGCTTCATCGTGCTAGGAGCCGCTCTGGCTGCCTTCTTCTCGCCTTTCACCGCGCAAATCTACCTTCCCGCTCTAACTGTTCTCGCCAACGAGTTCAACGTCTCCGACTCGGACATGAACCTTACCCTGACGACTTATATGATCTTTCAGGGAATTGTGCCCATGTTCATTGGTTCCCTGGCCGATCAGAGCGGCAGGCGCCCTGCATATGTCATCTGCTTCGTCGTTTACATCGCGGCGAACATTGGCCTTGCACTCTCACAGAACTTTGCTTCTTTGCTCGTCATTCGTTGCATACAGTCTGCAGGCTCTAGCAGCACCGTCGCTCTGGCCTCAGCCGTCGTGGCAGACAGTATTACATCGGCCGAGAGGGGGCAGTACGTTGGCCTTACTGTTGTTCCCATCGTTCTAGCGCCCGCACTGGGGCCAGTCCTCGGTGGTGTTCTAGCACAGTATCTAGGATGGAGGTCCATATTTTGGTTTCTTTCCATTCTGGCTGGCGTCTTCTTCATCATTCTTCTTCTCTTCTTCCCAGAGACATGCCGTAGGATCGTGGATGATGGCTCCGTGCGGCCTCCAAAGCTGTACCGAACCGGCTTCCAGCTTATCAAGGACTATTATAGAGCCAAGAAGGGAGATGGAGCGCTGGTGACGAGGCAAACAACGGGAGCATCAAACACAGTCAAACCGACTCTCAAGTTCAAGATCAACCCCTTCGAGTCACTTCGGCTACTCTTCGAGAGAGAGCTTGGGCTGCTCCTTGGTTTCAGCGCCATCGTCTTTGCTGGGTTTTACGCCATCGCCTCTTCTATGCCGACCCAATTTCAGGAGATTTACGGCTTCGACAGTCTCAAGGTCGGCCTTATGTACCTGCCCATGGCTGGCGGCTCAGTCGTAGCCGCCTTTCTTGTAGGGCCTCTGATCAACTGGAACTACCGCCGGCATTGCAAGCGCCTGGGGATTCCCTACGACAAGTCTCGTCAGCAAGATATGACCGGGTTCCCCATCGAGAAAGCCCGCCTCGAAGTCGGGCTTCCGCTGCTGTATCTCAGTTCAATCCTGCTGCTCATCTGGGGCTGGGCTCTTCACCTCCGCGCGCCCGTGGCTGTGCCATGCGTGCTGCTCTTCTTCTTTGGAGTCGGCATGATTGGGTTCAATAATACAACCAACACGCTCATTATCGACATCCACCCAGGTAAAGCCGGGACTGCGACGGCGGCGAACAACTTTACGAGGTGTCTGCTTGGTGCGGCGGCAACTGCAGCGATTATTCCCATGATTAACGGGATGGGCGTGGGCTGGGCCTTTACTCTTTTAGCCCTCCTCTACATTGTCTTCAGCCCGGCATTACTGGCAATCATGTACTGGGGCGTGAAGTGGCGTCAAAACGCAAAGGACAAGGCGCTCAAGAAGGAGACGAGGAAGAGCGCAGCATGAGATTGTGATATCATATGAGTATGAATGTGGTCCAAAGTGATACCCTTTTAGATAGTGTTTGAATCTACCTTTAGCAACATATGTAATGCAACATAATCATAAGAAAGTCATCCGACGTTGCAACGCCACAAGGCTTTGTGTTGAAGACGTTTATCGGCGTGGTACTCTCGTGGCAATTGAACCCCGCATCGGAGGCTAACTCGACTTGCACCGCGCCCTTCGGCGTCATGTCAAGTTGATTCTTATCGCTCAGCTGAAAAAGGAAGTGAGACCGGTAGCTCAAGCCCAGCTCCGCCCCTCATCGCTTCATTATATTTCATCGTACTTCATTTCCTGATAACATCCTCTCATTCTTGACATGGCTTTGAACAACTCACATTGCAATGAGTGAACAACACCAAGTCACCGGGCCAGCCCCTGCTACAAAGACTCTCACGGCCTGTTGCTACTGCAAAGCCGTCTACTTCGCCCTCACCCTGCCCACCTCCTCCCTACCCCTCAAAGTCCACCTCTGCCACTGCAGCATCTGTCGCTACACCCACGGAACCCTCTGCATTTTCCACGCGCCCCTCCCGTCCGGGGTATCCCCCTCTTTCGTCGCCCCGTCTTCGCTATCATCCTCTCTCACGGCCTATCGCCACGCGACGGCCTCGAGCACGCGGTACTTTTGCAGTACGTGTAGCTGCCACATCGGAGACGTGGGCGTCGACGACGACGAGTGGGTTATTTCGGCGTCCATCTTTGACGCGAACCAAGATGATGTACCCTCCGTCTGGGATATCCGGTCTCACGTCAACACGGCTTCGTCGCCGGGCGGGGGTTTATATGAATGGCTTCCAGTGGTGAACGGCAAAGAGATGAACATTTGGAACCCCAAGAAGGATGAATCTGAAGCCGCAACGTCGACGACAACAAACGGGCGAGAAGTCGGCGTAGACGGCGAAGAGGTCCTCCGCGCGCAGTGTCACTGCGGCGGCGTCTCGTTCACAATCTCCCGCCCCAAGGCCTCCATGCTCGAGGATAAAGCCTACGAGGCCTGGCTTTCACCCGTCGACTCCCGAAAGTGGCCAGCTTGCCTAGACGCTTGCGACGACTGCCGTCTGCAAACGGGTGTTCACGCCATCGGCTGGGTCTGTATTCCCGAGAGCTGCATCACGCCTTCCGTGCCCGAGGATCTTCAGCTCGGCGGGACGGCCAAGACGTTCAAGTCGTCCGAGAGCGTGTGGCGATCGTTTTGCGGGACGTGTGGTGCGAGTGTGATGGCGTATTTTGGGGTGAGTGGGAGGAGGCAGGCGAGCGGGGAGAGGTTGGTGAATGTCGCTGCTGGGATCTTGAGGGCGCCTGAGGGGTGTTTGGCGGAGGAGTGGGTTACGTGGAGGACAGGGCGGGTTGCGTGGGCGGAGAGCGGGATGAGGTATGATGCTGGGTTGACGAAGGAATTGGGAGACGGGATGGCGAGATGGGAGAGAGAGAGGCATGGGGAGGCTTGGGGGTTTAATATTGGGTGATATTTGATATATCCTATCGACTCGTGGTCCTTATATGCTGTCTTCGTCCCTCTAGCTTGAAGCCCATGAGAGAAACATCTCACAAAGCTCTATACAAGATGTCCGTAGGTCTCCTGAACCCTTTCCTTCTCCCGCTTCAGATACCCGTCAAAGGTTCCCAGAGTAACCCCCCAGCTTCTGGTCCCCTCGATATCAGCAAACTGGTCCATGTCACGCATAGCCAACTGTCCAGCCAAGAACGGGTTCCCTCCCTTTTGCGTCTCAACCTCCTCATCAGAGAGATAAACAGCCTTGATATCCTTCCCCGTAAACCTCGCAAGTTTCCCCATAATATCGTCCGCGGTAAGCAGCTCCGACGCAAGCGAGATTTCCTGGGTGTTGAACCTAACAGGATCCCGGTACGCCGCCAACGCAAACTGTCCAATGTCGTTCGGATCCACCGTCGGCAACTTCGTCTCAGGCGTCAGAGCTGTAACGAAGCGCCCTTTCTCGGGAAGATCTGGGTACACGGCAACGATCGGGAGGATGTAATTCGCCGTAAAGTTGCCGGGTCGCAGGATGGTCCAGTGCTCGAAGCCCGCTTTCCGGACCTCGTTCTCGACGGCCTGCTTCGAAAGAAGGACTGTAGCGGTGAAGCTTTCGGGATCCCAGTACTTGAGCTTTTGGGGAGCATCTACCGAGAAGCTGCTACTGTAGATGAAGTGCGTGGCACCTGCCGCTTTGGCAGTGGCCATGATACGTTTTGCTGTCTTGAGTTCCCAGGTGTGGTCGACAAAGTCGGGCGTTAGGTTTAAAAAGGCCCCCGTGACGCCCTTCATTGCCTCCTCAAGGACTCCTTCGTCGTCGTAGCCTCCTGAGGTGAGGGAGGCTCCGAGGGAGGAAAGAGCTTTGGCAGCAGGGGAGTCTGGTTTGCGGGCGAGGGCGTGGACGGCAATGCCGGCTGCGAGTAGGTTTCGTGCGACGGAGCCGCCGACTGTGCCGGTTGCGCCGCTGACGAAGATGGTGTGTTTAGACATTGTTGGATGAGTGTGATGTTGAAGCTGGGTGGTTTGATAATTCGAAGTGAGATTTGAGGGGATACACGCGGTGCGCTTCAATTGAACGATGGTATTGTGATGAGACTGTTTGATCTGTATCAGGTCAGAACAGTTCTTTCGGAGCTTTATATATTCACAAAATGATAGTTGTCAGCCCGGATGATGAGAATCCATGCTTGATGCCATCACTCCGTCAAAGGTCTCATCGCGGGGTTCTTTCATAGCGACGCGCGACTGACGACGGGACGCCGCCAGCTTCGCATAATGATATCGATCACATATGATTTATGGCTCATTGGCTGCAGAGATAGGTACTTTGGTGTTTGTTGCAGATGAGGCCGCAGACACAGAGGACGAAGGATGAAGGATGAGGTGGGAAACGTTGGCGGAATCCCGCCAGATTAAGTAAGCTCAAACTGAACAGCGCTGACGACGTCTCAATGAGACCACTTTCAGCGCTCACTCTCAGTGCTTTGACACCCATTCAATTGAGTCGGAAAGCTTCCTCGAGGAGTGTGAAGCCATCACTTGTTCTCAATTTGACAGCCGGATTTTCAACCGCCCTTTCACTCATTGATGGGAAAGACTGAGGCGGGCAACGAAGTCAACATGTCGAACTCATTCTTCGAGCGGGCCAACCCGCCGCCACGGCGGAAAACATGTACAGCTTGCATCAAAGCCAAGCGCAGATGCGACCACGGCCAGCCCGCATGTTTGCGGTGCTCGAGGCGGAATATCGCCTGCGACTACTCCGCTCCGCCGACACTTAGCATATCAAAGGCGCGCAATCGCGAGCTTGTTGCGCAAAGCGCAAAGCCTCGGCGGCAGAATAATCAAAGCAGCGTAGCTCCAAGTCCCGCCCCTCTCCTCGATGACGACGCTGGCTCCAGCACCTCTCTCATTCCTTGGTCCCATAATCCTGATCTTGTACACTTGGAAATGGAAGACTTGGAAGATATCGACTTTGATCTGGCATTTGACGAACTCATAACCACTGACGCCTTCCTTGAAGAGCCCTTGATCGCGCCTTCCCTCACTCCCAAGCCAGACGACATGCTTGTTCCGTCTTACGACTCTGCCCCAGGCTCGCTTGAAAGTGTGATAGCCAACCGTCTCCAATATGCACTCGATGAGATTAAAAAGGTTCCGACCACGGCGGTGATGGAAAACCAGGCTCCATGGAGTCACCCCTACCTGTATCGCGCTCACATGCCCCGAGACATGCAAGGTGAGTACCTCATGTCTCGCTCACCCAAGGCCACTGTTCATGAAAAGAATCTGACCGTATTCTCACCAGATGCTCAAGCCTGCTGTGCTCTCTACATAGCCAAGAACAAAATCAACTCATCCTTCGTCCTACGTACCATACAAGCCAGAGCCCACGAGTTACTAGCCTCACCGATACCCAAGAACCGTCTCGATATCCTAGCGCGCCTCCACGCCATCCTCCTCTACCAAATCATCCGCCTCTTCGACGGCGACATCTCCATGCGGGCCTCAGCGCAACACACCTTATCCTCTCTAGAACACACTATCCTTGCCCTACTGCCGTTTGTGAAATGGGAACCAGAACAGCCTGCAACAGGCCCGGCTCAAGACTACGTTGGGTGTCCGACCAAGGACTTTTGGCAGGAATGGATCTTTCAAGAGTCCGCTCGCCGGACCATATTCTTCACTTGTTTCTTCCTTGTTGCTTACAGTGTCCTCATCGGAACGCTGACGAATGGCTGTGAAGAACGATACGTGTTTTGCCAGTCGTGGACTATGTCTGCTCACCTTTGGAAGGCGCCTACCGTAGTGGATTTTGCTGTTGCTTGGAAGGAGAAACAGCACCTTGTAATTACGAAGCAAGGCTTTGAAGAAGCGTTGAGGGATGCTGCTGCTGATGATATTGACGCGTTTGGAAGGATACTCTTGGTCGGCGCATTGGGCATTGAGGATGCGAGGCTTTGGTTTTACAACAGGGGTGGCTCTTTGTGAGTGTGACGGCGTTCCGAGGCATCATCAGGTAGCAAATATGACCCTCATCGAATCCACAGATTCTGCAGAAATCACAAGTTTCACTGGTCATAACATCACGGAATAAAAGAAGTCAAGCCTGATTGATCGCAAATTTGATGTGTCTGATACGACTGTCTGTGGTGAAGTCCCCAAGCTCTCCTCCGATATTACCTCCACCATCTGCAGACTCTGAAACCCTTAAAACCCTTGAAAACGCCCAAAATGCAGCTAGAAACGATCCTTCAATGGAAAAGTAACCCTGTTGATCTTGCCGGTACCATCCACGGTAGCCTCTTCCTAGGCTCAGAAAGTGAAATGATGATTGGCGACGATCCTTCAATGGAAACGATTGCCTGCTGATCATGCCTGATCATGCCGATAGAATCAATACGGCCCCCCTTGGCCCTGATAAGAAAAAGAAAAGGAAAGAAAAGACCCCATTTCCATCAACAATCCACCCACAGTGAGGTTCTCTTGACCAGTAGACTGTGTCGCCCAAGGAAAAGATCGGAACCATGCCTGAGAATAAAAGACCAGGGTCTTGAGTCTAAAGACATTTAAAGTATAGTGAAGTTGAGGAGTCGGTCGCGTTGTTGAAGTCGAAAAAGAGAAAGAAAAGTCCAAGTCCATCAGTCATTCACTTCGAGTGAGGTTCTCTTGACCGGTAGATCGCGAGACCCAAGGAAAAGATCGGAACCGTGTCTGAAGACCAAAGACTAGAATCCTGTGTCCGATACTCTCTGAAGTATAGTGAGGTCGTGGAATAGGTCGCGTTGTTGAAGAAAAAGAAAGAAGCAAAACCGTATCTGGAACTTTTCCGACCTGACGCCTGAGTGCGACCACCAAAGAGCGAACACTCTCATGCTATCCATGGGCGATGAAGTACCAAAGAAGAAAGGAAGAAGACCGCCGTCCGAAAACTTGCTGGTGTTCTGGCTTTCGCATCGAGTATGTGTCGACTGAGGTCGTATGCCGTATGCTGTATAGCCGCTGAAAAGTGAAAACGTAAACCTCCGAATGTGACCGTTCCGCGTTGATCGTGACTCATGATGGTGCTCAGACCGTTGTAGTTATACTCGTAAGAATGAATCCATGCAGTCGAAAGAATAGTTGGGACTAGTACCCTTCATCAATCTTTGCGTAATCTCTGCGCTCCTTTCTGCTGGGAATATTTCTGAGAGTATCAAGAGACGGCTGGCCATCTCCGCGTCTCAGGGTAAATTTGTGGTAAACGCCGCCTTTGTCGTTTGTGGCCTTGCTGTAACCGACGACAACGTAGAGGCCGTCGTAGCGCAGTCCGACTTTGGGCGCGTAGGCGGAGCCGTTGTTGCCCTTCTTCGCCTTGCGAAAGACGCGGACGGGGGACTGACGTTCTTTGGAGACCAAGAGCGCTGCGTTGCCCCGAACAGGCGGTCCGCCGTCGGAGGGAGTGTTCTTGGATGTATTATCCAGTGAATTGGATCCGCAGTAGATGATGTCGTCACCTCGGTCGACGTCGATCTCGCCGTACTTATCTGCCATGATGATGGAAGTGGCAGGTCCCGGTTCGCCATTCGGGCCTCTCATGTACGATATGCCAGCATTGGAATCGCCGTGTCCACCATACCACATCGCGGACAGCTGGTTCGGGAACCACTGTCCAATTGCCAAGCCGTTGTGTCCGAGGACTTTGGCTGACCGTTTGCATGCATCGTAGGCAGGATTGAATGCTTGTGCGTTGCTTCCTGGTCGCAGGCCGAGTCCATGCATGATGCCCAAGACACCCCAGATGGGATGGTCGTCGGGAACAGGCTTGACGTGATCCGCCGACCTGTTTGTCGAAGAGGTAGGCCTGGTTGATCTGGCGGCGGTCGACCTAGTCTGAGCTGGGGCAGGCGCGAGGGTGGGCATCGCCGGTCGAGGCGGCGGGAGGGGGCGGTCGGCAAGGGCATTAAGCCATTCGACAAGGCCACGAGCCTTGGTTTTCTCTGGCCCGACAAAGAAGCGGTATTGCTGCCCTTGGATACCCTCAGGCGGCGTCTTCATGACGGCCTCTAGTCTCCTCTTGATCGCGTATCTTGCCGTCAAGATCTCTCGCGGCACCTGGGTAGGGAAGCGGGATCGGACCTCCTCGAGCCATCGTATAAATACGGCCACATCCCTCCGGGCAGTAATCACCTCAGCAGTAGCAATGGTGCTCACTGACCTCACGGCCAGTGAGAGAAGGCTACTGACCTTCCCCTCGAAGGTCCTGATAAAGGCGGCTACGTCTCCGTAGCCGGAAGGTGTAGGAGGCAGGCCTGAGCCCACCCCCCCACCTCCACCTCCGAGGCCACCATTGCCACCAGAACCTAAAGAAAGGCTCATGTTTCTATTCCCTGTTTCCCATATTCAGTATCATGGACGAATACGAGCGAGCGAGAGCGAACGCATGACGAGTAATAGAAAAGAGGAAGGCGAAGGCCACTTACCTATGAAAGGGTGATTGCTTTTGATAAGGTGTTTGAGGATGCTTTCTTTGTCGAAGGTCAGATAGAGCTTGTGATGTAGATGTAAAAAAGAAGAAAAGAAAAAAGAGGAAGAAAGGAAAGAAGAAAAGAAATTAGTAGAAGGTGGAGACTGATGAGAAAGGGCTGGCTTTGAGGCCAGGTATCGAGGCATCTACTAAGTTGTGAGGAGGCGGGAGCTCTCGACCGGTGCATCCGGAGGTGGTGGTTGACACACGCCGGGCCCGGGAGGTGTGAATGTTCGGCCCCGGGGCCGTAAAGTGGAGCCGTTCGCGCCGAGTCCGACCGGAAGTTTCGAAACGAAACCCCGACGATTCAGGCAGAAACGGGTGGGTCGTTCCTGCCGACTCGGGTCGATGGAAAAGCGGTTGGAGGGTTGTTCCGAGAAAATGGACCCAGCCAGGTTCCGGTGGAGGGTGTGGCACGTCTGGTCTCCGCGGCGACGTGAAGAGACCTGAGTGCTGGGGTTCAAGGACTTGCTTGCTCAGGCGGTATGGCGACTTGTTCAAAATGATGGAGGGTGGGCAGCTAACCAGCTATGTTTGGCAACTGGTGTACACACGCAAAATAGCTCTTGAGTTGAGACAGAGGTTTTCTTCAATGCTTTACCTCAAGGTCAGGTAAGGTGTGTAAACCCGGCGAGGCGAGCGTTGGACCAAACCCGCAACTCTGAAGGTGATTTCAAGTCTGGTCTTTGATATAGAGGACCTCTGTGTGAGAGGATTTGGCCTGACAGCAATGTGTAGAGGCTCTATGTATATTGGAACTAGATCACTCTGTCGCGCAGATGCTTAGATACTATGTGCGATTCGCACTTGGCTCTATTCTGATGCCATAACGATATAATCTAGCTGTTTATGTGGTCGGCCTTTGTCTTCCAGGTCTTTGTTATGACATACGTCTATGATATCTCTTTATGATATGTCTGTATAACATGTCTTGATGGCATGTATTTAGGAGGGTATGTTTGAGAGAGAGCGTAATTATGAGATGCGTTGAGGTGATGTTCCTCTGCTCTTTATGTGGCCGAGAAGGACAGATGCCCGGCCGATGATTCTATGATCTTATGCTGAAAGGTGGATTTGGGACGACAGATTAGCGAATGTTCCTCGACTTAGAGGAATTTATCCTGTGTATCATCGGCCAATCAAGCCAATGCTTAATCTACTATTCCCTAAATGATGATCAATGAGTGGTGGCTGCTATTATGTGACTGAGGTGTTGAGATAAGATGGTGGCCAAAGTTGAGACGAATTGTGCGAATGATGGTGTCTTTATGCCTCGCCGACGGACACACCGCAACTCCGTCGCTATGTGCCTTAACACAGAGTACTTGGTGTAATTTAGAGAGAAAAACGGGGATAGACCTTTCTGCAGCGAATACTAAGATAAAAGTTTAAAACAAGTTACAATTGTAACTCTTCACTTTTACTGTTCAAGTTTTACTTGACTCTTTGCGGACTGGCTGTTGAGTCTAAGCAAGGATTCTGCAGACATACAGCCAATCGAAACGCAGCAGACTATCCTTCTCGGATAGCGCAATGCGACGTACCGCTCAGTAGAGCTTGCGACATGCTCTAACAGTTGTACTTTACTGGGATCGTGCCTTAATTACTTTTCCAAAAAGTAATTCTATAATTTTGGTTGGTTGATTTAAGAGTTTGACGGGGCTTACTGAAGTTCTACTCGACCGTGGTATGTCTTGGACTCTTGTTCTTCAATCCCTATGTTGCTTGCCTCTGAATGAAAGAAAAGAAATACGCTGCGTCAAAAGGAAACAATTCGCTCACCTGAATGACCGTCGCCGTTCATGCGGCAGGTGTTTTGCATCCGAGGTAGGGGGAGGGTACCTGCCCATTTGCCGCCGTGATGTAGTCCTAAGGGGAAGGTATTGAGAATTGTGGAAAAAGCTTCAAACCCCTGTTCAACTCGACCACAAGATCTAAATAGCATTTTCAATGGCTACATTCAAGAGCATCACGGAGTAATTGTTTCAGAACCGATATGAAAACATCACTTGCCCGCCTGGCACCTGATTTAAGGTCACCTGCTGTGCCGCACCAGTCCTGCCGAAGCCTGTTTACGAAGACGCCCGACCAGCAAGTAAAAGATTATGGCTTGGCTGCTTTAGCACAGCTGCATGAATGGGCAACAAGCTTGGCCAAAATCCTTCATTCGATCGGGCTACCTGCCTACTGAGAAAGAGTGCCGGAGTTTCGTGACAGTTCCCGGAAGCGACTCGAGCAAGCGTCAGCAGATGGTGGTGGCAGAATAGGCTGATTCTCTCGAGTGAAGTAGGCTGACTTGATCAGGCAAAAATCACGACATGAGCATTTAGGTACATGACTAGGCGCAAATTCATTACATTTACAGACTTCTGCCAGGTTTTGCGACAATCTCCTTCTCTCAAGTTCACAGATCCTAGCTGACAATATCCGCTCATAGCGACTCTTGGACTCTCCACAACCATGGCAAGCACCCAAGGACCCCCCGACAACAAAAGCTACACCCCATCCGTCCTCAGCCAAGATACCCTCGTCGCCTCCGAAACTACCTCCCTCCACCCACCCATCAGCAACGCGGAAGGCGCCACCGACCGACCCATCCGCGGCACCGAGCCCCAGCCCGCCCGCTCCGATAACTACCACTACGTCTCCACTCGCGTCGTAAAGGAAATACCAAAGGCCAAGACGCCGACCGATACGACAAGCGCGTTGAGCAAGTTCAAGAGGATGCTGAAGCCGCCTGTTGTGAAGGCGGTTGAGGCTCTGCCGAGTCATGAGGGGAAGTCGTATCATGTTGACGAGGAGGGAAGGATTATTGATACTACGGTTCGGAGGGCAGGTGAGTTTCGCGAGATGCCGATCAGCTTTCTTCGCTTGTGTGCTAATGTGGTTGATTTCTACAGGAACATCGCGGAACGTCTTTGCTAATGGCGATGGTGGCGGCGGCGGCGGATCTTGAAGGGAATTGCAAGAGCTGACAGGACATAATTTCACACACACCGAGCGATCTGGAGTATGACAGCTTTTGTACGATGAAAATTGATTCCGTTTGGTGTCTAGAACTTTTAAACCAAATGTCCAACTAACTTCTTGTCCGTGCCTTCCACAAATCTAAGCAAGCCAGAACCAGATCTTTTGAAGCAGGTTCTTCGGGATCGGCTCCTCATCGAGCTCCGCCATGGCTTCCATCTCGGCAACGCCGGTCAAGACATCTACATCGGCCACGTTGCGGGCCATGGGTGTACGGAACCAGATCTTGTGCCCAATGTACAGCACGAAAAAGATGGGCAGGGTAATGTAGGCAGCCAAGAAGTCCGAGACGCTCCAGTTGCCAGGGAAGAAGACCTGGAAGCCGTTGGTGAGAGTCAGGATTATGAGGAGACCAAGGATGAACCAGGTAAAGTAGGGCTGGAGGGGCGTCTTGAAGGGCAGGCGGTGCACCATATTGTGGTAAATCATAGCCTTGCGGAAGCGGAGGTAGGTGATCATGACGACGATCCAGGCGATGAAGCCGGAAATGGTGCTAATGTTCATGAACCAGGTGAAGACGGTAGAGGTTCCGCTGCTGACGGTGAGGTAGGAGAGCAGAGCAATCGACCAGGTTCCGAGCACGGCGGTGTAGGGAACACCACGCTTGGTTGTACGGGCGAAGAAGCGAGGCGCCTGCTTGTTGAGGGCCAAACTGTAGAGGATACGGCTACCGGAGTACAAGAAGGCGTTGCCCGCACTCCATGCACTGGTGAGGATTGCGGCGTTGATGACGTGGTTCAGACCGCCGATGCCAGCACGCTGGATTCCGATAACCCAGGGAGAAGCAGCGGCGTTGGAGGAGGGGCTGAGGAGCCTCTCGTCGTTGGAAGGGGTAATAGCACCAATCATAAGGGAGCCGAGGCCGTAGAAGATGGCCAAACGCCAGACGAAGCGACGAGCAGCCTTGGGAATGTTGCGGCGAGGGGCAACGGTCTCGCCGGCCGCGAGGGCGATGAGCTCGGGGGAGGTAATGAAGGCGAAACCGGCGCGGACGAAACCGGTCCAGTAGGCCAAGAACTTGCCAGTGTTTCCACTGACGAGATATGGTGTAATTGCGCCTGGGTCGTACCAGTAAAGGAAGCCGATACGACCTTCATCAGGGGCACCGCCGAGAATAATGACGAAGCTCACCATAATAAGACCCAAGATGGTGATGAGCTTGATACTCGCGAACCAGAACTCTGCCTCGCCAAAGACTTCAACAGCGAAAATGTTGAGAGCGAGGGTGACGAGCAAGATGATTGTAATCCAAACGGCCGAGGGAACGGGTGTTTTCCAGTAATCGAGAAGGATTGCGCCGGCCGAAGCTTCGGCGCCGACGAGCATGGCGTATGCGTACCAGTAGTTCCAACCGGCGGCGAAAGCCAAACTGGGCTCGACGAAGCGTTCGACAAAGTAGGGAATCGAAATACCCTTGAGCGGAAGGTAGGTGGCCATCTCTCCGAGATTGTTCATGATGTTCCACACGACAATCATCATGGAGAGGTATCCCATGAACAGCGGCGCGGGGCCAACTGCTGAGAGGATACTGCCTGAGCCGACGAAGAGACCGGTTCCAATGCTGTAAGTAACTGTCAGTTTGCGCTTACTTGAACCCAATTGAGGGCGCGCAGGAAAAGCGGGAAACGTACGCGCCACCCAGTGCCAGAAACTGAATGTGTCGGCTCTTCAAGCCACGCGACAGCTGGTCATGCGAGTTGACCAGGTCGTTGGGGTCGCTGAGTGCGGCGAAGTTGACGTCGCGGGGGTAGGACTCCCCATTGTGCTTGGACTCGACGTCGGTCAAGGGACCGCCGCCTCTGTAATCTTTGTCCGCAGTCTCCATTGTCGAATCGTAGTTGTGATCAACTGGGCTCGACTCTGGTTTGGGCGAAGACAAGAAAAAGCAGAAGAGCAGTCGAAGGGGAGAGAGTTTGCGATGTGGGCGGGCGGGTAGCAATGGTATATTAGTACGGCAACTTTTTTTTTCTCTGGTCGCAGGCAAGAAGGCTTGTTGGTGGGCGTCCCCGGCGCAACCACGGAATGATTCTAGAACGCGAAGAGTAGAACGACGCGAACAAAGGGCCAAGCTTCTGGCTGAGGGGGGAATGGCTGCAGTATTATGGAGTCTGGGCGATGAGCAACATGGCGAAAGATTCCCGTCTGTCGTGAGACGGGCTGCTTACACTACACTTGTACGTGGTCCCCATGCTTGACCAAGCAACGGAAGCTGCCTCCGTTGGTTTCTGCGAGTGTACGGATACTCCAATCCATTGTTTCTTCCCGCCGCGCTCCCGCGCTGATGAATCAACCCTTGTGGAATGCCGACGTGACGTATTGATGGTATGCTGTGCTCCTCTGCGGCGTCGGTACTAGGTATTCGACAAACTGACTGACTCTGCGGTATCTGCTTGTATGCCCAGGCGCGAGCTGCAACTGAACCCTTGCTGGAAGTTGTTTGGAGGCGAAAGGCGCAAAAGGACTTCTCGGCACTGACTGGTGCAGAAGGCGGGCAGATCCAGTCATGGGGAAGAACTAAACCGAAAGCAGAAACCTGGCAGTCCATCAGCTGTTTCTGTGTGGTAACGTTTTCATGGTGAACCCATGGGGTAAACTCGGACGGAAGGCTTATCTACTTGGCAATCCACACGACATCCACACTCGGCCACACATTCGGGCACACCGTATTGATAAGAGGCTAACGTCCGAGGATGGCACATGTTATTACTGGAAATGAATTGCTGAGAGACTGAGATCGTGAGGGAAACGGGGTGGCTAAAGTGGTTGCAGTTGTCACCGAGAAAATCTGCGGTCCAAATTGGAGAGGCTCAGGCAGAGAGTTGGGGAAACTCTGAACAGTACGTACCTCGCGGAACAACTGCAAGCATCCAAGCCGCAGCTTACCTAAGACCGGTACTTCAGTACTTGGGTCCACCACGGCAGTACGAGAGTAACGAGACCCCATATCACGTGGTCACCTGTCCGCGGCTGCATCTCAGACTCCTTCACTCCACGACGGGGTAAACACCGATGGTACCCGCCCTCATACCAAACTATCACGTAAATTTTTCGTCTTTTTCTCCAGAGTCCCTTGAATTTGGGCGGCACGAGCACTCGTCAATTCCCATCAAATCGCGCAAATTCCCAGTTGCAGTGTGTCACCATGCTCGGCCTGGCCTCTCGGTCCTGGGGAAGCCTGTCAGATGTCTGATTGGATGTTGGCAAACTTGTCCCGAACGACGTCTCTAACACCGATGTCGATGTTCACCAAATACCTGAATCGCAAAGTAATAATACGGAGACTTCGCGTCTTAGTCTGTCGCGTTGCTGGAGCTGCCTTGTGCCGAGCCGCACCTTCGATAAGGATCGCCTGACCAGCACGCAATGATTGAAACGCCCACTTTTCATAAGCCCAAGTTTGAAGAGGAAGGCTGACTTCTGTGCCGCCGCGGTTGATACGAGACGAATCCTATTGCGAGAAACCTACTGTCGGCGTTCGCGAACATGATTCAACTCGGTTATTTCTTCAGAACAAGGGACCTACAAAGCTTATCAGCCTTGACCGGGGAGCTGGAAAGGGTAATTGATACCGCCCATCTCCAATTCTATGTATCAGTCCCCGTTGTCTGGTACCCTTGATGCGGACCGGTGGAGGTCCAAAGTTGCCGTTTCCCCCGCATCCAGCACGCTGGCCAAGAGAAACGGAAAACTGATCCGACACCAGCTCCTTTGACTAGTGCCTTGTCGGCGACCCATCCCGATCCCGATCCCGACTTATAAGTTTTGTTAGTTACGAGGTGGCTCAACTTCGTTCTTCTTGGCCGCTCAGAGATACGAAATATCTACATGAGCCTGTTTGACTCAAATGTTTTAGTCTGGGCGTCAAGCCTGCGTCACACACGCACACACACGATAACGACGGGGCGAACCCCGTCCAGGCTTCCACATGTCCGTTGCGCCTTGCACGCGCCCTTTAATCACACGTCCCCCACGAGAAAGCACGCCACTTTGCTGGTCTGGGTCCGGAGCCCCGGATTCTGATGGCAAGCACGAGGCTCATCTCGGCCAAACCACAATGGCGGCGGATCCCTTGGTGGTACAGAAAGTTGGGGAGACGAGGTCCAACCTGACAATTTTCATTTCCATTACGTTTTGGCTGCAAAAGCTATCGATCCTGCCTTCTCCTATACCCACATTCGTCCGCAAATTTCTTCACAACTATTACACCTCGACAACACCAATTCTCTTAGTCCGAACACCGAACACATCCCCATCTCGGTATACACAAGTTTTCAAAGAGCAAGCAAGGCTACGGCACCAGCGGCCATCGCCTGAAGGATCGAGCCACCGTGGGCGTTCGCTCCGTTCACGGTAACTGGCGGCGGGCGGGCTGTGGTACTGTTCGCGGTGATAGTCGGCAGCGCAGCAGTCGTCGTTGGCGTGTTGGAAACAACCGGAGGTGCTGGAAGAGAAGTGGTCGGTTTAGGCACAAGAGAAGTCTCTGCTGAGGTGCTCCCAATTTCGGAAGTGAGGGTGAAGGTTGCGGTAGAAGTCGAGGCGAAGAAGGACGTGGAAGTCTCCTCGTCTGGAATCGACTCCGTGAAGAAAAGGGTGGACGTCACCGTCGAGCCGGGTTCCGTGTTGACACCGCCCGGACCGACGCATTGCTTGCCGATCGGGCAGCACGCATACTGGCCGTTGTTGCCGAGCCAGCACGTGGACGTCAAGGGGCAGCCACCCTGCTGGTCTGGGCAGCAGGTGTAGGTCAAGGGAATGCAGCCATCGCCGCAGTCCTTGCGGCCAGACTCGCTGCACGGGATCTCTACAATCTGGCGCTTGAGAGGAGAGAAGGCCTCCTCGGCGAGAGCCAGGGCCGGAAGGGCCAGAACAAGAAGTTTCTTGATCTGGAACATGATGGCTATTAAAGCGAGTGTGTTGAAACGAGAGTGAAGGGTTGTTGGTAAAGGTTGAGCTGCTTGATGTCCGAGATAGCCTATCATTCCCTTCTATTTTCTTTGGGAATTCTCGTGCTTAAGTACACGGCGCACAACGTAAGGCTGTGATATTGGGCTCTGTGCTACTCCTCCTCGGAGATGCAACATTTCAGCTGCCACACTGAACGGAAATGAGCAGCCAGCAATTACTCAGTGGCGCCCAATTGAAGGCATCACAGCAGTGCCATACAGCACACTGCGTTTTTCTGTTCCTGCAGCTAAACTAGCCCGCGATGTCAGAGTCCTTGCCTAAGTGGCCGTTGAGCAAAGTTAGAGGACGTGATGGTGGCGTCGGGAACTAGGGTCTGGGGTTAAGCAATTGCTTATTTTAAGGGCTCAGCTTTCTTGTGGCTGTAGGTAAGCTCGGGGAAGAGTTACCCCGCGCGTCGATAACCACGATCTCTTGAAGCTGTCAGGCTGGGTGGCTGGGCTGATTCGAGGAACACGATCAACCAGATCATCAGAACCCCAGACACGGGGCTTGCTTATGGGAGTCTGTCTGCCTGTCAAACTGCTGCTAGCACTGCAGCCAGGACTTAGTTCCTGTTGATTGTGCATTGTTGCGGCAGGCTGTGAACATGGTCTCGTGCTGCCGAATCAGATTTAAGCTTGTTTTTCAGCTGCCGGCAGCTAACGTTGTTTTAATTTGACTACGGCGAGTGGCTTGCAATGTCGTTGTCGTGAGAGCCTATATTTCCCTCCAATTGGCATATCCAAAATGATGCTTCCCGAGTCCCTCTTCCCGCCCTGGAAACCTTGATGCACACGTAGAAGATGATGAGATTAAGGATGTCTTGTCCTGACTTGGCCGTTACAGTTGGTCTCAGCTAACATCTTGTCATTTACCTAACTTGCGGTCATACTCACTGACCGAGCATCGTGCGCTAAGACTCCGCCTAAAACCACATGTTCATGAAGCCATTTTGCTCGTCTTTGGGTCTCGAAACAAGTCATCCGTTGCCTCACAACCATCAGGAAGGCAAGCCATAATCCTATCTCCCGCCCATGACGCCCTACCCGTTTGCCTACACATGCAGGCGTCGTGGCACACATTTCGGACCTGGCCCACCCACTCCGCCTCAGTCACCTGCACAAGCAGACTCAAACGGCCAATGAGATACCGGGGACGATTAGACAACTCAATGGGGCCGTCGTCAAAGATGAATACCGGTACTCCATATGGTTTAAATCCAGGGGTCTTTCATTTGTGGGTGGCCCCTGACGTTGATGTGCCTTAGCCCCGACTTGACGGGCGTTCGTGTCCGACTAGCCCTGCATTGTACTTTGCCTCCACGCTGTATTCACAGTCTATCGATGGGCAATTTATTGTAGAGTTACTGGTAGTGAATCCTTCTTTGGCTTCGTCTTCGTGTTGCGTACCACAGATGTCGATCGCCGGTGAGTGATGACTGTTAACAAACTCCTCGTTCGTATCACCCACGAGCGGAGGCTACAATCAAACAGCGTCAGCACTAGATGAGGGCTGACAGTGACATACCTTGGAGATAAGCGAGGAATTAGCAAGACAGAAGTCAAAGTGGCTTTCCAAGGCAGAATTGCACCGGGAGTAAAGGTGATCTTACGCATTACCTCAACATTCAGCCGGGCATATTATTGGTGAATTCGGGATAGGTATACTTCTCATGCAGCATATTCTGGGTAAGTGCTGTAGCTTCAGAACTCTGGTAGTCTATCAGTACTCCAGAGTGGCTGATCACGGCCATTCTTTACCCGGCATCTGGATGTAGGCTCAAGATCCCGTTCACTATGTAGAGTCTCACAGGAGCGAGACTAGCGGTCACATGCTGTCGAATAAAAAGTCCCACCGAACTCCGACCATGATGTCCAAGGAGCCTAGGAGATCTGGATCGCACTCCGAACTAAGAACGGCGGGCCTCGGTTGTGGGGTCCCGGCGAACTCAAACTCGGCGCCGGATCCGCAAGCCGAACGCTTCGGAAACTCGGCACGGTCCGCCCTAGCAACGCGCTAATGACGTCCTTGCCGCTCACCAAACCCCCATTCCTTTTCTTCCTCACTTCACACCTCTTTTGAACGATTGCAGAGATCCCAAGCCCGATCGAAACCTCCACAATCGTCAAGACTTGACTTGTCACGTCCATCAAGCGTGTAATCTGCAAAGCTTCCTGTATTCTATATCTCAGTACCCTGTTTCATCATCATGTCCGGAGCCAGAGCCGTCGTCAAGACGTTAGATCACCTCGTGCTCACCTGCGCGAGCGTCCCAAAGACGGTCCAGTGGTACACCAAGTACCTCGGAATGAAGGCAGAAACATTTACGTCGCCGTTAGATCCATCCGTCCAGAGGCACGCGCTCAAGTTTGGCACGCACAAAATCAATCTGCATCAGCAGGGCAAGGAGTTCGAGCCAAAGGCCAAGACCGCGCTACCAGGCACGGCTGACCTCTGTTTCTTGGTGGAGGATGGCACCGGTCTTGAAGAGCTGATTAAGGGATTCCAAGGAGACGGCGTTCAGGTTCTCGAGGGCGAGAAAGTGGTTGCGCGAACGGGCGCACAGGGCCCCATTCAAAGCGTTTATGTGAGGGATCCTGATGGAAACTTGATTGAGTAAGTACTTCTCAGTGTCGGATCTTGATGATATGTCACGTGAAAGAACTAATACCAGTTTCCGTAGGCTTTCCCATTACAAGTCATAGGTGGCTGTCTACATTATGTGCATAATTGCACAGCCCAGATGGCCCCCAATAATACAGCAACGTCGGGGATTTTGAATTCTGAACTTGAGAGCGATGGTCACTCGCTAAGTATGGCCTGCTCGGTTTTTGCCTTCTCTCGCTTCTCGAAGTAGCTGATCAGGAAGATACTTGAAAGCTCCAGAACGCTCACTCCACACATGACGGAGAAACCCATGTGGAAGGAGGGTGCATATTTACCCACATCGAGGATCACAACTGTAACAATTAGAGTCTCTTCACGATATCGAGGTCAAGATAGTTGCAGACCTGGAACCCATGCAATGAAGGCTTGGCCTAGAGTCTGTGCAACTCCAATAACGATTGCACGCTCCTCCATGTTCTTGTGCATGATCTCAATAGCCCATGCCTAGTCGACGTCAGTGAAGAGATCAAAATGACCGCAGATAAAGAGATCTCACGAAGAGGACTGGCCAGAAGCCCCACTAAGCGGCGTTGAGGACATATCCTACAAAGGTCAATGCGAGGCCGGACTCGACTGCTACCATGATCATGCCGATGAGGTTGATGGTCTACAGCTTATTAGCGACATCTAGGTAATGCCTGATTTTTCCGGTACTGACAGCTGGAACCAGTAAAACCTGCCACATCTTTCCCAGGCCATCACAGACCCAGGCATACAAGAGAGTAGTCACAAGACCGACGGCTTGTGCTGCAGTGGAAAAGAGATTGATCTGGCAGACCGTGAAACGGTTCAAGGACTTAAGCCACACGGAGAAGTAGTTGAGGGGTTGTGTGACGACACAATGACAACTGTGATTTATGTCAGACTGTTCCGTCCACAGTAGCGAGGGACACAGAGAACACACATCAATGCGAAGCTGAAAACATAGATTGGCCAGTTCGTGAATATAGCTAAAACCCTAGCTTTTGTCAAAGGATCGGGTTTGCGCCGGTCGATGGCTTCCATCCGCGCAATATGCGTGACCTGCTCACCCGGGCGCATCCAGCGGGCTCTGGTGATATGAAGGTTGTCAGGGACGGCGAAAAATCCCCAGATGGGTGCCCAGATGGAGAAGATGCCAAAGACAATGAAGAGCCACCGCCAACCTGGGAGACCACCGACTCCATTCAGACCTTTGTAGATTGCGGCCTGGAGATATCCGCTGAACATGGTTGCAGCATAGCTAGCCGGGTAGAAGATTGAAATCCGCTTAGAGAGTTCTACGGAACGAGGTTAGAACAAAGAAATGAGTCTTCGCAAAATGGATGCTCTTACCTCGAGGGGTATACCAGCTTCCCATGATGGTCAAAACGCCGACTACAAAGGGGCTTTTGAGGAATCCAAGCAGGAATCTCATTGCTGAGACTTGACAAACATCTTTGACGGCGGCAAAACAAAAGGTGACGATGGTCCAGAGAAACTCGGCCATAGGTAGGTAAATTGAAGGGCAGACTACAAGTTGTCAGTCTTTTTGGCTAGAGATAAGAACAGATTGTATCTGAATAACCTACAACGGGTGAGCAGGAATTGAGAAGGGATTTGGCCGACTAGATATCCGCAAGTAAAAAAAGTTTGCAGCAGGTTATACTCGTTGCCTTGAAAGCCAAGGTCCTCTTTCATACCACTGACATACGCATTCGCTACTATCTGTGAGAATTTGAGATGCTTCAGAACCTTAGTATCAGGATTTCTGCCGTTACTGATGTTGCTTGAGTCGAGTAGTCTAACGAAATATCCGAAAGTCGCCCAGCTTCTGTAGTATCAACGGTCAGTACAGCTCGGAGGCCAAAGTTAGAGTTTCAGTGTACGCTACAACACAAAGAAGTCAAGGCGTTGCACAAGGCGGTGTTCTTCTTTTGTTCGAGTACCATCCCATACGACACCCCTTAGGAGGTCCCATCTCATTGATGAGGGTTCTTGTGGCCCAGGAATCTCACCGTCATCTTTTTTTGATCCATGTTTGGAGTCCATGGCAGTTCCAGGTCGTTAAGTGGATAGTCGTGAATGTAACCTGGAGGATGTCACACAGGAGAGAAAGGTATTTCGAGATGAAGGAGACATCAAAACCCCTTTGCGTCCCTGATAGTCAGGGCGAGGCCGAAAGAGCCCATTCTCGGGCTGTTACCGAGTCCTCGGAGCTGATGCAAATTTAGAACGAATGACAACATAACGTGTCTAGTGGGGTTTGCATTGATTGGAGCCAAATACTGGTTCTTGTGCATTCTCCGGGAGCCATGTCTGGCAAATTTCGAAAACCACCATGTTCTCCTCTTTCATACCAATTATGGCTCTATTTATATTTGAGGTGACTTCCAACGTGGTCATTGCGGAGATGCTTCTGATCAGCACCGTACATCCTCTCACGCAAAGTGATGCCATCTCCCGAGAGTCCGTCATGCCCATATAGTCCTCTTTGACGGAGCTCAGGCACTAGCAAATCTACCAAATCTTCGAAGCTTCCAGGGCTTGTGACATGGCCTACGTTGAAACCATCTAAATCTGCAATTCTCACCCACTCTTCGAGGAAGTCGGCCACTCGAGCCGCCGATCCGAGGGGTACAGGTCCGTTCCCGCCGATTGCCATGGCTTTTCCGATATTGCGAGGTGTCCAAGCTGGGATGTCGTCGCCACGATACTTGAGACTACTAACCAAAGAGTGAACCCGCCCGTCAATTGTAGCATCGTCTGGTCTTATTTCTGCGTCGAGATCGTACTTGGCGAGGTCTATTCCAGCATTACCTGAAAAAAAAGCAAGACCAGCTTCGAAGCTGGCATATTCCAAGGCTTTGCGGTACTTTGCACTAGCTTCCTCATCTGTTCCTCCAATGACTGGTGTAATGACGGCGAAAATCTTAACACTACCAGGATCACGACCAGCTGCGGCTGCCTGCTCGCGGATGGCAGCTACGCGGGGCGCCAAGATGTGAGGTGATAGCCCCGATATCATAATGCCTTCTGCATGTTTGGCAGCGAAAGCTATACCAGCGCTGTGAAGCTTTCAGCTTAGAGTGGGCGTGTGAAGCATATGGGAGCATATGGTTCGTACTTACGATGATGTCCCTGCTTGAAGCAGGAACGGAGTTCTTTGAGGTGAAGGGTGCAGAATGTGAGGGGCGTCCACATTGAACCTTGCCGTATGATGCTTGACCCACCGGATACGACTGGGATCAGCGTAAATATTGTTCTTTGCATCTTTTTTGAGAGCATCGTCTGCCCACGAGCCTTCCCAGATTCTGACCTCTTAGTCTTAAACCTTCATTACACTCGTATAAACTTACTCGTAGAGCAACTCCAAGTATTCATCAGCAGCGGCATATCTCTCATCGTGTTCGACATATGAGACGCCGACCTGGTGAACATCAGCCATGGACCTTCATACCGAAGTCTCTACGTAGTTTAACTTACGGCCTTAGCAGCAGATTCCTTGAAAGAAGTGACGATGTTCCAGCCAAATCGTCCCTTCGTAAGATGGTCGAGGGTCGAGAACCTCTTTGCGACGACGAATGGTGCTTCGTAACTCGTACTGGTCGTTACGATGAACCCAAGTTTCTTCGTTACAGCTGCCATCGCCGTCACCGGCTACTCATAGTGTTAAGAAATGATCAACGATGGAAACATTAGATCCGTTGCTTACAATAACAGGGTCACCCATGGGAAATTGGCAACTTGTCCGTATCGTTGGTTCGGCGCTCCCATTGTAAATATCGTGCTGACCATAAGTATCAGCCAGGATCAACGCGTGAATGTCCCCTCGCTCAAGTGTCTGCGCGAGATTGGTCCAGTAACTGAGATCCCCAAACTTGTCGGCGACTTCATCTTCGCCCCTGCGCCACTGGCCGAAGCAAAGGTGGCTCGGCGTGAACATGTCAAATGCATTGAGAATGATTTGCCGCCTGGCAGGAGGTTGCATCTTGGCGGGGTAAGCTTGTGCTGCGTTGAGTCCTGCCGATGCTGCACCTGTTACCATCGGCAAAAGAGGTTGATAAATAATTGCGTAGTTGGTCTTCAAAGATCACGCAATCAACCTGTAGCCGATTTCGGCAGTAGGTACGAATACTCGATTCTCGCACTTTCTTATCAGAGTCAGAACCCGGACAAGACCGGGATTTATCAAATTCGCAAGCTAGACTCCGTATGGCGTATCGTGGAGAATTGATGCATCCTTGGTTACATGCTTGTTTGGAACCAATGGAGTCTTTCTTCCCCTCATATAATCACCGAAGGGAATTTCCTGCCAAGTGACTGACTGCATTGCGCTATATGCACAATCCTATTGAATTGGGAACCGGGGTTATTTGCAAGCAACAGTGATAGTTGCGTCATCCACGTGAGATACCGGTAATCGACGATAACGAGGATAGAAACTCAATCGCATTCTAGAGCAAGACCAATTGGAAGATTTAAGAGTCATTGTCTTTGTTTTTGTGATCAACCATGGCGCCAGGCGCGATCCTAGACCCGTCTATCGATACTGCGAATGCCCTTTCAGCAGCTGACAACAATATTCTTCGAACCATCAACCCTCATTTCTTGATAGAAGAGCATCCGATTGATGAACACCAAAGTGTTCGAGCCATAGTTGTGGGTGCCGGCATTTCTGGCATAACCGCTGCCATTCTACTCCCCGCTAAGGTTCCTAATCTAAATCTCGTAATCTACGAGAGAAACAACGATCTTGTAAGTCGATGAAGAATGGTATTGTGAAGCACTAGTCACTGATACGTGAGGTAATGAAGGGAGGCGTCTGGCATACCAACATCTACCCTGGTGTTCGGTGCGATGTGCCCGCTCATGCCTACCAGGCTACATTCGCCCCATCGACAGATTGGACTGAAGCGTATGCCACTGGCTCTGAGATTCAATCTTACTGGCAAGGTGTTGCGCACAAGTACGACGTGCGCAAGTTCATTCACTTTAAGCACAGCGTTACGTCTGCGGAATGGTCCGAGGAAAAAGCTAAATGGATCGTTAAGATTCAAACAGGCGACGGCGTAATCACTGACGAGGGCAACTTCTTGATAACTGCCACGGGTCACTTTAGCGACCCAGAGCTTCCTCAGTATCCTGGAATCGACAAGTTTGAGGGTCACTTGCGACATACCTCAAATTGGGACCCTGAGTTCGACCCAAGGGGCAAGCGGATTGCAGTCATTGGGAATGGCGCTTCCGGGCTACAAGTGCTCCCGCAGCTACAAAAGATTGCTGCAAGAATTGATCATTATGCCCGCAACAAAACGTGGGTTGCAGCGCCAATCGGAGGAGAAGACCTGGCGGACTTCGTCGCAGAGAACATCGAAGGCGCGCGGACAGACCCCGAGAAGTATCTCAAATTCCGTAAAGCTCTGGAGGCAAAACTTTTCAGCCGCTTTGGCGGAATCTTCAAAGACGGACCTCAGAATACAGCGGCTGAAGATTACATCAAAGAACTCATGAGAGCACGACTGGGGGCCAATTCCGAGCTTGCTGATGAGATTATACCTGAATTCCCAGTAGGCTGTCGTCGGCTGACGCCAGGCCCGGGCTATCTCGAGGCACTGACTGCGGAAAATGTTAACTACATCACCGAGCGAATCTCAGAGTTCACTGAAACCGGAATTCGGACTGTGGATGGTGGGTTCCCTTCCCTGCTCATCGTGAAAGCTTTTTAACTGACAGTGATTAGGTACTCTTCGCGAAGTTGACGCTGTGATCTGCAGTACAGGTCACGACATCACATTTAGCACTCAGTTTCCAGTCATTTACAAGGGCCTTGACCTCCAAAGGGCTTGGAGACCTGGTGGAAAGCCAGGATTCCCAGACACTTACTTGGGGATGCTTGCTCCAGAGGTTCCGAACTTCATCACAGTACTCGGACCAAACGCCACAGGACCAGCAGGAACGCTGTGCCATGCGGTAGAGAACCAGCTCACATACGTCGCCAAGATACTCCGAAAGTTTGCAACCCAAGGCTTACGGACCATAGCCCCGACAACAGCTGCAACTCAAGATTTCCGAGCCTACACTGAATCCTTCTTTCCGCGCACTGTCATGAGCGAGCACTGCAGCTCGTGGTACAATGGCGGGATCAAGGGAGGGAGGATCCATGGTCTCTGGCCCGGCAGTGCTGCTCATGTTGACCTGGTTCGGAAGGATCCGAGGTGGGAGGACTTTGAGTACACCTATCAGAACCCCCAGGGAAACAGATTTGGGTGGCTGGGGAATGGCTGGACCAAGAAAGATGTTGCAGCTGCTCATGGCGACGCTGGGTTGGAATTAGATCTGACTCCTTGGCTGGAGAAAGGCGCTTTGAGTGGTGACGTGGACCTGAGAAGCTACCATGAGAAATGGTGGGTTAGCTAGTAGTTGTTTCTTTGTTGCACTTCATTCAAGACTGAGCATCTAGATGTCATTACCATTATGAATACTATACGTATCTAGCTGCAGGAACTTAGAGCTCCGGTCTTTTGAAACGCAACTTCGGTGGGGTCCTCGCCACCCAACTTGATATCAAAGCTGGTATTCCATCCATCAGCATCGACGCTTCCACTGGCTGTGTAGACCGACCACTGGCCTTGATCTTCTTCAGTGGCTTGGAAGTTGATCTTTTCGACGTCAAGCCTAGGAACAATCACCCCCTGCCTGCGGACCTCGTGAACCAGATCCATAGTCAGGCCATCAGCAGTGGCGGGCACACGGTCCTTGCGAACAAGAGCCTTGACTGTGACCGGCAGCTTTCCATCCGCGACATTTCCAATGCAGGACTTAGACTGCTGGTACAGGAGGACATCGCTCATGGGATATCCGTTGCCAGCGTTATCGTACGTGATGGTCTCGTTGGTTGACGGCTTCGTAACGTGGATGTAGAACTTGCTGATGCCCGTGTCAGGGCTGATTACGGTGTCGAACTCCCACCAGTAGAAGCTCTCCCTCCATAAGCCAGAGGCGCTACCACCTTGGAAGGTCGCCTTACGGGTAGTAATGACGGTTGATCCGTTGCCGTTGCGGTCAGCGTACGTCAGCTGAACCGAGAGATCATTAGGATCCCGGCCAGTGACCGCGGTGGTGCGGATGCGAATGCGGCCGCCGAAGGACAGGTTGCCGTCGTCCTTGAGGAAGAGCCCGCTGATGTAAGGCTTAATGTCTGTGGCTACGATGGGGTCGCTGAGCTTAACGTTGGCGGGGACAGTATCAATCATACGACTGAAGATATCGGCGCAGGTAGCCTGGAAAGCGTCAGGGTCGGCCATGGCTTGCATCGTCTTGTTTCCATCTGCAGCGAAGATACGCTTGTCTGAGTTGAGGGTATCGTTTGTGCCAACAACCAGAGGGTTCTTGGTTGTGCCATCCAGATATTCAGTCACGACGACGTTGTCGAACTTTGCAAATTCGGTATCGAAGTGCGCTACGGTGTCGTTATTGGGGTCCGCCGCGACGCCGACGATCTCGGGGAAGTCCATGCTGTGTACACCTCCAAGAGTATGACCGCATGCAACCATGGCAATCATGTCGCTCTGAGAGAAGCCTGCCTTGGTGAAAGCCTGCTGGGTAGTGTTGAGATCGGTCTGAGGCTCCGGGACACCGGCAGGGCCGGCCTCTTGAGCGTCAATACGGCCGGCTCGGAACGGGATTTGGATCCCGCCGCAGGCAAAGCTGGCGACGAGGACACTCATGGCCAACAAATCAGAGGCAGAGGCGCGGATGGAGTGGAAGCTGCTGAAAAATCCGAAGGTGTTGTTGAAGGCGCCTCCGATGTTCTCCGGGCGGTCCAACTCGAAGAAGATGGACGCGTCCAAGCCACCAGTGCCAGCGGCAGCATCGTGCGTAGCCATGTCGTGGAAAGCGGCGCGGATCCATTCAGCAGAGTTCTGGCGGCCTGGAATGCTTGTGCCGAACCCGCACGTAATAACGCCTAATGACTTGTCAGTAGTTGATCAAGGTTCCGTGGCAGAAATGCAACTGACCATCGATGAAGCCTCTTCGAAGGTATCCGGACTGGAGAGAGAGATGATCCTCGAGCTCATCGTACTGAGAAGGCCAAACATACTCCGTCGCGGCGATGGACGCTAGCGCGAGCGTGGAAAGAATGCCCTGCCTCATGATGGGTGCAGTCCGATAGCGAACGACTAGAACGAAAGGCAGTTGCGCGACCAAACACTCAGTTCATCTAACATCGCGCCAGCCCTCAGTCGCTTTATGGGTTTCCAGAAAAGCTCTTCCATCTCGGCAATGCAACGTTGGACGGGGCGACCCTTGGACCCTGCAGTGATGGGACGGAGACATTTGGGCGCTTGGGGGGACAAGATCTCGTATTCCTCTTTCCCACCAAATTATTCTGGTTCTTTTCAATGCCGATAGCGAGCTCCTATTATCCCATCGGTTCCTACCGTTGTGGACCACGCCCAGAAATGCTTGAAGTTCAGTGCTGGTCTAGTTCATTTCCCGAGACAAGGCCTCCCTAGCTTATCCCCAATGCATCGTGGGGAATAGCCTCCTGCCCAATAAGGCAGCTGTAATTACCTAGCACACATCCAGAAATACGAACGACGTGGGCGACGATCAACGCACCGTCGCAGCGTGCTGTAGCTTGTTCGTGTAAAGATGCTGCAAGTGCGGACGCCCTACCAGATCTGGATTACTCGACATGGAACTCGGCCGGGATCATGGCGAGGGGAATACGAGATATCGTCCGACAAGGCGATCTGAGAAAGTAGTTCTTTCGGGACATGTAGCCGTGAAAGCCGGAGAATGGCAGTTGTGGCTGAACGTCTGAACACTTAGGGGATATCTTCTGGTGCGGAAGTTACCCACTTTGTCCACACAATTTCGGGGCTCTCAATAAGGTTGGCAGAGAACCTACTACGAAACTTAATTGCTCAGCACCTTCTTGGGGAACAAAGTCATCTTCGCCCAGGGGTAAAGTACTTACATTATGCGGTAAGAATATGCAACTTGGCGCTGACCAAGTCGCATCCAGTGTAAGGGTGACGGAAAAACGGCTGCCCGAAACCTTTTCTTCCGGCTCTGGACTTCTTCCGTTCCAGTGCGTGTCGGGATTATGCCGTCATCGAAGTCAATTGAGGAGCTAACGCTTGGGCGCTCTCCGAGCTTTCGTTGAGAGTCCGACATATCTCCTAGTACCTTTATGACCTCTTATGATATCTCAACTCAGGTACTACGTGTATAAACACAACGATTCAACATGGGCGACGCTTCAATTCTTCACATGCCGACAACCCTTATATTTGGGGGCAATGGCAAAACCGCCCGTCAACTGACAGCAATCCTTCGGGACGCCGATACCCCGCACACCATCTTCAGCGTTATCCGCAATCCGGAACAGATTCCGGACTTGGAAGCCATCGGCGCAAAGCCAATTGTCCAAGACATCTCTACCGCTTCTGAAGTCGACTTCATCAAAATCATTGAGGGCACCCGGCCCGACGTTGTGGTGTGGGCAGCTGGCGGCAAGGACCCCAAGTCCGCTGAGGCCGTTGACCGGGATGGAGCCATTCGCGCCATGGATGCCCTGGCCAAGGCCAATGTGGTCGCCAAACGCTACATCGTCGTCAGCGCCCTCGACGTCCGCGACCGAGACAGCAAGCCCGTTCCGGACTGGTATACTGATGCCGATGAGAAGCTCAGCGACCGTATGTGGGGTATCATCGGTCCCATTCTCCGGGCTAAGCTAGCGGCCGACACGGAGTTGAGGGTGGGGAATGCGGCTCGCAAGCTTAACTACACCATTGTGAGACCGGGTGGCTTAACTGAGGGACCCAGCACCGGAAAGGCACGGGCAGGAAAGGTTGGCACCGTCGGCATGATTCCTAGAGAAGATGTCGCCAAGGTAGTCTACGCGGCGATTCAGAATGAGAAGACCTACGGGCTGGCATTCGATGTGTTGGGGCCCAAAGACGACAGCCCAACGATCAAAGAAGCTGTTTCACAGGTGGCAAAACATCACGAAGATACGTTTGAAGGCTACTATTAGGCAACCAAAACCGATATGTATAAATTCATGACTACTTCTGATCTTTGGGTACAGTAAGCATTCTTGCCAGGGTCCGATAATTCCAGCAGACATGCCATCAACTCAGTCGGTTGCATCTACGCCAGTAGCGGCTTGTGCCGGTGCAGCGGGCTTGCGGCCAAAGATGGCCCAGCTATACCAATAAGTCAGTGTGTAGACAGAAAAGTGCGTGTATCTCCTACTCACATCGTGAAATATGCGTGGATGTTCCGGTCTCCGAGGTCCTTACGTGCCTCCATCGCAAGAACCAGCACTTCCTCCTTGGTCCAGTCCAGCGCCCGAGTTAGAGGTGCCATGATAAAGGCTTCCCAATGCGGGGCCATGTTTTCATAATTCCAAGCGCCGAGTTCCTTGTACTTTGGATCCTTCGGCCATGGGTTAGTAGGCCATTTGTACCTTCGGCACTCTACATCCTCAAAGCCGACCTCAACCATGACATCCGCCAGAAATCTGAGGTTCTGAAACGGCCGACCGAAAATGTTAGCAGCCTCTTCCCATAGATTCAAGCTCTTGACGAGTGCTGAATCTGGTTTCAGGGTGCCGTCGTCAGAATGGGCACCGGCGTTGATCTCGTTGAGCTCAAAATAGCCACCGGGGTTGAGGTTGCTATCAAGACATTTTCAGTCAGCCAGTGCCTATTATAGACAATTGTATATCATTGTTCTTACTCGAAAGCTTGCTGACAGTATCGCTTCCAATCCTTCACACAGGAATTCATCATGCGACTGTGAATGTAGTCGAATGGGCGCGAGTAAGTCCAGGGTTCCTCAAGATCGTCAACCTCGAACCGAACGTTCGGCGGGACACTGTTATCAAGACATTAGTCAGTGGGCTTCCAACCTGCGTCTTCGTGATCGAGCATGAGCTAAGGTTGATGGGCGTACAAGCCTGGCTGGGCCGGGGACAAATCGATGCCCAGGACCTATGATAGCACGGTTAGAAACTGCCGCCTCGGCCTCGATATTTCACATGGACTCTTCTGACTCGTACCTCAGATTCCGGATGGTCGTCGCCAAAGTCGATGGCCCAGATTCCAGAGCCGGTGCCAACGTCCAAGACTCGGCCTACCTTGTACTCCGGGTCATTAGGTGGCGCCGCCCCCAGACGATTGTCGAACATGCGAATGAAGAGATTGTGTTGAAGGTCTAACACTCAGCAGTAATTAATACCATGGCCTCAACTTTTGATGCAGATCATCTCTAGAGGTGCCGACTATGATTTATGGATGTGCGAAACAGGAACGCACCCAGTCTGTCATTCTCCTGCTCATCGTTTGGGATGTAATATTCTATTTTGATTAGCAAATGATTGAAGACGCCGGTTGGTAGAACGTACTGCCATCCTTGTAGCGGTGGTATGTTCGGCCGTTTTCTAGTCTATAGTCGAGGATCGAGCTAGAAAGACTGGCGCTTGAAGATACAACACTCGACTAGGTCGACCATTAGAAAGACCCTCACCGCAAGAGTAGAACTGTGGAGTTTAAGAGAGTATTACACCTCTGGTTGACTGGTCATCATCTGTAGTCTGTCGCAGGAATAGAAAGGTAAGCTAAAGAACATATTGTCACATTCCACGCATATTTATGCCCTGCTTGTCATTGAAGCTGGCTCTTACTTCGTCTGCCGCAATGGAATCACGGTCATCGATGGCAACCTGGTGCTGCGCCGCGGGCACTGGTGGAGGGCTGGTAGACCCCGTGGCTGCTGCCGTCGGAGTTGTATCGGGAGACTGAGACATGCTGGACAGAACTAGCAAAGTAACCCGGTAATTGATGAATTTCAGTCTGAGGTAGTTGAGGTGGATAGATAAGTAATGAATCTAGTAGTGCCAGGAGCAAGTTTGATCGTTGATGAAGATAAAGAGCCACTCGCTACATAACATCCTTTCGAGTTGAATGACCGGGATGTGTTGTTACCCCTCTCCTTGGCTGGAGACAATCATGCATGTTTGCGGCGAATGTCCCAACCAACATAATGTTCGTGGAGGAAACTCCCAAAAGGACAAAGTGACGCGCGTATCAGATCCGAGGAAGTATTGGACAGTGGAGCTGTCATCTGCATCTTGCTAATCCTATTTTGGTACCAATTCAATCCCCAGAACACCTATGTCTACATTTTCAGGCGAAAAGATTGAATCCATGCGAATGCTTGAGTTTCCGATACGGAAGAATTTGGTCGTAACAGATGCTGGGGACTAGTGCCGTTCTTAAGTTCTGTGGTAAGTCAACCATTAATGTCGAGTAAGTACCTAGTAGAATCAGGATCAGAACACAAAATCAAAACATTGCATTTCCTTCTCTAGCTAAATATCATGTGAATGCGCAACTTCAACGCAGGCCATGAGAAGCCCGAGGGTTGATAATCGCTAACCTGCATTGAATGCTGTCTCCCCTCCCCCCTCCATGACACATGATTGCATAACCCCTCATAGGTCAAGGCAATCTCAGACCTCGATGACCTGTTGCTGAGTCACTTAGCCGCGACTCCCTCGACCGCAGGCTTCCTACCGTGTACAGACCAGCTGAGTCGAGAATTAGTCAAATGACGTGTCTGCTATGGAATCACTTACATCGTTTGATATGAGTGAATACGAGGGTCCTTCATCTCATTGCGGACTTCCGTTGCAAAGGCTATGACCTCGTCTTTTGTCCACTTGTGAGCTCTCGTCAAAGCACCCAGCATGAAACCTTCTAGTCCAGCGACGGAGTTATCAAGGTTCCAAAACCCATGTTCTTTGTGTTTCGTATCGCGAGGCCACGGGTTGGAAGGCCACTTGAACACCTGCACGTTGATGTCTACGAATCCGGCCTCGGCCATGAGGTTCTTTAGAGTCGTGTTATCCTGGAATGCATGCCCAAACATGACTGCCGCTCCCCCCCACAACTTCGAGAACCTCATTAGGGCGGCATCGTCAGCAAGCGTCCCATCGTCTGATTTGCAGTACAAGTCGACTTCGTTGAGCTCAAGAAACCCATTGGGGTTTAAATTGCTTTAACGATCGGACGATCAGCATGACAGAAGGTTAAGTTGGTTGAGATATTCAGGGAACTTACTCGAAGCATTTCTGGATATATTCCTGCCAGTTACCGATGCTTGAGGTCATCGGACGACTGTGAATGTAGTCGAAGGGCTCAGAGAAAGCCCACGGCTCCTCGATATCATCAATCTCGAACTTCACATTGGGGGGACGCTGTAATCGTATTAGTGACATTTGCAGCAGGGGGTTCTGTGGCAGAACTGGGCAGAGCGTACAATGTTGGTTGAATGGGTGAAAGGTCAACCCCAAGGACCTTGAAAGAAACAAACAGGTCAGCAGTCAAGGTATGTCTCCAACGTTATTTCAAATTACCTCAGACTCTGGATGTTCATCTGCAAAATCCATTGCCCAGATACCGGAACCTGTACCAATATCAAGTACCCAATTCACCTTCATATTGGTGTCCCTGGCATTCACTGGGGCACTTCCCAATTAGTTGTCAAAGGTGAGGATGAACATGTTATGTTGAATGTCTGCTAGCCCGTTAGTAATTGCGATTCGAAGATTCAATAGCAAGCAGAGACTTCATACCTAATCGTTCATTTTCTCTCTCATCGTTGGGCATGAGATATTCTGTCTATTGTTAACTTTTTTCGTTTTGGAATGAAGGAACCAACTTCCTGCCATCTTTATAGCCATGGTATGTTCGCCCATTCTCCTGTCGAAACTGAAGAATAGAGCTAGTCACACTTGCGGTCGATGAATCAATGCTCTAGGTTGCGTGGTGCTTAGGTTAGTGTCTCATGCTTGCCTCCATGTACCATTCGGCTGGAAAATGTAGAGGAATGGGATAATTAGCACTTACTTCGCCTCCGACGGAAAGGCGATCTTTGCCAGGCTGTTCAATAGAGTAAAGTCGTTAGGGAATGAGATCTGGCACATGGTATGAAGAGACGCCGTTACCTCTTCCGCGTCCAGATCCGGCGTAATCTGTGTCGTAGCATCGTCTCCGTTGGGAAGAGAAGCGCCTCGAGACGAAGCCGATTCTGTGCTTTCCTCGGCGTTGCGTGGTTGGTTGACATCGGACATGGTACACGACAACAGGAGGTTGAGTGAAACGTTAGTTCTCTCACAAAGTCGCTTATGCGAAGTTGGAAGACGTGTTATTATGTACATTTGCATCAAATTGTTGAACGGAGTGACCGGTCTCTGTTGGTTCTATCATTGGCAAGCCCCAGGCTACGTGTACCCCACTCCTGCGATGTGATATTACGCACGTCTGTGGCGACCAGGCCTGGGACGGCGGTTACACTTCCTGATAAAGACAACTACCAGTCAGCTTTCAGCCCGGTTGCACCTCGCATGAAAATATCACATGTTGGGGCGGAAAGCCGGCGAATGACCCATTCATGCACCTTATGTGAATCACGCAGGTTCAAGGATCGCTGGGTGGCACTATTTGGCCCCCTCCACATGGGGCAGCAGAGCATCTCGCAGGAACGCGCTGGGACAGGCCTGATCTGAAGGGTATTGGCATCAGATTACCAAGGTGCAAGAGAAGTCTGCAACTAAAAGGATGCTGCCCAAAGTAACGGGTCGCTGGCTAATCTATACATATCATAGCAAAAGAAGAAGAAGAAAGGGAGTGGCCAGGGCATAGGGCTGTTATCGAGGTTGACGGGGAAACACATATTTTATTGGAACCGGAATCATGTTCCACGAAAAAATACGTTTATTCCCTGAACCTTCGTTCCTTCAACCTATTCGCTGGTTTCTGCTTTTCTGCTTTTCTGCTTTTCTGCAGGCTTTTTGGCATAAATGGACCAGCTGCAAAGGTTAGCTGAGTGATGGTTACGGCGCTGAGAAGATTGGCGTCACTTACATGTTGGAATATGAATGGATTTTGGGATCTTTCATCTCGTTCCGAACCTCCATCGCAAACACAGAGACCTCTTCCCTAGTCCAGTTATGAGCCCTAGTGAAAGGAGCCATCATGAAGCCCTCGAGACCTGCGATAGAATTTTCGTAATTCCAGTACCCGAGCTCCTTATGCTTCTTGTCTCTTGGCCAAGAGTTCGAGGGCCACTTGAAGGTTTGGGCGTGTATCTCAACGAACCCGATATTGCTCAAGACAGTGACCAATTCTCTGTTGTTTTGGAAGGGCCGGCCGAAATATTCCGCGGCTTCACCCCACAAGCGACTCATCTTATTGAGTGCGTGATCATCCTTGAGAGTGCCGTCATCACAGCCGGGTTTGAGGTCAACTTCATTCAACTCGAGGTATCCTCCAGGACTCAAGTGACTAGAGTAATAACTAGCGGCGTGTTTGTATGTTGGAGGATTTAGACTTACTCGTAGCACTTTTGAAGATATACCTTCCAATCCCCAATACTAGATGTCATCATTCGGCTGTGGATGTAGTCAAAGGGTCGTGAATAGGTCCACGTTTCATCAACATCATCAATCTCAAATTTCACATTTGGGGGTGTGCTATTGAGAAAATGAGGTCAGCTGTGGATACAACATGAAATCAACGGCAAGACTTAGGAACCTACGAGGTTGGCTGGATTGCTGAAAGATCGACCCCAAGAACCTGTTAAGGTCAAATCACGCTCGAAGGTCAGTAACCTCAAGTAACACAGACACATACAGATGATAGAGTTCTGGATTTACACTCACTTCAGTTTCGGGGTGCTCATCCCCAAACTCCATAGCCCAAATCCCAGTTCCAGTTCCAACATCTAGAACTCTCTTCACTTCAATACCGGAGTCCTTTTTGTTGGGAGGTGCAGTACCAAGTCGATTGTCGAAAGTAAGCAGGAACATGTTGTGCTGCACATCTTTCCATATTAATTAGCCTTGTGTCAAATGCGACACTTGACAAGATTGTTGGTGTCCCACCAAGTCGCTCCTTCTCTCGCTCATCATTGGGAATGGCATATTCTGCATTCTGTTAGTGATCATGATCTCTAAACTCCCGGACCCTCTTTTTCCACTGACTCACTGCCATCCTTGTATTTATGGTATGTTCGCCCGTTTTCAAGACGGAATTGAAGTACGGAGTCGGCTACACTAGTGCTGGAAGAAGCAATGCTCTGGGTGTCACTATCGTCAGCACATGTAAGAAGCCCCTTGCGGGGTGGTTGGGTTAAGCCTTACCTCTCCTCTAGCAGAAAAGTCATCCCCAGACTTTCTCCAGTCAGCAGAAGAACGCAATATGTTGGCTTTCACTAGTATCTCACATCATCTGGATGGAGGTCAGGGGCGATGGTGGTTGTGAGCTCAGGTTGTTGAGCCTGCGCCGCAGGAGATGATCGAGAGATAGAAGCCGTTTCAGCCGTGGCAGCTGCATTGGCGTTTGATGACATGATTTCATCAGCCTTGTTGAAGTGGAAGCGAGTTTCTGCCGCTTGAGCAATATGTTTAGGACTGCGTAAATAGATCATGCGTCTCAGATCCTGACGAACAGTGCAACTTTTAAACACGAGAAGCCAGTTGGCTGAGAACATTACCCCTCATCTTGGTCAGAGAGAAGTATGCATGTTGGTTGTGACCACGCCATGTAATGCGATGTATGCGGGTTCTTTACCTAGAAAAGAGAGAAGACCGGTATCCTATCGGATTGAAGCGGAAGAGCAGGAACAGACCCTCTCCGGATGTCCTGGCGCGTATCGTATCAATTGCAAGCTGCAAGCATCGGCACGGAATATTCTGCTGTCTGCTGTTGAGAAGGGCTTTCTCGTGTCTGCTGTTGAGAAGGGCTTTCTCGTGTCGGCGGTCAAGATCACCACCTGCCTTCTTAGAACACAACCCTTGCTCCGCTTAGGTAGGTGGCTAGAACTTGTCTGGGGTTCACATTCAAACTTTGCTGGGAACGCTTCGTAGAAAGAGCAAGATTCACATTTATTTCGGGTACATGAACCGGGGCAACGGTACAACAACCAACCTCGGCAGCGTTCGCGAAATTAGCTGAATTTGTACTTCAGTGAGTATGTAGGCATTTCGTCTGAAAGTTCCTCCATCCAGTGGTCCTCAGATGCTTGGCTAAACTCTGCCCTAATTCAATGCGCGCTTGATCTTTACATTCCGAGAAGCTCAGTGCACCTTTAGTTGTAGCTCACGTGAACGTGATCCCTGAGAAAACCTGTGAGTATGCGTTTCTGGACTTTGATTGAGGCAGTAAAACCCACCAATGATTCGCAGTAAAGTCACCACGATCATCCATACTCCGCCAGCTGGACCAAGACTTGACTGAGTCTTGAGAAGGATTCCAGATCTTCTGGCCCCAAATAACATATTTGAGGTCGAGGGTTCCACGGTTGTTCATAACCCACTCAGCAATCTCCTTGCCAGAGATAGTGGGGACCTGTAGAGGGGTTAGCCACGATGTTGGGAGCAAGCAATAAACGCGGCGCGCTTGACTCACACCACCAGCATCAGAGCACATCATATCTGTCGCTTTGCCGCAGCAGTGATCCGAGTCGCCAGGGCATGTGCAGTCACGAGTACAGTAGATTTGTCTAACCCTCCCAGGAAATGCTGCGACAATCTTCTTTGCGCCGCTGACTGCAACCTGCTTACAGGCACCAACAGATGGCACGATTGGATCGTCGTAGACGCCGAATCCGGTGGCAGTGGAGGAGCAACATTTGAAGCCGCTTGGACCTGGGCACTGGTTGGAAGCAGATGTTCCTGCACAGTCGCTTGTCCAACGACAATTGCCCCCACTTCCGCAGGAAGCTTTGGTGCAGCACTTGATGTTGGAAGCATCGGCCGGACAAGCGCCGTCAACAGTTGTACCTCCGTTCGAGGAGCACGAACTTGTAGTTACGCAGACACCTGAGGGGAGTATCAGTCAAGAGTCTTTCATCGAGGCAAGGATGAAGTCATCATACCGGCTCTACCACCGGAACCATAGCAGGGCTCATTGAGCGCCGCCAGTGCGACCTGCACTGAAATGGAGGAGACGACAAGTGATTGGTATCTCATGATGAGTTCTGAAAGAAACAACTTTGGGAGACTATGTTGTAGAAGTGCGTTATTGCGTTGCGAATTCTATCCTGACTGTTACAGACCGTGGAGGCCTGGGTTTATATAGTTTGATATTGACTGTCTGCTTGCTTCTTACAGCAGCTTCTTGCCTTCCACGAGTTTACCCGAGCTTATGCGACACAGAACATCGGCAAGGCAACTATAGCTGAAAGTATGTGCACACCATTACAGCATCTCGAGCTGACCATAAAGCTTGGCACTCGTCACTGGGCCTTACATTTGATGGATTGAAAGCTGATGTAACGCTCGTGGCGTCGAGATGTGTCCATTTTTTGAAATTATCTCTGAACTGTTCGGTGGCGTGTAGTCCGGGGTTCACCTAAGCCATCAACGATTAGTTCCAAATGATCAACCATTCACACTGTCGTTTCCCTGCAGGGATGCAGCGGGATGACCCTACAGAGCTACGTTAGCGGCCGAAACTAAGGTCTCACTAGCGATGATGGGGCAGAAACGATGATAGGACCAAACACTAATATCTAAGTAAGATTTGTGCGAGGTCTAGGTGGATATGAGGGGCAAAGGCAGGATCTTGGACGTAAAAATAGGCTGGTCTTTATCAGGCCATACTCATCACAATCAGCACGGATACTGCTCCCTAAAGGCGATGGCAAATCTTGGGGACAGAACTCGGTCGAGTCTGCGGAAATAGCATGAGAACTGATTTGGCTTTTGCTTTCCTTGGAGTACGTTCTTGCTGGCACCTCGAGACAATTCAGACGCCACAGCACAATATACGCACATAAGAAACAAGCCTTAAATCCCTTGAAGATCCTGTAGATCTAGAGCCCTACAGAATGGCGTCATCTGTCACTTAGCTGTGGAAGCGAACTTGGCATTGTGAGACACTTTTATAAGACAACTTCTGAGATGGTCTCTTGATTCGTCTTGGGTCCTGCCGTACCTGTCCCGGCACTCATTGGAAGAAGCTATTCTAGCGGGTCAGACGGGGAGACAGATTCCCCGCTTCCTGTTGTCTATTTGCCAATGTGCAATAGGTACTGCCATGCTTGATTGAAGTCTTCAGCTGGGCACATAACAAGCGTAATTGTGACGTAAAGCAGAGCTATCTTCACCCCTTCTAGACAACGCTGCAAAAAGATGAAGACCCGGGGATGTTTCAGCTCCCCGGGCGTCAATACCCTCATTATTATTACTCCGCGGCTGAACGATGTTGTACGACGATCCGAGGCTGCTAAACTAAGCTTATCTGCATACCCCGCGCACAGCTGAACTTATCGTTACTTGTTTGGGAGAATAAGGTGGACTTTATCCCTCAAACGGCGTAGCGAGCCCTGCTGAGATGTAACGTTGACACAAGGGCTCGAAGGGGCAATCCAAGCTTACATGTTAGCTTAAGCTGATCGGGGTAGTGGCCTTATTGGCTTTATACCATCTGGCACTCTTCATCAAACGTACTTTTGAATGGTTGGTTCTGCGACCAATCTTTTACCTTCAACATAAACTGATTCCATCAAGATGCAATACCAGGCGAGATCAACCTTAGAGCACGGGCGCTAGGAGTGCAGCACCCATGCTACGTAAGTATGCTTGATGGAATTGCATTAAACAATCCAGCTAGGCAGATAAGGTAGACGTACAATCCGTTTTTTAGGCGCCTTAATACTTGACAAAATCGCGTTCGCAGTAGCACAAATATTGCCTGACAATATGCACTTGGTCATCGTTATCAGTTCCATTTGCAAGGGGTGTGTGATCTAAGTATGCTGTTTGTTTCCTGGTTTAGCTTCACGACGCCAACTGTGTAGATACGAGTGTCTACTTCCGTCAATTTGAGCAAGGATCATATGGAAAGCACTCTGCCATTGGCCAATGCCGCCAGCGCTGCAAGATGGTGAGGTCTAGGACACGCAAGTTGCAGCCTGGGCTATTAGATCTTCCTATTATGAGATGAGGCAGCGGATAACGCGTCAGTGTCTGCACATCCAACATTGACGCAGGCATTCGTACACGCGTGTCCAACCTTGTCTTGAAAAATCCATATACATTGCAGCATTTACAATTCTCACCCTTTGCAGCGCCTCTAAGGTATTTAGCGAAGCCAATTATCTTCACTAGAGTATGAACCAAATCATCGATACAATTACCTCGCCGTGATAAAATTCATCTCATCGCTTCTGAGCTTGATCATGTCCTGCCCAGGTATAATAGGCGATGGGTCTTTCGGACCACGAGTCGATCACCAATGTCGCTCGTTTGACTTCACTTTGCTCTTCGAGGACGTGTTCTTCGCATGTTTACCGTCTACTCTTCTGCTCCTCCTTGCGCCAGCGCCTCTCATTAGTATGCATCGCCGACGCATTGTTTTGACTCTCCGGTCCAAGCTATCTTATGCCAAATTGGTAGGTCTGACTCCGAGAGACGATCCACGTTAAACAATAGCATTTTTGAATCCAATTCGAATGTAGCTAATGACCTCCAAGACAACGTTGACCGCATTGTTTGCCTTTCAGGCCACCTTTCTTGCTCTACGGATACATTACCCCTCATTCAATACGACGGCATCAATCTCCGCCGATGTCCTAGCCATGGCTTCAACGATCGCAGTCTTTGCTCTCTCTGCCTTAACCCACAGAAGGTCCCAAAGGCCATCTACGCTTGTTGTTCTATATCTCTCCGTATACAGTATTCTGGGTGTTGCACGACTTCGGACTCTGTGGCTCCTCAGCAATCGACTCGCTGTATCGACTGTTTTTACTTGCATCGTCTTCCTTACTCTCGTGGCTCTGGTCTTAGAATCCCTTGCAGTGACGAAGAAACAGGTCGAATCAGAGCCTTTGTACAAGAGCGAGTACGCAACGCCAGAACAAAGCAGCGGCTTCTGGTCGAGGACTTGCTTTTGGTGGTTGGCAAGGACGTTCCATTTGGGGCATACCAAAGTTATATCTTTGAGTGATCTTCCAGGTCTTGACCCAAGTATCCAAAGCAATAGGTTGCACACCGAGCTCACCGCTTCGTGGGACAAGTGTAAGCGTTTCTCAGCAAAGTATTGAATTAGAGGGACTCATTTCTCACCTCAATTGCCTTGTAGATGATCGTCAACACCGCTACAGTCTCCTGCGGGCCAGTCTTCGAAGCTACCTCATCCCTTTCCTGTCACCCATACTTCCACGGCTATGTCTTACCGTTTTTACATTCGCGCAGCCATTTCTTATCAACACAACCGTTGCCTACATAGCCGAAAGTAACCCCGACGCTAACTACGGCAGAGGACTGATTGGTGCATGGGTTTTAGTCTATCTGGGAATTGCGGTGAGCACCTCAGTCTATCAATACCACAACTTCCGTTTTGCCACCAGACTACGCGGAGGTCTGATTGCTCTTCTCTACCGGCACGCTGTTTATACTAGAGCGGCTGATATGGAAGAGATTACTGCGGTCACCATCATGGGGACAGACGTGGAGCGAATATTTGGAGCCATGTCCATGTTCCATTCAGTCTGGGTATCGCTTCTCGACATTGCTATCTCCAGCTGGTTGCTTGGACGGCGGCTATCACTGGCCTGCTTGGCCCCTATTCTTCTAGTTTTAGGTATGTGAAAGGTACTGATCCTTCTTTCCATCCCCTTCGCTTACCGAGCATGGGAAGTCTTCATAGCAGCGACGTCCAGGATCTCAGTGGCCACCAAAACAGCTCAGATGCGCTGGATTGAGAGGATTCAAGAGCGTCTACGTATAACTACGACCATACTTGGCGACATGAAGGCTGTCAAAATGCTTGGTCTTGGTCGAGTCATGACAAATGTGCTCCAGAAGCTAAGAGTCAAAGAGGTAGAAACCTCGAAGTCATTCAGAAAGCTTCTTGTCACCACTTTGTTGCTGTGTAAGTGATTCAGTTCTAGAAAGGACACAGAATATTTTACGAGTGCTGACCATCACGCACAACTAGCACTCACTCCAATCAATCTGGCTCCTATTGTAACTTTTTCTGTTTATGTCATCGTGTCTGTCTTTTGGAAGCACGCCACATTATTACCAGCACAAGCCTTTACGTCCATTGCCTTAATTGCACTCCTCACGACACCGGTCGTTGAGTTTATTCAACTACTTCCACTAGTGGTGCAATCGCTTGGTTGCTTCAGCCGTATACAAGACTTCTGCAACTATACTCGCGAATCTGGACCGAGCAACGAGTCGACCGACGTCCTCCATCCGTCAGAGCATTCACAAGAAACAGCATTTGGGCTGGAGTCACTCGCGATAAGTAATCCCCCTCTTTTGAAGCAAAAGCACATTGCTTCCTGGGAAAGTCAGAGCTTTGGATGGGGAAAAGGCCAAATAGTTTTGCACGATATCACCGTCGAAGTGCCCCGAGGCATGCTGACTGTTGTAGTCGGCCCAGTTGGAAGCGGCAAATCAAGTTTCCTGAGCGCAATACTAGGCGAGCTGAAGTCTAGATCGTCGACAGAAGCCACGGAGCAAGCAGAAGGTACGGGTAAATGCGCTATGGCTTATTGCTCCCAGTCGCCCTGGCTCGAGAATGGAACGCTACGACAAAACATACTCGGTGTTTCCATCCTAGAGCGGAAGTGGTACGATAGCGTCATCTCTGCTTGTGGACTCGAAGCCGACTTGAAGGTACTCGAGAGTGGTGACCTGACTGTCATTGGCAGCAACGGTGTCAATCTTAGCGGGGGACAGAAACAGCGCGTTGTAAGTAGCCAGCCCTTGTCCTGTTCTATCTGTGATCTGACCTCCGAGAACTGACGTGCAATTATTCACCTCTAGGCACTTGCACGAGCTGTATATTCAAGATGCAAAGTAGTCATTCTTGACGACGTGTTTAGTGGCATGGACGCTCATACCTCTCGCCACGTTACGAATCGCCTCTTGGGATCCAATGGTCTTTTCCGGCAACACCACATCACAGCTGTGATTGCAACACACAATCGTAAGCTTCAGATATCTAGATTCCCCGTGTGGGGTGCACAATGCTGACGTGATTCTCGACCCAGGTAACATCATGCAATTTGCAGATAATATGATTGCGATGGACAGCGGCAGAATCCGAGAAGCCGGCAGCCGTGAGATTCTGGCGAATCAGAAAGGATACGTGAGTGAGCTGGGACTCGAGTACACTTCTGCCGGTGCAATTGAGGAGCCTGGGGCGGACGGAAACTCTAAGCCCCTCGAGGAGGTAGAAGGCAAAGCATTGAACACGCAGGCTCAAGCCTCCCAGGAAGATACCGACGCGCGGCGAAAGAATGGGGAGAAGGCAGTCTACTTATACTACTTGCGAAATGCCGGTCGGAAGGCTGTAGTCATGTACACTGTCTCCGTTGTGGCTTGGATCTTCTTTTCCGAATTTGCAAGTAAGCATTGGTTGACCAACTTTCTGAAGTGACAGAGAAGCTGATACATCCGTTGCCAGCCGTTTGGATCAAGTGGTGGTCTGACTCTAACACGGCTGCGCCTAATACGAGTGTTGGATACTACCTGGGCATCTATGTCATCATCGGGATCTTGGGTACGGTCGGCGCATCTCTGGCCGCATGGTTTGCCTTCCTCGATGTAGTGCCCAACACAGCTCTTGGTCTGCACAGCGATCTTCTTCAAACAGTCTTTTCGTAAGTCTCCGTGGGTTTGTTTGGAGGCAAGACTGCTCAGGCTGACGAAGTTCATCAACACAGAGCATCTTTGAGGTTTTTATCTAAGACGGATAGCGGCGAGCTTCTCAACAGGTAGGTCCCGCTCAAGTTCCGCGACACTGTTGACGAGACACTCACTTACCAATCCATGTAATAGATTCAGCGAAGACATGCAGCTGGTCGATATGGGCCTACCTGCGACCATGGTGAATTATACATCGAGTCAGTACCCCGCAACCGAGTGGATGACTTTAGCCACTAAATTCTTCACCAGCCGCTATCTCGGTTCTCGCAAAAGTCGTCATCCTTGCCGTTTTCTCTCAGTATCTTGGTATAGCCCTGCCCTTTCTCGCCACCGTGCTCTATTTCCTGCAAAGATTTTATCTCCAAACATCACGCCAGATACGACTTCTGGGAGTTGAGGCCAAGGCCCCTTTATACACACACTTCTCCGAGTCTGTGGACGGTGGCGCAACCATACGCGCTTTCGGGTGGCAGACCCAGTACCAGGAGCGCAACTACGGCCACATTGACACATTTCAACGACCAAACTACATCCAGAATTGTATACAAGCATGGCTGACCTTCGTTCTGAACCTTCTTGTGGCTGCACTAGCAGTGATCTTGGTGTCTACAGTGGTGACTTGGCATGACAAGTTCAGCGCAAGCAGCGTTGGTGTAAGCCTGATTATGGTCATTGGCTTCAGTGAAGTTTTGGCTCGTCTCATTCAGACTTGGACCAAACTTGAGTCCAGCGTCGGAGCGGTAGCTCGTGTCAGACGCTTTGTGTTGGAGACAGAAATTGAGACAAGCAGCGGGAAGGCTTCGCTACTGCCCGAGTGGCCTCAGTCTGGGGCTCTATCCTTCTCTCAAGTTTCTGCATCGTATAGGTAAGTCTTTTATGTCTGTGCCCTTACGAGTCACTCCCCTTTCCAAAATTCTGACCTGGCATGTAGCCCTGGAGATGAAATGGTGCTTAAAGGCGTTACTCTTACCATTGAAGCTGGTCATCACGTTGCGATTTGTGGCCGGTCGGGCAGCGGCAAGACGTCCCTTGTTCTCAGTCTACTGCAGATGATGCATGTGAAGGGAGGCAGCATCAAGCTAGATGGCATAGATATTGCGACAGTGATGCAAGATGATTTTCGCTCTCGAATAAATGTGGTCTCTCAAGACCCGTTTCTGGTGCCTGGAACTATTCGTTTCAATATCGACCCGTTCGGCGTCGTCTCGAATGACGGAGAGATTTTCCAAGCTTTGGAAAGAGTTGGGCTTTGGGACATCGTCTCGAGACAGGGTGGATTGGATAAGGATATGAATCCTGTTGCGTGGTCAGCAGGACAGAAGCAGCTTTTTTGCCTGGCTAGAGCCATGGTGCGGAAGTCCAAGGTCTTGATCCTGGATGAGGCCATGAGCAGGTAAGTTCTTTCGCGGAAGAATTGCATGAAACGTTAGAGCCTCGCTAACATACTACAGCGTTGATATTGCAACAGAATCCGTGATGCAGAATATAGTTGACACTGAGTTTGCGGGCTGCACGGTGTTGGCGGTGATGCATCGACTTGGGCATGTGGGTCAATACGACAAAGTCGCTTTGCTCGGAGATGGAGAGGTTCTGGAATTTGGTGAACCACGAGAACTGATACCAGGGAACACCAAGTTTGCTGAACTGTACAGATTGAGTGGTAACTGATTTGAGTGGCAAAAGAGATGGTTGTGTTTAGATTGATAGGGCACTGGGGAGCTATTACATAGCTCATCTAGTCGTCTTTTGAATCTTTTGCTTGATGAAGTTGTTAACTGCCACAGAGGTGAAAGTGCATGTGTAATTTGACGCCGCCTTATCCATGATACTCCTCTCCCTACATCACCATCTTTAACATGCTGATCCAGTGTAAGCTTATCCAATTCATGGAGTTATTCAGATATCGTAAGACATTCATTCTCACATTCATCAAATTAGAGGAAGGCGCTGGCAAAATTCACTGCAAGAATTAGAACCAGCACCTACCTTAGGTGCTGCCCCCTGCTCTGGTGGGGTAGGTACCTTAGTGGTTATAATTAGCAGCAACCTTATCGTTATCAGATGGAGTCTGTGCTCAAAATAGACGTACCGGTACATAGCAGGGCCCACTATGGCGCAGCTGGTGCATCACGTGCCGTTAACCTGCCATTGGTAATTGTCTCTTTTGGTTGGTTCCTGCGTCCTCGTCGCTACTGCACCAATCAATCGCGGTCCAATTCACTGCCCCTGCCCCGCCCCCGCCCCCGCAGTCCTCAGCTCACCGCACCGTACCTTACGGACGACGGGTCGACGGACGGCACGGCGCCTCGCCTTCACCCCAAAACCTAACTTTACCTTACCTCACTCACACTATCCTTAGCTCCAGCTCACGAGCAACGCTCGCTTGCGTTGCAATTTTACATCAACCTTCCGACCCGTTCCGACTACATTGCTATTCCTAGACCACTTCTACTTCCCTCCTTCTTCCCCAACGTCTCCACCATGCCAAAGAACACCCCAGCGCCTGATGAGCCCGTCGTCACCTTCAGCTCAGGCTCCAACGCACCGGTTGCCCTGCGTCTTCTCCACCTCAACGATGTTTATCACTTAGAACCTGCGAGCGCTGAGCCGGTGGGCGGTGTTGCTCGCTTCATCACTGCCGTCAACGAGTACCGAAGCCACGAACGCTACCAGGGCCAGCCCGAGCTAGTGACTCTATTTTCGGGTGATGTCTTCAACCCTAGTCTCGAAAGTTCCGTCACAAAAGGTACAGCTCATCTCCATCACGTGCCACTTGTCTGTCACTTGTACTGAATATGCCCCAGGCGAGCACATGGTCCCAGTGCTCAACAAGATCGGCGTTGACTGCACTTGCGTTGGTGTAAGTGGGCCTTATACCTTGCTGCTGCTTTCTCGAACTAACATGCTTCACAGAACCATGACTTTGACTTTGGAGTCAAGCAATTTGAGCACTTGACCGCCAAGTGCAACTTTCCCTGGCTTCTCGCCAATGTCCTTGACCCGGCTCTGGGCAAGAATGTACCTCTCGGACATGCCAAGCACACGCACATGATCACATCATCCAATGGAATCAAGATTGGTCTCCTCGGTCTCGGCGAAAGAGAATGGCTAGAGACGATCAATAGCTTGCCGCCAAACATCATCTACAAGTCGGCCAGCGAGACAGCCAAGGAATTGGTACCGCAGCTCCGGGCCCAGGGTGCCGACATCATCATCTGTCTCAGTCATCAGCGTGAGCCAAACGACAACAAGCTTGCTGAGAAGACCGAAGGTCTCATTGACATAATCCTGGGCGGGCACGACCATTACTACGCTCATAGCTTCGTCAATGGCACGCACGTGCTCCGATCCGGCTCCGACTTTAAACAGCTCAGTTACATCGAGGTTCGAAAAAAGGAGGATGGTTCAGGAAAGTGGGACTTTGACATTCTACAGCGCGACATCGTTTCCTCCATCGCGGAAGATCAGGAGACACTAAAGCTTACTGAAGACCTTACCTCCAAGCTGAAACACAGCCTGGCCAAGTCTGTAGGCTGGACAGCCTCACCGTTGGATGCGAGGTTCAGCACCGTCCGGATGAAGGAGAGCAACATGGGAAATTTCGTTTGCGACGTCATGAGACATTACCACAACGCCGATTGTGCCCTGATGGCAGCCGGCACAATCCGTGGCGACCAGATTTATCCTCCCGGCGCGATCAGGGTCAGGGATATCACCAACTGCTTTCCCTTTGAGGATCCCGTCATCTTTATCAGAGTCACTGGCCAGCAGCTCTGGGATGCCTTGGAAAATGGCGTATCCCAGTACCCAGCACAAGAAGGTGAGCTCCATATAGCTTACTACTCTCGAAGACCTTGGAAAGTGCTGACCCATCAGGCCGATTCCCGCAAGTATCCAACATCGAGTACACCTTCGACCCCAGCAAGCCGGCGGGCTCCCGTATTGTAGCAGCGACTCTCGGGGGCGGCCCGATAGAACCGGAAAAGAAGTACACACTCGCAACGCGAGGGTATATGGGCAGAGGAAAAGGTAATGCCAGAGCCCCCTGGAACCGAATCATCAGCTGACCGTAGTAGATGGATTTACCAGCCTACTCGTCGAGCCCGAGGGCGGAACCGCCGAGGAGATTGTCTGCGAAGAGAACGGCATTCTCATCTCCGCCATGTTGCGCCAGTACTTTATGAGCCTTCGCACAGTTGGTCAATGGAAGAACCTCAGCGAACACTGGGTCAAGGTCGCCGAGAAGTGTCACAGTCCAGTCGAGCCCCGGAAGATGTGGGAGACGCCGGCGGAGACGGGCACCTCTGACCCTAAGCCAAAAGTCGAGTCAAAGTCGTGGGCCGAGTGGATGGTCAAGAGACATGCCCTGAACATCAAGCCTCCCAAGGATGACTCCGACGAAGAGGTTGACTCTGAGGATGAAGTGGATAGTGTCGCTCAGATTGACATGGAGATGCTCATTATGCGTAAGTTCTTCGCTAGATGGGCAAGCAAGGCGGGAGTCAAAGCTGAGGTATGTGACCCTCTGCATGAGGGGGAGTTCACGGTCGACTGGACCCGTGTCATTGCACCTGTTCTAGAGGGACGCATCAAGATGATCAGTTAGACGATTACAAAAGTTCACAAAAATAGACTAAAGGGCATTCATTGGGATTCAAACGGGAATTTGTGAATTCTCAGCAATGAAGCCCGTCTCCTCCATGTGCTGCGAGAGACCGCGGTGGTAAGTCTATCGGTACGTATTTTTGAACGGCTGTCCACTCCGTCTCATGGTTCCCCACCACTTCCGTCCCGTTCCGTGATTTTTCAAAACGACCTGACAACTCCCACTCAACTCCATCCCGTCTCCCTTACCTTTCGGACGAACATCCCTTCGAACCTAAATCACTTGATCATCCGATTCTTACATGACATAGTCCTGTTTACTACTCTGATCATTTACTTGCTCTCCAATCTTGCCCCTTAACAGCCAGCTCACAGTCTGCATCGCCACACCAAGCGCCTTGGCTGGTGCGTTCTCCCGCCAGTCATGTCTCCCTTTCACAATAAGATTTCTGATTCATGCCAAGTCTTGAATTTCTCTCATTCCAGGGCTACTAGCGGTCATTCTTTCATATCCTCATGTCGGTCAAAAAACTTTAGATCACATCCCTGTTCCCTACTGGCGTACACTAAACCCGTCCAGTCTCCCCATCTACGGTCTTGGCTGCATTGCACCTCAAAACAACTATCAATCAGAAACATCTCTAAACCCATGTCGAAGCCGGCTGCTGCGCCATGGGCAAAGTCTTCTTGGACCCCAACGCCTGGCCCACGACAATCATCCGCATGACGCACTCGGCGCTCTCGCGCGTCAGAACCTCCGCGTCCAGGATGGCCTCGTCCAGCGTGGATGGTCGCTGCAGGATACACGTGTACGCATCGATCCCGACGTCGTAGTTGACCCGCGCTCCTGGCCCTATGGTTCCCGCGATGGCGATGACAGGCAAGCCGTGCTTCTTCGCGCGCACGCCAATCTCTGCGGGAATCTTGCCCCGCGGAGTCTGGTCGTCGATGCCCCCTTCGGCCGTGAGCACCAGGTCACAGTCGGTGAACAGGCCGTCGAAATCGACATACTCCGCCACCACCTCATATCTTGGCCGGAGCTTGGCGCCGACCAGCCGCAAACCGGTGCCCAGTCCTCCAGATGCCCCTCCGCCGGGTGAGAGGCCCACGTTGTCGTCGCAGAGAAACCGGCCGGCCACGACGGCGAGAACTTCCATGGCTGCTGAAAGCCGTTCTGTCTGCAACGCGCTGGCGCCCTTTTGCGCACCAAAGACTCTGGCGACGCCGTCGGGGCCAGAAAGCTCGTTGTTCCAGTTGACGGCAACCTCGATGGTGACGTCCCTGACGCGCTTGTCGATGCCGCCAAGATCAATGTTTCTCAAACGCAGAAGGGACTCGCCACCGGCAGCAATGGGTAGCGAGTGTCCATCCTCGTCAATAAGTCGAGCGCCAAGCGCCTGTAGCATTCCCGCGCCGCCATCGCAGGTGCCCGAATCACCGCATCCGATGACAATCCGCTTCGCGCCAGCGCTCAAAGCAGCGGCTAGGAGTTCGCCGACTCCAAATGTTGTGGTGAGGCCCGGGTCTCGAAGCTGAGGAGGCACGAGACTCAGGCCAGCGGCCGCTGCCATTTCGATGACGGCAGTCTTTGGCGTATCGGGGTTGTTGCTTCCCAGGATACCGAAGAAGGATGCAATCGGGATGCCAACGGGGCCCGTGACGGTGACTGGATGAAGCGTGCCGCCAGTCGCCGATACAAGGGCACGAGTGAAACCCTCGCCTCCGTCGACAAGGGGAACTTTGCGGACGACCGCCTCTGGCATCACAGCCAGAATTCCGGCTTCGATGCAGTCGGCAGCAACGTCTGGCTGTAAGCTTCCCTTGAATCCCGAAGGGCAAACAAGAACTCTCATGCCCTCGGGAACAGGAAGGGAACCCATATCGTCTTGATGGGTGATGTTTTGGGCGGCGGACTCGGTAAGATCAATGGGAGATGGTGATGACTCTCTGTGATCAGGTGTTACCGCAATGTTGTTAGGGGAAGAGCTCATTGGTTTGAAATCAAGCGAATGATGATAGCGAGTGAAGTAGCTGTGGGAAGCGAATGTGAGTGACGTAAATGAATATGTGAACTGACGGTGATGTGAATCTGGTCAAAAGCATTTCTTAGACACCACAACCCGCCCTCTTTATATCATTTTGATGATGATCTTCAGCGCCTTGAGCAAGACGAAACGCACACAACTGATAATAGCTCAGACTGACTTACCCCCGGGCATCATCTCTCTGATCTCAAGCTTGAACATACCCAACATCAGGTAGTCTAACTTGGAACTACAAACGTCCAGCTGCCGAGCCGTGGCGATGAATTGCTCCGCCGGTGCATATTCTCGCAAACGGGCATGCGATCGTGTGATCTCTGCATACCCAAGGCCAGGGACCATGATGGCTTCTCTCAGCCCTGCACGTGTCCTTTGCCTCGATGGGCTGTCGAATGCAACCAACTTGCACGAGACGGCTCGAAACAAGGTAAGACTAGGAGCTGTCAACGGCTTCCATGGCGTAGTAAGTCGTCTACGGAGGTTACATCATGGCACAGCCTCTGAAAGCGGCAGAGCAGAGTGCCACCGATTAATGATGTGCTCTCAAGATCCAACTGGCTGGTATGCGTGGTATCATGATGTCTGATTCCTAGACGTGATGCCGGGCGTAGTGAGCACGCGACCAGATTGGTGGTCCCAGATCTCGTATCTCAACCGACGACGGACCCCGAAACATCCATCCAAGGTTTTCCGTCTTAAAACATAGTCTTCCAATCATCTACGGCCGTACCTGAGCTATAAATAAGAATTGCACTTATTTTCAAGGTTATCCCAGGGCTCATAGCGTCGCTTGGGCGGAGTCTAGAAAAATGTTACTCCAAAGACGCACTCATCAGCCACAGTTGACGTAGCAGTCCAAGAACCCACTCCCACCCCGCCGATCGACCGCCAAGAAAGCTTCGGCTGTCATTCTCACCTAGGGTCTGGTTCAAAGATACACTCTGACAGTGCTAGTCTTACTTGTTGCGTTACTTGGCAAGATGACTTTGGGCGAATGAAACTAGGGATGTGAGTGCTCTTGAGCCCGGCTGGTGTTGCCGCTTACAGGAAGGCTGGTTTTCCTCAGCCCGAAGACATCACGCCAGGACCGAGGCGATGCCATCATGAGTGCATGAGGCGGTGCTCTTCTCCTTGTCGTCTTGGTGCTAGAATACTGACCTCCCTCAGGTTTTTTCACGAGATACTCTTGTTTCTTCAGTCTTGAGGAAACTCATATAATGTGCTAGATGAAGGCTTATAACTTCATACAGTATCTAGACACACTCGAGAATCATCACCAACATTCGTTCGTCACTCACTTTAAACATTCGCTTCAACAAATTTCCAACTCTCGCTCTTGCATTTTTGTTTTCGTTTCTGTCATGTCCGATTCGAAACCACATGCCTATTACTTCGTCCCACGGAAGCCGGTATTGGCAGACTCCGAACCGGGATTCAGTCTTCATAGGACTTTGACTCGATCTCGATCTAGCTTATGGCGAGGATGGAGTCCAGGATTGCCTTCTTTTACAGAATATGAGAGAACAGCATACAAATTTCCCTGGCTTCAAAATCCAGTGGAGGAATCTGGTAGCAGACATCCTGGGATTATCCTAGAGACGTCTGCTAATGACGATCGTTCACACTTGCTTTCTCATGACGACACGCAGGCTGGACCCTCTGCAGAGATTCCTCTCGAGGAGAAGCCTGCACAGGGCATCAGACCTGATGATCCTGAAGATCCAGAGCTGGTATGTAGTAACTAAACCTTATCTATAGTATACACTCCACCGACTCTATAGCGGAAGCTAATTATCCTTCAGGTAACGTGGTCTGGGCCCGACGATCCAATGAACCCAAAGAATTGGGCCAGGCACAAGAAATGGACGGCAACCATCTTGGTCTCGTGTTTCACATTCATATCGCCAGTCTCCTCAACCATGTTAGCCCCAGCACTGGACACCCTCGCCGACGACTTTGACGTCGAGTCCGATATTGAAACATATCTCCTCATGTCCATCTTTCTGTTAGCATACGCCGTGGGGCCTTTCGTTCTTGCTCCGTTGTCTGAGATGTATGGTCGCGTCGTCGTGCTTCAGTCCGCCAATATGTTTTACTTAATCTTCAACACCGTCTGCGGCTTTTCGGCATCAAAGGAACAGATGTTGGCTTTCAGATTTCTCAGTGGACTTGGTGGAAGCGCTCCTCAAGCTGTCAGTTTCTAGCCTATCCTATGTGATAAATATTGCTAACGTGATTCTCAGCTTGGTGGTGGCGTCTTGAGCGATTGCTGGAGAGCCGAAGAAAGGGGCACGGCGACTGCCATCTACAGTCTTGCTCCTTTTCTCGGACCCGCTGTCGGGCCTATTGGTTAGTATTACTACCTGGATTTTGAGTACTTCTAGGGGAAAACTTTTATTGACTCTTACAGCTGCCGGATACCTAACGCAATACCTTTCATGGCGCTGGATCTTCTGGACTGTCTCCATCGCTGATGCAGTCGTCCAGATTCTCGCATTTCTCTTTCTCTCTGAGACGTACGCCCCGAAGATCTTGGCAGTCAAAGCCAAAATGCTGCGCAAGAAGACGGGTAACGCGAACCTGCGTACCGAGTTTGATCATCCAGACAGGACTTTCGGACAGACATTGCGGAAGAATCTTGTCAGACCATTCAGGATGCTCTTTACTCAGCCAGCACTGCAGATCACCGCGGTGTACAGGGCGTACCTGTATGGTCTTATGTATCTTGTGTAAGGCTCCCATTCCCTCAGTATGGTGCTATGCATGAAAGCTAACTTATCACAAGCCTCGCTTCGTTCCCTTATGTTTGGAGCGAGCAATACGACATGGAGCCTGGACCGGCCAGTTTGAACTACATCTCACTCGGCGTTGGCTTCGTGATTGGACTGCAGATATCTGGACCCCTTATTGATAAGGTAAGCTGAAGCCATACTCACAGTAACTTCCGGTATCATTAGCTCAAACATGATAGGTCTACCGCAAACTCAAAGCACAAAACAATGACACGGGACGTCCAGAATTCAGAATCCCTCTCATGTTCCCCACAGCAATCATCACCCCTGTCGGTCTCCTCCTATACGGAATCGCAGCGCACTTTGAAGTCCACTGGATCGTTCCAAACATCGGAGCGGCGATCTTGGCCGCTGGTCTCATCCTCTCGTTTCAGTGCGTACAGACCTATGTCATCGACTCGTATGAGAGGTATGCGGCCAGCGCAGCAGGGGCGGCGGCCTTTGTGCGGACGATGGCTGGTTTCAGTTTCCCGTTATTTGCGCCGAGATTGTACGATGTGTTGGGTATTGCCTGGGGCAATGTGCTGCTTGCTGGCATTGTCTTTGTCATGGGATTGATTGTGCCGTTTGTGATGTGGAGATGGGGCGCTTGGCTTAGAAGCAAGAGCCAGTACTGCGCTGGTTGAGGAGATCTCATTCATAAAATGCGTGCTAAGTCTGACAAAGTGTTGAAATCGAGCTGCGGTATAAGGAATGATTTACGATAGATAGCTAGAATTCTGACCACTCACTTTTAGGGATTCATAACAGGAAAGCATCATAGAGCTGAGATAGAATAATCGGAACTGCGCTAGCAGAGTCGCCTAGAACGTAAGGCCGGGTGAAGAACATCCCAGTAAAGGCTTTTACTGAATTATGAAGGGAAAGAAAGACGTTATCTGTAATGCCGAAGTTTTGATCCCATGAGTTTAAGGACTATCAACTTCTGTAACGGGCTGATAGTCACGGTTCCGTCACCATCCTAGCTACTCTCATTGAGTTCCGAAACCGCCCTTGTCTTCAAACTAAAGGCTCGTCATCTACCAACTGAAGTCTCAAGACGTTTTATGACTACATTAAGGCTAAAGGAGTCATTGTCATACTGATTCAACACTAGGCAGTCAATCAAGGAAACGACTCTTTCCAAGCAGGCAAGCAGCATGGCTAAGCAGGAAATGGAATATCAGGATTGGTCTTTCTGGGAGGCACTTAAGTCCCACGAAATTCCACTTCTTCCTTTCATCCTCGCCCACTTCACTCCCAACAAGCGGTTAAACGCGCCCGACTCTCATCGGAAATTGTACTTCGACATTCACTCTACACGCTATTAATCGACATTCATCTCAGTTTAACTATCAATATGCCCCACATGGACATTCTTGATTGTTCCCGCAGCGATCTGCTGTCGTGGATAGACCTTCGAGCGCAAATCCCATGTCCCAAGATCATGGTCGGCGCCGCCATTGTACGCCGGGGACCCTCCGGAACCGAGACTCTGATCCTCAAGAACAGCCCCGGTCGTGGTAATCACAACCTCCACGAGATTCCCGGAGGCGAGATGAAGGATACCGACCATACCACTCGAGATGCCATCATCCGGACAGTTGCCGAGTCAGTCTCTCTTCAGGTAATTGATGTCTGGAATTGCCTTCAACCAATCCTCGACATCCAGGAAGAGACGGTGGAGAATGCGTCAGCCAAAGAGAAGAAATCCGCACAGAATGATGCCGCAGGCCAGACTGCCCAGACTGCCGAGCCTGTCGTGATCAGGCGTCCGGTGATCCACTTCAATTTTGTTGTCATTACCAAGGGAGATGGAGTTGGCTTCCGAGTCAATGAAGACAAGCATGAGATGGGGATTTGGGTTGATGCTGAGAAGAGCGCTGACATCGACATGAAAGATGCTATGAGGAAGGTTGTCAAGACAGCAGTCAGGCTTTAGGCACATGCAATCACCATCGGACTGTAATCAGGTCGTTGTCGCATGTGGTCGCCTGCCTTGGGCCAACCAGAATTACATTAGAGAACAGTATAGGAATCACGAACTTTGGTCAAATTGCAATTGCATATTTCGACTGCATTAAGGGTATATGTCCAATGATTAAAAGTTTCCGTGTGCTTACACACTACTAAGCCATGCAACGACGTTTCGCAACTCGGGATATCAAAGCTGAAGCAAACCCATTACCAATCTTCCATCATCCATCATTCTATCCTACTAGGGCTCCTCAAATTGACGCCCTGGCAATGTTCTTGCCCTGGACCAGACCAGGACCCTTCTCAGTGAAGAAGGTCTTGGCCTTGGCGGCGCTGACGATGAAGCCAGGCAGCTTCATCGTGTTGAACTGACCCGTGGCCTTCTTCTTGCCGATCGTCACAAATACCTGGGGCTTAAGCGTGAGCTTGAGGTCCTTAACCTTGGTCTCGTTGCCGGTGAGGACGGCATCGAGGTTGTCGGCGAGGTGCAGCGCCTGGCCCTCGGCGCGCATGAGCTGCTTCGCCTCGAGATTGCCGATATCGCCGACGCCCCAGACGTTGGTGAGGCCCTCGACGCGGAGGTCGTGCTTCAGCTTCAGGCTGCCCTTGTCATCGAGGAGGTGCTCCGGGATGAAGGAAGAGTTGGGCCGGACGCCGAAGAGGGGCAGGTAGAGATCCGCGGTAAGGGTCTCGCCGTTGGACAGCTTGATGGACTTGAGGGCGCCAGAGGTGTTGGCTTCGGTGACGCGGGCGTTGGTGACGAGCTTGACCTTGAGCTGCTGGAGGTTCTTGGCGGCGATCTTGCCGAGCTGGGGCAGGAGGCCAGGGAGGGGCGCGTCGCCCTCGACGATGAGAGTGATTTGCTTAGTAGAGCCGTAGGCGTGGCCGAGCTCGCCGGCGGTCTCGACGCCTGTGGTGCCGGCGCCGGAGATGATGATGGAGTTTGCGACCTTGACCTCGGACTGGAGGTTGTGCCATGCGGTGAGGGTCTCTTCGTGGGTGCCGATGGTCTTGAAGGGGACGCCGCTGGCGAGTGAAGAGCCGGTAGCGATGATGAGCTGGGCGTATTCGAGAGACTTTAGACCCTCGTTGGTCTCAATCTGCACGGTGTTGGATGTGGCGTCAAAGGTGGTGGCCTTGCCGAGGACGAACTCGAAGGCATCCTGGGGGTACTTCTCGAAGCCGGGCTTGATTTGGTTGAAGAGAGTGTCGTCGGAGAACTCGCCGGGAATAAGACCGCGCACGGCGGCGCAGTTCCAGTACAGGTGGGTCGAGGGGGAGACGAGGATGACCTTGAGATCCTTGACCTTGGGCTGGGTGTACTTGAGCAGCTTATGGGCGACGCCGAGGCCTGCGTAGCCTGCGCCCAGAATCACGACCTGCTTGACCATTTTGTGAGGGTGTTTTGTTTGTCTTGGCAGTAACTGATGAGAAACACGAGATGGTGTTGAGGAAAGTTGTGTTGGCGGTGATGAAAGTGAGATTATGTTCCCCAATCAAGGGAGAAAGTAAGCAAGGTCGTCGGTATTTGGGGGCCGGAGGTTGAGATGTGACGGTACGGGACTGCCGTGGGGGAGTGCGGTAGTGGACACCTTTGAAAGAGCACCCAACGAGGCACAGTTGCTTGGACAAAGAGATCTACAGTGAGAGAGCAGAATTCGCAGGGTCTCGAAGGAGGGTGGGAGCGAGCAGGAGGATAATGAATGATTTTTATTGACACAAAGGCAGAGGATTCGGGGACTTTTTAGCTGGCGCCCTGGGCTTCGGTCGAATCCTTCCCATCCCATCCCATCCCATCCCCAAAGATGCGAGGTACCACACGCTTGCACGCACGGCGGCATAGTCGCACTGCGGCCCGGTCTTTTCTCTGTGTGCCTGTACCTCTCGCGCTGGACGGGACCAGTTGAGAGCCAATCCAATGTTTCAGACGAAGCGGCGCTCGGATTATTCAGCTTTGAGCTTGCGTGTGACAAGCGAAATTGGACTTGGTAAAGCTTAGTATGCTGCTCTTTTCTTCTTGCACTTGGGTTTTGGGATCAGACACATGGAGCGGGTTAGCTGCTGTGGTATCCGTACCTAGAGTGAGATGCTGGTGTACATGAGAAAGACGTAGGAACAAGCTGTACGGCAGATGTACTCCGTGCCGTCAGACAATGTCCGGAGCTTGCCCAGGGCTCCAACATGAACCAACCAACATAGTGAAGGTAGGGATCTGGTGCGGCAGGGGTCCGAAAGGCCAGGCCGAGTCAAGGCAACGGCGCGGCGGGTGCCATGGCATTAGTCAGAGGTAGCGCGCGCTCTCGAGGAAAACGGGGACAGAAGATGCTTTTTTCTTGTAATCATATGCTTTTTGCTACATTGACTGCGGAGAAGTGGCTGTCTACGGGCACTTTGGCTCTTTGTTGCTGTACTGTGCCACTCGGGATGCCGCGCGCCGGAAGCAAAGGTTGCGACCCAATGAATAGCCTTCACCAATCGTTGATTCCCAACAGTCGCATCGGGTCTAGATTCCCCAGTAGAAGTAATAGATAATTAGAGTGGGAGATCATAAATGGGACGGGCTTGACTTGTCTACACTATTTTGGCGGTGTCCCTGGATCTCTAGAGCGTTGCCTTAGTCAGGGGGTTGGGCGGCGCATTGGTAATACTCGCGCGCGCGTCGTCGTCTTACCTAAGCACCCAGCGATGAGGGATGAGTGGAAGCAATGAGTGGAAGCAAATTTCAAGTAGTGCACATCCGTACACCGTAAAGCCATCATCAAAGACTTGTGTGTTGGTAGTGTCGGCGAAGATAGTGTCCGTTCGCCGTATTTTCAGTTCCAGTGGCCCTGGTTTCGGTCCCGGTAGGCGCGGCGCTCGGGACCGAGTGGGGCCCGCTAGGTCTGATGTGGTCACAGTGTGGCCCTAAGCGCCGCACTGACATTTCGGCGGTCTCTCTCTCACTCTCACTCTCTTTCTGTTCACTCACTCACTCATTCATCTTCACTCACCCCTGGAGAACTATTTTTCAATCTAGATTGCTTAACAATCACTTAAAAGCTTTCCAAGGTCAATTGTGTACTTTTAAATCGGAAATGCCTTAGCAAACATGAAAGGCATCATCTAGGAAACCATATTCGATCACCGTGTAGGTGCCTATGGCCAGCAAAGAGATTGGATGCCACTCTCAAGCTCGGATGATCCCCTCAATGACGCCAGGAAGCTTTCACCATTAGACGTTCATAATGACTTTCTCGCATTCAATTGCTCATCAAAGCTTGTCTGGGAGCTATGACCCCATTGCGCCATCTGCACAACCGTTCCATTCTGCTGTCTTCACACCACCTCCAGACGGATGCCCTTGCTGCCCTTCTTCGGCATTGCAACAGCAAGGTCGTAATCATACTCTATATCGGCATCTGTCGTCTCATACAATCTCAGCTGCGGCAAGACGCGCAACGTCATGGCAGCAATGGCTACATGAAGCTCGCAGTATGCCAGCCTTTAGTCGGTCAGCTGAAAGCTCATGAACTTTGATACGGATCATGGGGAACTACTACAAAGAAAAGGTGAGAAACTTACTGCATCCCCAAACACTGCCGGCTTCCTTTGGAGAACGTCAATAGGTACCGTTCCAAACCCCGCGTTCTCTGTCCGTCCTCATCAAGCCATCTCTCGGGAAGAAATTCGTTCGAGTCGGGAAACACTCTCTCATCGTGATGCATAATCCACGCTGACATTCCACTTGCATAGCCTCGCGGAATAACGTGCGTCACCTCAACTGGTGCTGAGGCGCCCGGAGGTGTCCACGTGCCTTGGTACGTCAAGTCCTCGTCCGGTGCGATCCGTGGTAATCTCGACGGCGAACCGTAACCCATCCGTAATGCCTCCATAATGGAGGCACTGAAGTACGGTAGCCTTTCCAGAGTGGCCCAGGTCGGAATTTGCTTTGGATCCGTCGTGACAGAGAGAAGCTCGGCTTTGATCTTCTCAACGACGTCTGGGTTGCGGAGCAAGTGATAGGTGCACACACTGAGGGCTGAAGCCGTTGTCTCGGTGCCGGCGGCAAGCATCACGGTTGCCTCGCCGGTGAGTCGCTTGATTGTCTTCTCCTCAGGCGGCAGGTCTGATTCCAGAAGCGAGTGGATCACCGTCGTCCGATCGCGTTTGATGCCGGCTTCATATGCTGACTTGGTCTGCCTGACCATCTCCGGCATTTTCACCTGCCCTTGTCAGCTTGTTCAGCTGCATACTTCTATCAAAATCTTTCACCTTGGACTGTTCAGCAAGTGCTCCCATCTTTGTCGATAGTCTTTTGATGACGCTCCTGCTCGTCTTTAGCACCCATGAGAAGATCATGCAAGCATGAGTACTCACAACGGAACAGCCTCCATCAACCACGTCGTCCACGGGAAGTGCCTCATGATGTGGATCAACCGCAGCATTGAATACACTGCCTCCTTAAAATTGGGCTCCCAATCATCCTGTTGAAGGAACCCGAAAGGCTGTCCGAAGCAGTAATCGCTGACAATGTCGGCTGTGAAGCAGCTGTATGCCGACGCGGCTTCGAACGGTCCACGGCCCTGATACCGAAGGAACTTGTCGCAAAGTCGTTGGGCATCCTGGTGGATAACCCACTCCAGCTTGGCGATATGCGCTCGGGAAAAGTACTTGCTGGCAGCCGCTCTGCGGAGGCGATGATGGGCATGGTCAACTGTCCCAAATCCTCCCTGATGACAAAAGTTAGCCGACTGGGGAGTGACTTCAGATCATCTTATAAAGGCCACTCACGTTCTTCAAGCTACACGACATATGTCAGCATACCCGGCACATGTGGAACGAGACATTAGATGGCGCAACTCACTCTGCAGCAAACCCCTCTACAAACATCTTCGACTTATTACGCTTTTTGCTTCCATTTGCGTAGATAACGTCCACGAACTCCGGATCATTACAATGAACTTCATCTGGGTTGATCCGAACGATAGGGCCTAGATACATCATGGCATCAGCATCGATCAGTCTCAAAGACGCACGCCCAGTCAACTTTACGAACCGTGAATCTCGTGGAGACGTTTAATCTCGTGCGTAAACTTTCCCCAGCGTACTACGTCGAACCACACCTCATACCAGTATGTTGCGCCGGCGAGCTTCGGGCCGGGAAACTTTGCCAACGGGTGGAGGGTGACTCTATAGATTGCCAGGAGAGTTCCGTAGAGCAACCACGCCGCGAGCCCGACCCCGAGGATCTGGGTCCATCGGGTTGTGGCCCAGAAGATACCAGGAAAGAAAGAAATATCTTTACTAAACTCCATACTTCGTCTGCGAGGAAGGCTAGAAAGCTGATGTCTCTTCGCAGGGATACACTAGTGAGGATAAATGGAATGATTCGGTTCTTAAAGAGCGGCCCACGTTTGAAGGAAACATTGAGGGCTCGAATTTCTGAAAGGATTCCCGCCGTTTGGGAAAGGGTGATCCCAGATCGAGAGGAGGTATACGGGGTCCAGACATGTGCTTGGCTCGTGCTATCGAGAGCCACAAAGACGCATGTTGGCCGTTCCTGGCCATTAGGCTTTCGCCACACAAGCCTTGATAGCCACAGCTTGAGCCTAGACCACAGCGATCTTGGAGACAAAAGACTTGTGCAGATTGCGGCTCTATCGATAGGGCCATATCAAAGGACTGATGTCGTAGCATGATAGCATCACCATCCCATCAGTCTGCTGCAGTTAAGAGGCCATGAAGACCGTGATTGGGGAAACCACTCGAGAAGTTCGAGTGTCTGAGGTGTGAGCAGAATGTCTGTCTTGACTGCCGAGTAGCGCACCGGGTCATGGCCTTATGGGTGATGTTGGTGGCTTTTTTGACTGGAATGAAGTGTACCAGGTAACAGGACGATGTCTCAAGCCTCTTGGACCTAAAAGTAGCTAAAAGCGGGCTGAGCCCCCTAGTTATCTTTAGCTGCCAAAGCTGCCCTCAGCATATTACTGGCTGGACCTTTACGGGTCTCATCATTGATAATCCATGGTTGGTATACGCGGACACCCATTGCGGATCTCACCTCCGCTGATAGGGCCTGAAGGTGAAGAGTTGTCTGAATGCCAATGAATGGTTCTCTGGTTTCTACCGTACATACATGATGGCCTATTCTCCCGCCCTGGCACTTTCTGAAATACCTCCCTAATATAATGCATCATCTATTTCACACGCGCGAGCGAGGCTGCAGAGACGGCTGCAAAGATCTCGCTCTCCGCTCCGTCCTCCAATGGCAACAAAGGTGACCTGACAGTCGCATGCTCCAAGATCCCCCTTGCAACCAACGCGTGCTTCAGCGCCACAGTGCCCTCCATGTGCGATCCTCGATGGTACACGGCCTTGGTCACCGGCAACAACTTATCGTGGATCTCCCTCGCTCTGGGGTAATCCTTGGCCTTGCCCGCCTTAATCAACTCAATCAGAGCCTCGGGCGCAATATTGCCGTAGCCAACCAGGAAACCGTCGACATCAAAAGCGGTGTGCAAAAGATACTCGTCATGGCAGGTGAGAATCTGGAGATCCGGCCTCTCCTTTCGGATGACGGGAATCTCAGTGTCCCACCGTCTCATATTTCGGACGCCATTCTTCATCGCAAAGACGCCGGGATGCGCCGAAATATCGAGTAGAGTCTGTAAGTTGTACGTCGCCTTTGTTACGTCCGGATATTGGAACAGAATCAGTGGCAGTCCGCTGACCTCAAAGACGCGCTTGTACCGGTCCTGTGGAGCGCCAGGCTGGTAGCCGAAGCGGAGCCAGCCGTGCGATGGGTACAAGAGGCCAGCCGAGGCGCCGGCTTCACGGGCGCGCTTGGCCTCTAGTGCCGCTACTTCGGTGCCTTCTCCCGTGATACCGGCAATGATGGGGATGCGGTTGTCGACGGATTTGACAAAGGCCTTGATGACGGCGAGTTGTTCGTCTTGCGTCAAAAAGGTGCCCTCGCCGGCATGGCCGAGAACGACAAGACCCTTGACGCCTGAGATGCTGCCGAGCCAGGAGCCGAGACGATGAATGGCGTTGTAGTCTACACTGCCGTCCTTGTTGAAGGGGGTGACGGGGGCGGGGGTGAGACCACGGAGGTCAAGGCCGACGTTGGAACCCATTATTCGGTAAGGTTTGTGGTAATGGAAATGAAAGGGGTTCTGAAAGTGATTTTGGAGTTATTGAGATTTCGATGTCTGTATTAGATGTGGTGAAGGCAAGTCTAGAGATGCCACCTGCAATGAAGTCTTTTATAACTAGATCATGATGAACTTCACATACAACCTTGCACAGCCACTGGTTGAGCTCGCGTTTGAGAACGTGCCGAAGTCGCGTCTACCAACTCGGAACTATGCACCCTTTTCCATGACTGAAGAAGAATGCTGAATGCTTACGGCGTATAGTTGGAGCCGACTGCCAGCCACGCTCATCCGACCCGGTGTGAGATGGGCGACATGTTTTCCGGCCAGAATCCGAAAACACAAGTCCGAGAAGGCTCGGAACCACGACTCATGTCCACTAAAAGAGGGGCCAGAACCCACACACAACAACCAAGAGACCAGGTAAGGGTGGTGTGAGTGCCAGGATGGGGCTTGACAAGTCCGGGCTCGTCCAATTGTCACCCCATCCACTGCCGCAAACGTGTCATAAGTGATGTGTTCCTGAACTTAGGTGTGGAGAATCGTAGAACGAAGAACGCAACTGTCTCGACAACCACAACAGCAATCCATTGCAAAGATTCTCCCCACCTAATCATTTGCTAGAGCCTTTGGGACGAAGCCATATCACAAACCAAGAAGTCCTAATCCATGCATTTCCGAAATCCTGTAATCCGGGTTGCTTCTGGGTGTTGACGCTAAGCAAAAGTGGCTTGACGCTATTATCAAAACTGGAAAATATGTGTTTTCCGAGCCATTCGTTCCTTCGAGGACCCCGGCGCCAAGGGCGGTACCCCAGATTCCTGGAAAATTTCCCCCGCAACTCCAGACCCAGTCAAAGGTTACAAGCCGCTTCCCCAGATTCCATGGTCGTAACTTGATATTAAGGTCTCGTCTCCCGCCTTTCAACTGTAAAGCCGAGTTGCGACGACTTTCCAGCTTCAAGCAGCTGCTTCATGACGATCATTTCATTCTATGGAGAGCTCCCTGACAAAGAGAAAGTGTCAACCAATCAAATCCGCAAAAAGAGAGATGGCTGTCAATAGGGTCTCTTCGGACTGTTCCGACATTGAACACGTCTCTCACGAAAAAGACTCTGTTACCCACCATGAGTATCAACGAAATGGCAACCTGAGCCCTGATGATGTTGTATTCCTCGGCAACTTCCCAGACGACAAGAAGAAGAAAGCAGTTCGCAAGGTCGACGTACGTACAATCTAGTTGTCACTTTCACCTATGATACGTAGTATCGGTGTTACAATAGAATCTGACTCGCGTTTTCAATAGTACCGACTCATGCCGATGCTGATTCTGCTCTACCTCATGGCGTATCTCGACAAGACCAACATTGGAAACGCCAAGATCGAAGGGCTGTTGGGCAGCCTCAACATGACGGGCGTCGAGTACAACATTGCAGTCTCTGTCTTCTTCATCCCTTTCGTCCTGGCTGAAGTTCCGAGTAACATGATTCTACACATGTTCAAGAGACCATCGCTCTACATTGGCGGCATTGTCACATGCTGGGGCGTTATCATGACCTGCAACGGCGTGGTGCAGAGCTACGGTGGCCTAGTAGTGATCCGAATATTCCTCGGCTTGTTTGAGTGAGTACTCCCACCTAGCTGGTTGCGGCAATCACAGCAGATGGTAATTTTTCTCAATAGGGCAGGCTTCCTACCGGGTGCTATCTTGATCATCTCCAAGTGGTACCTTCCAAACGAGACGCAGACTCGAATAGCTCTTCTCTATACGTCCGCCGCATCTGGCGGAGGCGTCTCCGGTCTGCTGGCATTTTGCATTGCAAAAATGGATGGTGTTGGAGGATACGAAAGCTGGCGATGGGTAAGTCCAGAAGCTGCACACTTTCCTTGTAGCTTTCTAACGAAATCTTAGATCTTCATACTCGAAGGTCTGGCTACAGTGGCCATTGGCGTCATGTGCTTCTTCTTTCTAATCGACTCTCCCGCTCTATCCAAGTGGCTTGACGTCGACGAAAAGCGCTATCTTGAATTACGACAAGAAGCTCGCCGGGTTCATCGACCGAGCGAGTTTAGAGAGAAGCACTTTGACAAACAAGCTCTGATGTCTGTCCTGACAGACTGGAAGATCTATCTCTTGATCTTTGCAAACTGGTCGAATGCGGCCCCAAATTACGCTATGAAGTTTACGATGCCGCAGATCATCAAGAACATGGGGTACACCTCGGCAAACGCTCAACTTTTGACGATGCCTCCGTATGCGGTCGGCGCTATTTCAGCCTACATATTTTCAGTCTTTGCTGATAGATGCTCCTGGCGGATGCCTTTCATCATTGGCCCCCAGCTTTGTCTCGTGGTCGCATTCAGTATCTTGTTCACAAAGAGTGCCGACATTAAAGGCAACATAGCATTGTGTTATTTTGCCGTGTGCCTGGCCTGTTTCGGGTAAGTATCTCCCATATCAAGAACCATCTCAAAACACCATTCTGTTGCATACTTTATTTTATAGAAGACATCGAGACAATAACCAAGAATCGCTAGGATGTACCCGATCCTACCCGGTGTCAATACCTGGAACGTAGCAAACACACCGAGCCCAGAGAAACGAGCAATCAGCATCGGCTTTTTGGTCTGTGTCGGAAATATTGGTGGCTTGATCGGCAGCTATATCTACCTCGACAAGGAAGCGCCGACATATCCTACGGGCTTTGGCACATCTTTTGGATTCGCATCAGCTGGTATCATTGCTGTCATTGCTCTCGAAATTCTTTTGAAGAGGCTCAACGAGAAGAAAGCGCTACAGACTGAAGATGAAGTGAGAGAGAGGTACACCGAGGAAGAGCTGGGCCGCATGGGGGAGAAGAGCCCTTTGTTCAAGTATGCCCTCTGAATGAAACTTGAACACTGCCAGATACTATTATACTTTGCCCAACACTGTCAGGTTTCCCATACACGCGGTTAGAAGTTGTCATATCCATGCGTTATGTACCATCGTCGAACAAGAGATTCTCCTGTGTCCCTAAGAACTACTAGCCAAGCCGGGGCAGGGAACTACTGAAGAGCGCCTGATTTACCAAGGCCCCGGGTCCCGTTCTTGATCAACATACATGAGCAACCCCGAAAGAGACCAGCAGTTTTCGTTTTCACAGCCGATCCGTCAAGTCACCTCGTCGCCCACCATGACGCCCTCAACCTCGACTTCTCAAGTTCCCTGAGACCAGCGACCACCAGCATCCACCGCAGTGGATCAACAACTCGATTATCACGGCCGGTTGGCCCAATGGCAAGGCGTCTGACTACGATTTATCATGTTATCAGGAGATTCTGGGTTCGACCCCCAGGCTGGTCAATGGAGTATCCTTTTGCCATTCTCGTAGGGTATCCTAGCTTGCGGCAGATAAGTGTTCTTTTTGGTCAGACAATTCGGTACTTTACGACATTTTTTTCTGTATATATATGGAGTTGAATTGCCTTGCGTTATTGAAGTTTCATGAATCGTGAGTAGAGTATCCGTCCAACTGTCGTAGGCCGCTTCGATCTTCTAGTATCCCAAAGACTCGTAAATGGCACCGAATCCCTTGAACTGCTTGAAAGCCTTCACCTTGGGCCCGTTCATAGGCTCCATGCCCTTATCTCCCTTCTCCAGCGCCTTGCGATACGCAGGCCGCTCGGCAACGTCCTTCAGGTACCGCAAAATGTTCTTGTGCTCCGATAAGTCCAGGAGAGGGTAGAAACCGCGCATTGTGGTCAGGGTAAAGACCGTCATGATATCCGCAGCGCTCAGATTTTCACCCGCAAGCCATTTGTTGTTGGCCAAGCGGTTGTCGATTAGCTTGAGGGCCTGGTGGGACTTTTCTTCCATCCGCTTGCCAAAGTCACTTTGCGAAGCGCCGGCGAACAACAGGGTCATAGCGCGGCCGAGAGTGGGCTGAAGAGTGCCGTTTGCGAAATGGAACCACTCGAGGTAGGCGGCGTAATCGGCATCATCGGGGGTACGAAGGAGTCTCGGGGCTCCGGAACCAGCCTTGCTGCCGTGGACGTTGAGAATGTACTCTACGGTTGCGCCTGATTCTCCGAGCTCGATTGGCGGTGAAACGGTGCTGTCGCGGAAATACGGTGCGGTTCCGGCGGGGTTCTGACTCGTTCAGCTGTCTATCCATTATTCACAAAGTCTGCTCAAAGAAGAAAAGAAAAAAAAAGACTCACGATCTCCTTGATCTCCTTGGGTGCGAGTCCTGTGATGGGGTCTCTCTGGAAGACGTGCAAATCGTATGGTACTTGGAGTTCCTACTGAGTCTCAGCAATTGCAGACCTAGATGACTGTTTGCAAGTTTCCAACCTCCAAAAGCCACACGATTCTCTCAGATTGAGAAAGTCCAAGATGGTAAACTTCGATAGACATATTGATTGATTGTTTCGATACGAATCAGATGGAGATAGATGTTTGAGGTCGTTGATTCTGTCTGCCCCGAGGCGATCCAGTTGAGGGGTCGGCCCGCATGATATAAAGTACCACATCCGCTAGGGGATCGGCTGGTCTAGAGTCTAGAGTGCCACCATGTTGACGTCAGGGGTCCAGGAGCAGAGTTCACGAGCGCAGCAAGCTGCGACGAAGCGGACGGTGCTGCGGTTGGTGGGTCGAAATTCTGGAGAGCCGGTGCAACTCTGGAAGCCGCCGTCCGCCTCAAGGGGGCAGCGGACAGGGACCGGCTCGGGTTGTCCGGAGTAAAGCGGGGGATGGCGGGGCAGACGACCGGATTTAGGGAGGATTCTGGTGGGGGTGGATGGACTGACCGTCCGATCGTCCGATAGACAGTCTCCTAGATCTCATCCACATCGGTGCCGAGCTACCTCGAAGAGATGATAGTGGGAGGCCGTGGGTTACAGACTGCTGTCTACTCGGATGATGGTTGCTCCAGTGCTTGACTTATTCCCGCGCCATGGTTTCTGAAAATTTCAGCTGCATCGTTTCTGCAGCGCTGGAGTCAATGATGATTTGCAGCAGGGATCAAAGCTCGGGAGTTGGCATACTGCGTATTTGTCATTCCATGGAGAGGGGTCACTAAGGCCAATTCAGGCCACAGATCCGACTCTTTGTGCAAGTACTGTGGTATTTAGCTCATGAATGATATCATTGCATAATTATTTATTCATACGTCTCTTGCGAGTTTCCTGTGGGCATGCATAGCAAAAAGCCAAGCTGTACTATCTGCCGGCTCGTCATGAACAGTTTGATCCATAGGCCAGATCGAGTATACTGGACGAAGTTACAAACTTACACAATCTGATTGTAAGCACAGCAACACGTGGCCAACACATGTAGTGATTGCTCGGCAACAATCCCCATTGGACAAGCTCCTCGTCAAGACAAATTATCCTTTATCAACAGCATGTGAAGCGAGGGGGCTTCATGGAGACAGACTCTGGGAACAGTGAGCCCGGACTTGTGGAGGGTAAGAAGGTTTCGATCCAACCGATTTGCTCATCCTTGCCCCGCATTTCAGCCGAGCTTTGAGCGCGGGCAAGGGGGCGTCTGTATGCTGTATGTTGTGGCCGGTTGTTTGCTCTCCTTAATAATCAGCTAGCCCCTGACTTTTGCTTTTCCGGACTGCTCTCTATGCACAAACTCCCAGGCAGATCTGCGTGCCACACCACGCGAGAGGCGTCAGGTATTTGTCGATTTGTTCCGGTACAAGATTTTCCTCCGTTATGACCCACCTACGAATTCACCATATGCCGTAGTCAGACGAAGCGCATACACTCGGAGTGTTGAACCCGGCGTAGGAGCCGTTGTGGGTGCTGGAACCGACGTGGTAGTCCGGAGGGTCGGACTTGAGTCAGTGGAGACCATCAGCAATTGCATCGGAGGGTCGGATATTCGTGGATAGTGGTAGGATGGCCGACACACCAGCGGAAACAACGGCGAGCACCGACACTGTTATCCGCGATGATGCCCCTGTAGCGACATCCGCCCCGACACCTTCGTCAAACATATCACAGCCGTCCCCGTCTAGTCTGCCGTCGACTATTACCGATCGGAGGAAACGCAGCTTGCCCGAGGGTTCGCCCGAGGGCCCCGAAGATGGCCGTTCGTCATCGGCTGCTGCCGCCGCCGCCACCGCCGCCGCTAATCGGCGAAGAAGTCACAAAGTCAGTCGCGCATGCGACTTTTGCAAATCCAAGAAGCTGAAATGCTCCGGAACAATTCCCTGCGATGTGTGCACCCGGAAACGTCTCTCCTGCATCTATGACGCCACTTATCGCCGAGGTAGACCGCCGACACCTCCGCCAGCATCCAGTTCTGGCCCCGAGTTATTCGAAGCCCGACTAGTCCCCTCAACTTCCCTAGAGGTGCATAGGTAAGTCGTTGTAAGAAACAAGCAGCTTTTGATCATGGCTAGAGCGGTAGTTGACCTTTCACAGAAGACGGCTTCCCTCGTCGGCGCCTCTCCCATCCCTAGCTCCGCGTGAACCCCCTCTTCCCCTCCAGAGTGCGGCTCGGTCGAGAAGCCGTGATCATGTGGCTGAGGAGGCAGATGCTGCAGAGCGCAGCCGCCGTAGTGTTCTACCAGGCTCACGAGCCTCGCCAGAAGTCGAGATTGCCGAGATCGAAGGGCAGTATGTTGACACCACTTCGAGTCTAACATTCCTGCACCGAGCATGGAAGCGTCTTTCGTCGCAGAGATCTAATACCACTGACGTTCCTGGAAACGCACCGAGCGATGCCGAACAGCACCAGAGGCTGACGAGGGCAGGAGACAAGCCTTTTGATCCGCAGCCGTTGGATGTCTCGACTCTTCCTGACCGGTTGGTCGGCTTGGACATGCTGGATTTCTACTTTGATGTTTGCGTGGTAACCTATCGATGCCTTCATCAAGGTTACGTTGCCCGGTGGTTCGAGATTCTGCTCGCAAATGCAAAAGATAGCCGTCCGTTGTACCATGAAATTGGCCACGCCAAAGCCTCTATCGTTTTGACCATTCTCGCTATCGTCACCCTCCGACAAAGCAAGGTCCGAAACGTCGACGAAGAGAAGTTTTCTCACCTTCTGCGCAGCGATGCTCTCTTTTCTCAGGCCTTGAGTCTAACGGATGCGGAGATCGGGTTGCCGAAGTTAGAGTCCTCGCAGGCGCGCCTCTTGCAGGTGTTGTATCTCCTCCAAACATCTCGCATGAACCAAGCGTGGTACGTCTTTGGGAGTATTCTTCCCATAATCTCGGCGTTGGGTCTGCATCGGAAATCCGGACGCAACAGGGCCAACAGCGACAGGGACTACATCCTATCGCAGTGCCGTAAGAGAACATTCTGGGTGGCATACACCATCGACAAGTATCTGTCTGTTGTATTTGGCCGGCCGAGGATGTACCGTGACGACGAGATCGATCAGGACTTTCCTGATTGCGTCAACGATGAGGACATGACACCCCAAGGAAGATCAAGTGACGAGCCAGAAATGGATTGTCACGTTGAGAGCCTCATCTTCCACGCAAAGCTCGCACAAATCATTGACGGCATTTCTCGCGAGGTGTACTCGATCAAGCCCGTCCATAAAGATGACCGCCTCATGATTGCACATCGATACGGTAAGGCTCTGCACCGGTGGCGCGAGTCTTTGCCACACCACCTGGGCACCGTTCGGCCCATGTCCTTGATTCCATCATTCAGGAGGCAGAACACAGCCCTCAAGCTGGCATATTGCCATGCCATTATGCACGCCAACCGGCCCTTTCTTCTTGGAACGGGTGGCTCGAGAGGTGGTCAGCGATCTCCTCTAGAAGACAGTATTGATGAATGCATCACTGCAGCCAAGGCCGCGCTTGAGACGGTCGACGGCATGGCTAGTGACGGAACATTGTTCCATGCGTTCTGGTGGACGCCGTACGTCACCTTCTGTGCACTCGCGGTGGTGTACGTCTATGAGATTCAGAGAGGGAGACAGGACCCGGAAAGGGGTCTCTTTGAGCTAGCGGATCGCTGTCAGAATCACTTGGCGAAAGCAACGACTGCCGAGAGCCCAAGCCGCAGGTACTCTGTCATTCTCGAAGAGCTTCGACAAGAGGCCAGTTATCATTCCGAAGGTCCTTCAGCGCGTGAGAAGAAGCCGACCATTGAACGTGCTGAGCACGGAGGTGCGGAGCCGATGCAATTAGATGAGGGTTCGGGCGCTCCAGCACCCCCGGCCGATATGGGCGAAGTGTTCCAGCAGCACGGATTCGAAGGGATGACGAACCTCCTCAGTGGTTGGGAGACAACGGATTGGCTGGACTTGGACTCTTCGGTACACGATTTCCTCCAGATTTTTCAACTAGGATGTTGAGCTGATTGTCTTCAGGCCTTTGCTACGTTTCCCAACTTCGAAGGATCGCCAGTCTACTGGATGCCAGATGTTCAGTGATCGCGCGTAGATTGAGAGCGTCGTATTGGCTGACGAGGATATAACGATGGTGTACCATGTTTAAGATACCAAGTAACAAGAGCTATTCGCTGTACAAAATAGTTTTAGAAAGACAAATCATTCAAATCGGGTGTGAGTTGTAGGGAGAAAGGGAAATAACCAAAGCCTCGATCGGCAACGCGGCAACCCTGATTGTCCGAATCAACCATTCGCCGGAATTAACGGGATAATAGTACTACTTCTTTATCCAGACTGCGGTGAGGTTATCTTACGCTGTGAGGATACAGCGGCTTGTCAAGCCGAGCCCCTTCTTTCAAGCTTCGTCCAAACTCCACCGAAGCCGTTCATTGCCAACTGCTTCGACGTGGGATCCCCGCTTGTTCGGCAACTGAATAGGAATCTGCAGATGCTAAGTCGCGGGAGTATCACCCGTGCCCGGCATGACCGGTAGAAATACCCTGTCGAATTACCCGCACAGATCAGCAATGCGGCATGACACCTCCTCCAAAGGCTCATCAGCCTCCGCGCTGCAAGGCACCCCCTTCGGGAAGGCCAATGCTAGAGCCACTTGGGACAACGGATACCGGCACCCATACTTTTTCAGAAGAGCCGGGTTTCCCTTTCGGAAGCCATGGCAAGTGCCGAATAAAAGCTTTTTAGACAACTCCAGATGAACCAGTTTCCTTTCGCTTTCGGATGAGACATGGATCTAGCACGGCCCCCAGCCAACCGGCTAAATTGACGATGATGGCCCCCTTTTCAACGCTCCCCTACATGTGGGGTAACGAGATCACCGGGTTTTACACATAGTGCATGCTGCGCCCTCGGTGCTATACACCAGCGGCTGAAGGGAAGTCTACAAAAGTTGCCATATGCGTCACAGAAAGCTCTGTCGACAGCTTCGTTCGTTCGCTTCCGTTCCCTAGGACTATAAGTAATTGCTCAAGAACGAGCCCAAGATCGCCCTCGAGAGAACGTAACAGCATCGCACTTGGTTGCAGCAAGTCCATCGCAGTTATGAAGTTCAGCACGGTTTTCTCAGCCCTTGGCCTGGCCGCCTCAGCCAGCGCCGCCTCGTTACAGCAGGTCACCAGCTTTGGCTCAAATCCTAGCGGTGTCAAGATGTACATCTATGTTCCCGACAAGCTGGCGGCGAACCCTCCCGTGGTTGTGGCCATCCACTACTGTACCGGTACCGCTCAAGCCTACTACAACAACAGCCCCTACAAGACACTCGCAGACCAGAAGGGCTTCATCGTCATTTACCCCGAGTCACCGTACTCGGGAACCTGCTGGGATGTCTCCTCAAAGGCAACTCTCACGCACAACGGCGGAGCCAACAGCAACTCCATCGCCAATATGGTCTCATACACTCTCAACAAGTACAATGGCAACAAGTCCAAGGTCTTCGTCACCGGCTCTTCGTCCGGCGCCATGATGACTGTAAGTGAATAACGACAGCTCAACGAGAGAATGCTCGAGTGACTGACGAGCAACAGAATGTCCTGGCCGCCACATACCCCGACGTCTTTGCCGCTGGCATTGTCTACAACGGCGTCCCGGCCGGTTGCTTCTACACCGGTACGGTCAACGGCTGGAACAGCACCTGCTCTTCAGGCCAATCGATCGCCACGCCAGCACGCTGGGCCCAATGGGTCTACGACGCCTACCCCGGCTACACGGGGGCCCGCCCCCGCATGCAGATCTACCACGGCAGCACCGACACCACCCTCAACTACGCGAACTACCAGGAGACTATCAAGCAGTGGTCTGGCGTCTTTGGATACAACCCGGACAAGCCTGTCACTTCCTCTCAGAACACACCTATTGCCAACTATCGCACGGATGTGTTTGGCGATCACCTCACGGGCGTCTGGGCAGTAGGCGTTGGACACACCGTGCCCATTCGGGGTGATGATGACATGAAGTTCTTCGGCCTGTAGTCGTTCAAAACACGCACTAGTATTCTTGGATATAGTTTGAAGGAAACTTCAGCCGCCGCTATGGCAGTAAATAAATAGCGCGTATTATTATTGCACCTCTTCGGTCTTGGCATGCATCCCGTTGGATGTGTGGAATTTGGAAGCTCTTCCATAGAGTTTCCCGCGGAGAAAGGTAGTCCGCGGGGACAATTTTTCTACCGTTGACGGACCGGAAGCATGATTCAGAACCGGCCCGGTACTGATAAAAGATCTTAGACGCGCCGGCTACGAGGCCGGCTCTTAGGTTGTGACTTCTTGATGTGAGCTTAGGGGAAAGCCAATGCTGTTGTCGCAGTTGACTCGTAGACACCCAAATTACATATCCGCTGCTTTCCCGTCCATGAGGTTGACTATCATCCTGTTGGTCCGGACCGAAGAGTTCCGGGAGAGACTCTCACTGCAGCTTCCGACGCAGAGGGGCTTCTCGTGCCTCCAAGATCTCTTTCAGCTTCCTGGCAAACCGCGACACGTTGATCTCGTCCAGCATGGAGTATTGTTCGCCCGGAACATCATAAACTGCACGTCGCTTACGAACTCCCGCCACCGGCTGAGCTTATTCTGAACCCAATCCTCACGGTCAACAGCCACCTTTTCGAGAGGATCTGCGACGAACACACCCATGCTGTGTATCGTTCCTCGTGGTTCGTAGTCTCGAGCCAGGTGCTGGAGCGAAGATGCTAAATCTGCCCACTTGACGTACTCCCATTCGCCGAGGCCTAACTCGAGCCAACGATCCGAGTCGCTAAGGGCTCACAGATGTGCGAATGGTTCTTGCTTAGAGAAGATGTGCAAAATGGGGATCTGCTGTACAGCTTGATCCTGTCTCATGAGCTTCGTGAAGTGAAATAGGTTGGCGAGACACTCTACCCAGCCGAGCTGCCTCATGCGGTGCTTTATGTGCGGCGGAAGGTTCCAGCAACCGCAGTAGAGAACAATATCTCCTCGGCACCTTCATGTTCTACTCGTTAGGTTTCGCTCGCTTCGCACAGTTCTTGGCCGTATGCGCCCTTCTCAAAAGCCGACTTGATTGCGCCCATGGGCAGCTTTCCCAGTGTCGATGGCTTGAGATCAACGGCGTTCAGAGGGAGAACGATGGCAGAGGAAGACGTATGTAAGCCGATAATATCGATTCTCCTACTGCGAGTCTCGATCCTGGCTCCAGGATGGTTCTCCTTGACCGATGGTAAGTAGGCAACAACTATTTGTTGTGTATTGGTTGAAAGAGGTAAAGTTGAGAAGTAACAGAAAAAGCCCGGGACTGCTCCTCGGATCGACTACTTTTCGAGATGGCTTTCCAGTTTGTCTGGAGCGTACTTCACCCCGTTAATAATCATGGTATCCTTGGAGCGTCCCTCAAGGATTAATTGACCGTCGTGGTTGAAACAAGCGAGGTCGCCAGTAATGAACCAGCCATCCTCTGTGAATGCAGCCGAAGTAGAGTCGGGGTCATCAAAGTAGCCGCCAAATACCATGTCGCCGGAAAGTTCCAGAAGCCCAACCTGGCCGATATTTGCAAATGTAGATGAGGAATTGCCATCTTGGAGCCTCACTCCCAGCTGTAGTCCAGAAATGCCTTTACCAACGGTAACATGTTGGTGGTTTTTTTCTCGATCATACGTCGGGCAGTTAGTATTGTAAATGCACCCAGCACAAGTTTCTGTCATTCTGAACCCCGGAACCATGACGTCTTTGCGAGCACCATACTTCTCGAGTTGAATTTGGAGTGTCTCGCAGACGTCCACCGTGTTTGTCTCCCTACCCGATCCAAGCCATTGCATATAACCAAGATTTAAATCTCCATCCAACGACAATGTTTGTTCCAACATGAGCTCTCTGGAAAACTTGGCCAAGGAAGAATGAGGGGCAAAGGTCCGCGAGGCCCGGTGGCGGCCGATCATGTTCAATAGCTGCACAGGCTTAGACAGCACCTCGTCCGCTAGGAGATGCACTTGAGAGAGACGCATGTACATTGCGTGGAGATGGACTACGCATGTACCAATGGATTACAACCTACCAAGTAAGTACCTGAGTAGTGTGTAGGAAACGGGAACCATCAACTGTTTGAATTATGCGAGTTCTACAGCTGCTATCTTCTTCAACCTTGACGGCACCAACCGTGTATAACGAAAAGCTATCTTATACTACTAAGGTCGGTAAAAGGCTAGAGTTTAGAGTTCTACTATTACTGCTTTAGATACCTAAAGTAGTAAAAAGAGGTACTTGACTAAGTAGGTAGGGTTCTGAGGACAACAGACTTGCTCGAATAGCCTTCAAGAGCGGCCACTACCTCTTTTGAATCCTAACCTAGTGGTTAGAGAGACGTGACAATAGTCCGGTCGTCTCTAATACTTGCCGATATCGGAACATCGACTGAAGCATCCTCATGTTGATCGGGGCTAACACAAAACAAGGGCCAAGATATAACAGTCAAATTTGTTCATAAGAGAGTCCTATATACGGCATAGATGCCAAAAGTTCCAATTTGTACATGAAGGCAGAGACCGAGCAGTCCAAAGAGAAACACAGTCATGTCGACCAAGGACACCTACTGCAAAGCAGTAACGACCGCGTTATAAGCCGCCTTAGGGTTGAAGTTGGCGTCAAACAAGAGCGGGTTATTCTGCGCCCTCCAGCTATCGGGGTCACGCACGCCCCAGACTGTGATACCGACGCACTGCGGAACCTGCAGACAGGCCTTCGTCACAGCAGTGTAGTCAGCGGCGCTGGCGCCGACGATATCCAGCTCCGTGATCGCGACCTCCTTGACGCCGCTGCCGGCAAGGGTCTGCAGGGCGCCGAGGGCGTTGCCGCCTTGGTTGGCTTGGAGGTGAGCTTGGGAGCCTAGGGAGTCTCAATTAGTATTCGTGATGATACCTCAGTCATCGCATATTGGTCGGCTTCACACGTACCAATACCGTCAATGGGGATGCCCTTGCCGATCCACTCCTTCACCTTGCGAGCCATCGCCTGCGTCTTGGCGTAGCTGGCCTGGTCGAGGTTGTAGTCGTTGATGTACAGCTTAGCATTGGGATCCGCGGCCCTGGCGGCGCGGAAAGCGATGCCGACAAAGTCCTCGCCGAGGACTTGCGAGAAGACGGAGGAACGGAGGGAGCCGTCTTCGTTGAAGATCTCATTGACAACGTCCTAATCATCACAGGTTGAGTAACGTTTATTTTCTCAGAGGAAGGCGGAGTAGACGCACCCAGTGGTAGATCTTGCCCTTGTACCGGCCAACAACAGCCTTAATATGGTCCTCAATGACGGTCGTCAAACCGGCCTTGTCACGGACATTGTTCACCCAGCCCGCAAGCTGGGAGTGCCACACAAGAGTATGCCCGCGAACGAGCTTGCCGTTCTGCTGCGCGAAGTTGACGAGGTAGTCGGGCGTGGCCCAGTTAAACTGGCCGCGATTGGGCTCGATCTGGTCCCACTTCATCGAGTTCTCCGGAGTGACCTGACCAAAGTTGGCCTTGATGATGTCGGCGTTCTTGCCGGCGGTCAGGCGGTTCTGGTCGGTGCAGGTGCCAAAGTATTGCTTGCCCTTGGCCTTGATCAGCTTGTCGATGGACTGCGAGGCCTGCCTCTCCTCAAGGGGGGCGGCGAGGACGGTGATGGGTGCCAAGAGGCAGACGAGGCTCGAGGAGAACTTCATTGTCAGCGATGAGGTGGAAAAGAGTGGACTTGAGTGCTGTGAATGGTGTATTCCATTGTCTAAGCTAGTCGCCTTTATAGAGTTGAGAGTTGTGCTCTCGGATAGATGGAGGCTCTCTAGCCAACACACATGGCTTCACCTTAGATGAAGGACCATTCATTTACTTAGACTACTACTATACAATAATCATAATCCGAATTGCTTATTCGGGCACGACCAAAAGTCAAACGAGAGGCTCGCAGATGCAGAAACCAGGATCTCAGCCCGTTCTGGAAAGCCAAGTTCGGTGGTAACAAGCCGTAATGGCACGGAAGGTGTTATTGATCGTGTAAGAAGCGGATACCCGCCGGCCTGGGAAAAAAGGCACTTCCCCTGGTAATGCGGGGAATAATCATGGTAGATGTCGGCTGAATGTGTTAGTTCCTGGGGGGCATCCGGCAGTGACATTACCCAAGAGGACTAGTCATGGATTTGGGCATCGCAAGACGCACTCAGCGGCAGCGTGCTGGTCATGCAGTGGTCTCGTGGTTTTCAGATAGATTGCAATTTGCAGGTGATTGCTAAGGACGGCTGAAATGAGGCGCCTAGGTAACATCCGAACTTTGCGAGATCCGAGTTTGGCGAGCCTCGGTAGCTGCAGAAGGCCACCCTTGTTTGATGCGTACCGAGTGAAACCCCAGGGGCTTGGCCACCATTGCCTTTTATGAGAGGCCTTCCACCATTCCTCCGGACTACTTGATGTGCCATGTAGCTTCTCGGATGACCGGTATACGCCATGAAGCCGGGGAATTGTTCTAGGTTGATGTAGATTGATCTTATTTCCCGGACTTTTAGTTGAGTTGACGGGCACATAACCCCTCATCCTGACGATCCCATCCCTGGAAGGTCGAAGGGTGTGAGGACTATCTCACATCCACTCTTACTGAGTCGAAGTAGTAGGCGTGCCTTTGAATCGAAATTCGATCCGTAGGACTGCTCTCATGCATATGAGAGGGAAACCAATGCAGGCACAAGATTGTTGGCCTTGTTCATGGTCGTATCTATTTTTTCGAGGCCTCGATAAATCAGGAGTTGGCGCTGGCGATCAGGTCGCCGATCAGGTGTTTGACCGGTTCAAAAACCTCCTCATCGTCGCCAGGTGGTACAAACACCTTGACGCGCCCCTCTGAGAGCACGAACCCGCCGCAAGCAATCTTGGTGACTCTCACGCCGGGATGGAAGAGATTAAGGGCGAGATGTTCTTCCAAGTAGGCACCCAAGGCATGTAAGAATGCTTCTTCGTGCTCTCCTTGGCCGTCAACCCATCCCCATCCTTCGTCCGCCTTGCCGCCCGCGAGCTTCTTTCTCTTTCTCGGATCGTCTTGGTAGCCTTGAGTGAGCCCTGTCTTGTTGATACTTCTCGGGTTCGTGAGCGCTCTCCCCTCCTTTGTAAATCGCTTGAGCTCCTCGGCTGGTATGATGATGTCGATGGACTTGATTCCAAGCCCGTCTGGAGGTTGTTCGTCAGTGCCATCTGAGGTCACTGCGGGTGGTATGTAGAAGCCCAGGGTCAAGACCATGTCTTTTGCCAGAGGGCCTTGTGAAGGGAGGCCTGCATCTTCGATCCATCGTTCCCATGCCGTAGCCAGGCCCTTCGTACCCAGGCGCAAGGGACTGATCCGGCAGTCGAATGTGCTTGACAAAAAGTCGACAACAACCGTTTTCAAAGGAGCAGGCATACGTAGGAGAAGTAGAGGAAGAAGCAAAAAGTGTCTGTCATCTTTTGAGCCACTACTGGCAAGCAACCCGGGCACGCCGAGGCTATTCGCTGATTGCAGTCCGGCGGGAGACTCTTCCGCGGTCTTTGCGGAGAGCGATGGTAGAAGCACAGCTGTGCAAAGCGCGTTCTCGTATCTCATCTCGAATACAAGACATCTCTTCTTGCTAACGGCATCATCGGTCTCGACGGCATCGCTGCTCAGATCTCTACTCAGATCGGGGTCTGTGTCGTCGGCGCCGCCTAATAGAGCTTCAACACCAACCCATCGAATACCGACCTTTTCCAGCGGACCGGCGCGTCCTAGAGAGCTGTCGCTGCCTTCCAGGCCGACCTGTACACCTCTGACGACGTCCCCCACGAGCGTGTCACGTAAGCGCTGCGACAGTGCCTGTAATCGAGGAAAGCTTAGGGTATTGGCGCCGACGTAGAGCGGTGATGCGCGATGGGTGGAAAAGGTGGTGTTGAAGAAGGGCGGAGGAGGCTCGCGGTCCTCGACGGACGATGGGGATGGCCTGTCGGGAAGCACTTCAGAATCGGATTCGGCCGCGGCCGCACGAGGGCGACCTCTAGGAGGCATGACGATGGGCCGGCAAGTGTGCCCACGAATCGGGGAATGGGTGTGGAAGCGGCGATGTCTCAAGTTGCTAATTGGTGCAGGGATGACGCGTTAGTACTGGCTGAGTCTGCGACTTTTTCGATTGATAGCAGGTTCGTAGGAATCGCCTGGGTAGAATACGCGTCGGTTAGCGATTTGTATCGGTGTTGTTGATCGTGAGTTTCGCGGGAGCACACGAATGCCGTATGCGAGGTAGCTGTGATTGTGTAGAAAGTAAGGAAGATGGCTTTCTAAAGCTAATGTGGGGCCAGTTGGCAATGGGCACCCAGGCATGGGCAGACAGAATGTTGAGGCTTGTAATGATGATAGAGATAAATGTGTGCAGGAAGTGATTCCAAGGTAGAATGAATATCCTGTGTATTATGATGGAGGAACCTCGTCCAAGGTAAGGTAATGTGTGCAGGATGGACTTGCATATTCCCCGGGCAAGAGGCGCAGCAGCGAAAGGTACCCGGAGGCAAGTACCTCACACAGCACCTGCACGCCGTGCCGGTTTTGTGGATCTATCGGCGCCAGCTCCGGAATCTGCGCCCCGAACGGGTTTTGAATGGAAACACCCAGGATAGCCAAATCGAAATCCCTTCTCATAGAGTCTATTAATTAAGGAATTTTGGATTACAGTCGATACAATGTCAAAGTTACTCACAAAGCTGGACACAATCGAGCCTACCGACATTCAAAAGTGAGTGGAAGCTACTCAACATCACCAGGCCAGCCGCTTCTACTAGTGAACGTCTTCACGACGGATCCCAGCACAGCGCTTGGGAGGAGAAGTCGGATGGGCCGACAGATGGCCGATAAATAAGATGTTTCGAATCCATTTCTAGCCATTTCTTGGTAGACCACACTTCGCAAAGTACAACACATCTCCCTGAATTCTTTTTTCGGTCAAAAGGTAACGAAGGCGAGATGTCGGCTCCACAACGTGCCTTCTAATCGACTTTTTCGTATGGTACAATGTTCCAAAACCCGATTATATGCCAGTCATGCCATATTGCGCCTGGCCCTTTTTAGTTCCAAAACCCTTTTCATGTCGTGAGATGTCGCCCATGAAGCACTCTAGATAACTCCAATGAAATGACGCCCAATACCGCTCAAACACCCATATCCGGTACGTATGTACACAAGGTATATACACAAGGTGTGTACATGTCTTTGGTATCTATCATGCACCTACGCAGAAACCAAAGGATCCGTCAAATACGTCCAGCTTATTGAAGCCAGGGTTTTCTCTCATAGCCAAGAGGTCGTCGATGGTAGGCACCTCGTTTGTCGCATAGAATCTGAGAAGGTTTTCCATGTCTTCGTCGGTGAGATCACAAATCTCTTCCCAGTCGAACTTGTTGCTGACTTTGATCATCCTGTTGCTCAATTGTAAGCATCTCTTATAGTAAGGTAGAAGTGCCCGCACAAGGGTTCAGACGTACCAGCCCATGCGCTTGGGGCTTTCCTCCGAGTTCGGAGCCATTTTGCGCAGCTTCGCTCTGAGTGTACCAATGGCCTCAATGGCATTGCCGGCGTTCTTGGGAAGCGACTTTGCGATATGCCGCCTGATGATGGCAGCCAGTCTGGGGCCTTTACCATTGGTGCTGACCATAATCTGGAGGGGCCCGTCACGGTGGACACTGCCAAAGTAAAAGTCGCATTCTGGTGGTACATCGGCAATGTTGGCAGGCACTTTACGTTCCTTGCACAGTTTCCAGATGACGGTAGAGGCAGCTGGGTCGTCAATGGCAACAAGAACCATGGCTGCGCCATCCAGGTCGGAGGGTTCGAAGAGACGATCGACGTGGGTAACTTGGGCTTGTTCAACACGGTGGGCTACTTCGGGATTGAGGCCAGAGGCCGGGCAGACAACGGTGACATTGGCATCGGCATCGAGGCAGTTGAGGATCCGGCCCGCGGCAACCTGTTCCAGACAGGCGATCAGCATTCGCCAGTATAGTGCCATAGCAATAGCATGGCATGAGGTAAGAGTCATTTCTGGTGCAAGATGGAGCTCTAGCTACGCCGCGGGGATGCAGCAGTTTGGGCTGTGCAATATAACGTACCTCGCCTCCTCCAACAACCAGGACCTTCTTTCCCTTGATCTGCCATGCCAGAATCAGACTGCCTCCACCCTTGACTTCGGGGAACTTCTTCGTTGTTGACTTGGCGGCCATGTCGTGTGTGTGTGGTGAGGATGGCGAGGGGATGGTTTATGGGACGAGATTTGACTCTTGAGTTCCTCTATGACGAAGGGAACTTTTTGGGCAGCATTTTTGGAGAGATGCAGCTGCCAGGTCGGGGGCGATAAGGCGCAAAGGCCGTCGATAAGGCTGGCGTCCCCACACCAAGGGACGCAATGGCGGTCTGCACGATAGATGTATACCTAAGTCAGAGCTCAATATATACGGTAAGAAGAGTATCTCTGTATCAATCGGCACCGGGCTGCCCCGCCTTTCCCCTGTCTGTGGGCCCTGGTCAGCGCGTGTCTCCACTAGCGCAGCCTTTAGCGCATGTCTTTAGCGTCCCAGTCTCCAAATCCCGCCGAATGCGTTGCTCCCCAACCCCTGTCGTCCTCTTCCCACCGCCCTGCCATTGCCTGCCATTGCCTGTCCCGCCCGCAGTCCGCCCACCGCTTTGCTGCTGATTCTCTCAATCCTTGGGCAGGGAAGAGGCCTGACGGGCTGCGCGGGAACCTGCGACTTGTAGTGTAACTGGAACTGGAACCAACCTGCCCTGCCGTGAGCTGAGTTGACGGGGCCATCACCCGTGAAGACGAACCACCGCCACGAACCACTTGCAGTTGCGACCTGCGTCTGTCACCTGCCATCTTCCATCTACACCATCAAAACCCCCGCCCTTCCGATACGCTCAAACTCCCGTCCCCGCCGGGACAACCCAAGGAAACGAACGTCAACGTCTCCTCCTCACCACCGCCGATTCATGGTCTCGTAGCTATCGTCCTCCCGTCTTCCACGATGTCCGGCCGCAAGCTGGGAGGCGGCCGCATCTTGGGCAGCGGCAAAGGCCTTGCTCCTCCCACGCCTCCCGCCATCAACGGCCACCAACGCACACCCAGTCCCTTTGCTCCCTCAGAAAGCACTCTGTCACTCAACTCGTCCTCGGCCTCGCCCCCGGTTTCCAGTCCTTTACCCGACTTCGCCCAAGATCTTGGATCCAACATTAGTGTTGGAGGCCCCTCTAGAGCCGCTACCTCGAGTTCCAAGCTAGTCTGTCCGATATGTGAAGAGGAAATGGTCTGTTCATTCGTTTGTCATGTATGAGAGAGAGAGGCCTGCTGACGGTAAATCCCAGTTGACGCTGCTTCAACTCAACAGGTGAATTTGGCTTTTCGTCCTGGCGACGCTGAACTCTAGTCTCTGACCCTCCCTCCTCAGACACATCGATGATAACCACCAAGAACTTCCCGAAGTCGAACAAGATGAGGTTCGCACCTGGTTCGACAAGCAGGTGCTCAAGGCCAAACGATTCCAACCATTATCTATAATCAACCAAAAATTGCGAGGTCTCGACGTCTTCGAATCCAACGAGTCCCTGCCCATTGCCCCGCCTACGACTGCGAAGCTCATTGAGGGGCCGATAGACCCGGATGAGCTCATCACACGATCGCATTGGCAACGCCAAACGAGCAACGACCGATGCACCGACCCAACGTGCGGGAAAGGCCTTGGAGCTGTCAATGGAAGCATCAACTGTAGGAATTGCGGCAGGTTATTCTGCGAGGAGCACACCATGTACCAGATGAAGCTGTCGAGGTCTGCCCAGCACGACCCCGTGCGGGGATACTGGGTCCGAGTCTGCGAGACGTGTTACAAGTCGAGAGATGGCTACAACGACCACAACGGTGTCCTGATTGACCACACCTCGACATTTGCGGAGATGCGACGGAAGAGGGTGGAGAGGCAGAATCTCGAAGTGGCTAGGCTGGAAAAGCGTTTGACGAAGCTGACGCAATTACTTGCGAATGCGCCCGAAGATGTCACGACAAATGGAGGAAGTCTGCTGTCGCCTGTCGCCGCCCTAGCGGGTCAGAAGAACCAGAGGAAGCTGATTGAGCAGTCGGTCGTTACTTGGGAGGATGACGCCTCCGTCACGCAATGCCCATATTGCCAACAAGAGTTTGGATCTTGGACGTTTAGAAGACACCACTGCCGAATATGTGGCAGGGTGGTCTGCGCCGATCCACTTACAGGCTGCTCGAGTGAAGTCGGCTTGAGCATTGCCAGTCGTGAGTCTCAGTCCACGGCATCATCATCACGAGTACCGCGGCTAACAATCTCAGCTACGAGCCCTGCGACGGAGAAGCCCCCGACGGCGGCACAGCCTGGCCAACTTAGCATCGATGTTCGCATGTGCCGCGAGTGCAATCACACAATCTTTGCGAAACGCGACTTTGCGTCGACCATCTCCCACAAGCCAGCTGACCAGCGAGCATACGAGACATTGCGCCAGTTCGAGCGTGGAATTCGCCAGCTTATGCCCATCTTCCAACGAACATTACTTGCTCTTCAGCCAGAGGGGGACGATGGGGTCGAATCATCAAAACCGCCTCCCACACATGCTCAGATTCAGGAGGCTTCGAAGATCCGGAAACGTCTTACCGATGCGTTTACTAAATACGACACGGCCGCCCGTCGACTCCGTGATATGAAGACTACCTCCAAGACGCAGCTCCGCTTACAGCAAGCCGTCTACGCCGCCGCCTCCACGTTCTTGCACACCCATATGCTGACCCTCAAGTCGGTACCGCAAATCCTACGTTCTCGGTCATCACAGGCCTCTCGCCTCCGAGCCTTGCAGTCTGGCAGCGTGAACGGGTCTTCGTCGTCCCTACACCTATCGCCCCTTCGCAACCAGGAGCTCGCCGAATCCGAAACAGCAAGCCAGGCAAGCGAGACCAGCACGGCCGTATCAGCGCTCGAGACGGAAGAGAAGGAGGCTCGCGAGCGTTTGGTGGTCCTGGAAGAGCAACGCTTCATGGTGCAGCAAATGGTGGACTCTGCTCGGGATGCGAGACGGTTTGAGGAGGTTAGTGCACTTACGCGCAACGTAGAAGAGCTGGACAAGGAGATTGAGAGGGCCAAGAAGTTGGTGGGTGGCGTTGAGGAACGATGGGAGGGCCTTTATGCGTCTGGTCTGGCGCGGTGACGACTGTCACAACTACCTACCTGGAAAAGACAAATGCAGGAAAGGATTCGGAAGATGAAAGAAAGGAGAGTGGAGAAGAAGGTGAAGCGATTCAATGTTTTGTTTTTCCAGAATCTCACAGCAGCATTGCAAGGCGTTTTGGGGAGGGAACAAACAAAGTCAATAAGCTTGGTACCACCACCCCTGGGATTTTTTTATATATCAGTTTTCATGAGGTGGGCATGGCATTCATAAGATAGCTTAAGCAGGATGAGCACGTATTGGAACGCTCAACAAGTCTGAAAATTGAAAAAAAAGACTTGTAATTGTTGAATGCCTCGTCTTGTATGGTAAGACGAATAAATAATATCATGATATCCTGAGCTGTGCCTCGCGCGCGCATCTCCTGATTTGCCTCCCTCACTCCCTCAAACGCCATTGAGTAAAATAAACCGGGCAAAAGACCGCCACTCCCCTTTCGAATGAATATATGAATGAATACTCGCCAAAAGGGTCGACTTGGTGTGAGAAAAAAAGAGGTTGCTTCTCCAACATGGTAGGGGGGTATGACAATATCCACACACAAAGCAGCTCTCTCTCCAAAGAGCACTTCTTCTCTCTTTCCATCCTGTCGACACGCGACATCATCAACTATGGTACCTTAGTGCACCACACCCTCGACGCCGCCGAGGAACCGCCTCACGCGCTCAACCTCCAGCTCGCCCTTTTCACTCTCCACGGCCCTTAACAGACCATCGACAACAGCATCGACCTGGTCCTCGGGCTCCCCCGTACACATGGCCACCACGCGCCGGTACTTGACCTCGAGGTCTTTGCTCCTCCCCTTGAGCGCACCGGCCATCTTGCGCGTGACGTCTCGTCTTGCCGACACGGCGCTCAACCTGGCCTTGAGGGTCGCCGCTGAGGGCAAAAGGCCGCCTTCGCCATTCGTGCCGGCCGTCTCTAGCGCGGCGCTGAGTTCCGTCTCCCATGACGAGGAGAGGGCATTCGTTCGTCCTGCCCGGTTCTGTTCTTGCGTGAGGCGCACTTGCTCTTCTTCACGGGCATGGCTCAGATTCGAGACTTTTTGCCGCGCGAGTTGCTGTTTGCGCAGAGTTGCCTGCATGGCTTCGAGGTTTCTCTTGGCCTCGCCTAGTTGGGCCGATGTTGTGCGGAGGGTGGTGTGGAGAGACTCGATGACGGCTTGTTTTGACTTCACTTCGCTTTGGAAGGTGGAGCTTGCTTCGGTAAGAAGATGTGTAATGGCTGAGAAACTGTCAGTTTGGTGATGCAGTAAAAGAGAGAACGGGAAGGGGGTCTGATATGAGACTCACATGAAATAATGTCATCACTGCTTTCCTTTGTCGGCTCACTGCTGACGAGTCCGTTCTTTTCAACATCTCCATTTGTTGCGTTGCCATTGGTTCCGTTGATAATCTTGGAAGCTTCATCCGCAGGTTCACCCCCGATGCCAAAGTCTACAGGCCGCAGACCAGCACGGTTGGCAATTTCGCCATCTGCACCAACTTCTAGTAGTTGTGAGATGATGCTTCGGTTGCCTATCCGTGCTGCGATATTCAAAGCCGTATCGCCAGCGTGGTCTTGGGCATTCACAATCTCCGACATGAAGCGAGCAATGCCCATTTTGGGCTGTGATGATGGCTGGGATTGTGAGCTGGCTGGAGCACTCTCACCCTTTCCATTGGCAGCGAGTTGCCCGTTGGGATTGCTGCCCTGTCGCACAACCCATTCCAGGAGGCTTTCGAGGTAATACCTGCTCGCCGCGTTCCTGCCTTTCACGGCGCTTGTCATGGCAATATGGTGCAAAACGGTCCGTCCCTTGCTGTCGCGGACCTCGATTGTGCTTCCAAGAACGTCAAGAAGATCGGGAAACTGTCCTAGGTCCATGGAGTTTGTCACAACACATGCCCTAACCAAAGCGGTTTCTCCAGAGGCATTGACTCGGAAAGGACTGGCTCCTGCTGCAATGAGGGCCCGCAAGAGGGACATGCGTGATAACGTAGCTGCCCAGTGTAGGGCGGTATGGCTTTGTTGGTCAATAGGCATGTCCAGTTCAATGGGGGCCAATGTCCGCAGCATCTCATGTTTTGACTGATCCGAGGTTGCTGAGTCCATGAAGAGGCTCATCAGCATGCTACGCTTGGCTTCCGCATCGGGGGACATTTCGAATGGTAGAGGGCTCAGAGGGCTGTGGCCGTCGTGTGGCGGGGCGTTGGCCTGAGAATAGATGAAGGATTCGTTGGGTTCTGTGGGCGATCCGGGGAACTGGTTCTGGTACATCTCCATGGAGTTGTTGTTGTTGTATCCAAAGCTGTCTTGCGGTGTCATGGTCACACGCTGCCGCTTCCTAGGCGGCTCTGGGCCATCGAACTGCTGACTTGTTTGTTGGGTCGAATAGGCCGAGTCGTTCTGGTTACCGTAGTCGGAAGCGAAGCTTTGTTGGGAGTTGCCGGGGAAGTCATCGCCGTTCTGCATAGAGCTCTGGCGGCTGAAGCTGGGGGCCTTGGTCGGTCCGTTACGGCTTCTCGGGCCAGGTGAGTCGAATCGTGCCTTGCTGATAGCAGCGACAGCGTGCGACGCAGTGGTCGAGATGTTTTTGAAAAAGGTGCCGTTGAGACCAGCCATGGCGTTCGTCCTTGCCTCGTTCCCCGCATTGTACATTCGTTTCCTCTGCGCAGCCATGGCCTGCTCCTTGGTCGGGGTGTTGAAGTCTCCTCGGCCTGCAACTCCTCCATCCTGACCCATGTCGTACGTCAGCAAGGGGCGCAAGACTTCCTCTACGCCGTATTGACGGCAGACTTCGACGCCACGGTCGAACTTGATCCAGGTGCCCTGGTATTTTCCGTATCCTCCCTGGACCTTTTCGTGCTCGCCAGTCTGGATTTCCTTTTCGAGTATCTTTGTGCGCTTTCCCTTGTCGACACCGGCCACCTTGAGGATCTGGGTAGCATTGAGCCAGCTGTCTTGCCGCCTGCGCATAACGGCGACACCATTGACTTCCATCTCGTAGACGTCGACACCGGAGTAGACGGCCTAGTTGCGCTTGTCAGTGCGACTGTCCAGTATGATGGACTGCGACCTTGGGGTAGCGGGACCACAAGCAGGGCCGGTACTTACGCTGTAAATCTGCGGGGCCTCATTGGCGAGCCTCGAGTCCCCTCCATAGGCTCGGTAGCCGCCCTGAGATTGCTGGCTCATTGTAAAGGACTGTTGAGATGATGGCTGTGATTGCGATGCGGAAGGCATCACTGCTGTAGAAGCGGGATTCCCGCGATTATCGTGGTGTCGGGCGGCGGACAAGGACGATTTGCGACGGGAATTGAGGGAGTGGGAGGGTTGACTAGTTGTGAGGGTGGTCGAAGACATGTGCCAGCGCTAGCACATTGGAAGCGAGCAACCGATGGCAAGGCGATATGATCGATAGGCGGAGAAGAGGGGAGAGGGGTGGTAGAGGAACGGAGCTCTAAATGAGTGAGGCGATCAGTCGACGTTGAGAGGTATTGCTTGGCCTTGTAGTTGTAGAGGTCGAGAAGGTGAGGAGGGTATGTATAGAGTGGATTCGGGGGTTGCGCTGATTCGAAATGCGAAATACGTGCAACCGCGGCCGTCTTGTTCCCTTTGGTCTTTGGTTGGGGGCTCGTTGCGTTGTGCGGTGCTTTGCGTTGCGCCACCTTTGACCGGGTGCTTTGTGTGCGGTGCGATGGGTACTATACTCCGTACTATGCGGATGCAGTAGCAATGGGTGGCAGCAGCAGCGATGGAGAAGATAAAGCAGGGCAGCTAGCTGGAGGGATAAGCAGCAGCAGAGCAGAGGCGTGGGTTGTGAGTGGAAGGATGCGAAGGCGAGGTTTGGGTGGTAGGCGGCTATTCTCCAAGGGAGAAAGCGAGAAAGGTCTTTCGGGTTCGAGCAGAGAGCAGAAAGAGGCGGTGGATTTGAGGTTCAGAAAGGCGCAAAAAAAAACCACCCAAAGAAGAAGGATGAGGTTGAGATTGGAGCGTCCAGACAACGACGAACTGGAGAGCAAGTGGATATCTGACAGAGTTCACAACTGCGAGTATTCGTCGCTCGCTTTGGTTGCCGGGTCCGAAAATGAAAAAGGGCCCGCGGCACTGGGCCCGAAATGGGAATTTCAATTAACGGTGTTGGGGACGTGTCTGTTTCGCGAGGGCGTGTCTTGCGATGTGAGCGTGTCGCGCGTCTCAATTTACGGCACGCTGTGCGCTGGAAACCTGGAAGTATGGAAAAGGAACGGGGAAACGGCTGACTCAATCAAGGGTGGGAACTTGGGAAGGGAGGCACGAGATACGGGGGAGGGAGGGGGAAAATTGGTGCTTTCCCATTTGTTGAGCGAAATGCACAGGCCAGTTCTCTCGGTCAACTACGCTACGTACCTATGTATTACATAAGGCACCTTGGGAACGTATCTTCCTGACTGTGCGCCGGGCTCCAGGATGCGGAAGGTTCCCCCCGGGCCCTTGCTCCCTCTCAACGCGTTCTTGGAAGTGGGAGGAAAGGGCGTGACGCGTCTCAATCTCGACTCACCGGGCATTCGCTGCTTCCATTCACGGCCACACTTATCAGACCTCTTATCGCGTTTCTGCCACTTTCCCTCCCGCCTCGAGGGGCCATGGAACTCAAGCATGCATCACTCACATGAAGGAGGGGCAGCCATTTCACTCACCCATTACTTCATACCTAATGGTACAAGACGACGTATTTCATACCTTACTCTCAGTCACCGGTAATAAAGGAATAGCTCACCTTCCCCATTGCTCCTATCAATCTCCAAGGTAGATACTTGATCTTGTACTCGGCGTGATAGGCAACGAAATGAAGTCCGTAGACTTTTCTACTTTTCGGATGATGGTCATGTCACTATTCCTATATATCCACCTTACCTACGGATATGCTCAGTTGTCTTGGTGAATTCTCACGTTCACCGTGAGGTAAGCCGAGCGCCGACACGACCCTATAAAAATGCCCCACACCTGGAGCTTGGGCCAGTCGGTCTCAGCCCAGCCGAACCGACGAGCCAACGGGCAGCAGCGGCGCAAGAGGACGGTGCAGGTCCTGTCAGGGCAGCTTCTTGATGCTCCTCTGCATTGTCATCTGCATGCATCCTGCTCGACATCGCACATGCGTCTCTGCCTGACCTGGCAACAACCACGATGAAGAAAAGACCAGTCTCGCCCTAACCTCACCTTCTGACTGACCCTTCCTCCTTCTTTCGCCGTCCCGTCCTTTGCGACGACGGCCTTCACCGGTACCGCCGCAATGCAGACCCGAATACCTCTACCACGACCAGTGCAACCGTTGCATGTCTACCGTCACCTGCTGCGCTCTGCCACCTACTTCCCTCCCTCCCTACGACCGTTCCTCGACCATCGCATACGAAATGCCTTCCGAGACGAACGAGATAGAATGGCAGAAAGCGAGCTTAGCATCGTCGAGTCCCTTAACCCAGCAGAAGCTCGAGAGAGGGAAGAGGACCGGCGCAAAAAGGTCCTTGCCGACGCAAAACACAAAGTTCCTGTACTCCAGGCTGCCGTTGAAGGCGATCAAACCCGTCTACGACGTGTCATGTGGCATGCCTTCGGCCGACTTGGCAAATCCCGACGCGAGCTTATGGCCTCATTTGTTCAAAAGGCGCCGGACCCCAAGGCCGACCCTGCCGAGCTAGAAGAGGTCGCAAAGAAAAAGGAACAGCTCAAAGAGATGATGAAGAAGCGCGCCAAAGTTCACCCTTGGAACCGCGAATACACCTGGGACGAGCCCACGCCCTGGCTTCGGCAACATCTCAGTCCCATGGAAGAAAACTGGGACCTTCCCAAGCTGGATCGATATCTCAGGGCGCAAAAGAGTCACCAGCGTAACACCACGGGCGCCGCCTTTCCTAGAGGCACAATCGGCGATCTTGATCCAGAGAAAGATGTGCCCGTGAAGGACGGCTGGGGCCGCCCAGTCGCATTGCGGAGAGTGATGAAACTCACAAGAAAGTTCTGGAAGGCCCAGGCCGACAAAATCATGCCTCCGGTATCACAGGCAGATTGGGAGTCTTTGCAGCAGCTCGCATCCGGAGAGGCGCCTCCCGAGATGTACAGGATGCTCAAACGAAGGCCTATCGCCGGCAACTTCATCGAAGCGCCCCAAAATACCATAACCAGCGAGCGGTCTCCGATACTCTCTGACAACGATGGAGATGAATGGGAATCACAGGAACCGTGGGAACCGTGGGAGTGGCAATCTTCCGCCCATATCCCTGCTCGCGATACCGAACGACCAACTCAACGAAAGCTCGAATTGCTCACCGGCAAGAAGGACCTTGGGCCATATTCGCAAGCCCGTCGCCTCCTTCTTGAACAGGATGAGAAGACAGGTCGGCTTCGAATTGAGAATGCCAAACGCCGCGCCTTCTCCAAGCGCGCTGTGCAGCGCGAATATCTCAAAATGTGGCAGGCAACCTCGTATATGAAGGGGACCGAAAACAGACCGGCAAGACCCGTGTGGGGTCGTACGGAACTAACGCTGCCCGTGGTTACTGCTACACATCATCATTTCTTCGAAGGCGTCGATGCTCAAGGTCGCATGTCGAAACTAGAGCGACTCGAGTCTACAAACACCAGCAGCCCTATGCCTGAGGGTGAGAAAGCCCAGTCTAGAGATTCAAAGCAAGTCAGTTCCGGTGGTGAACCTGGGGCAACTAGCGAGCCTCGGTCTAAGTCGCCTGACTCCGAGAAGTCCAGAGCAGCTGGCGACTCTGAAGCAAAGCGCCGTGACTTTAAGCATTCCAGGCCAACCAGACCTCCACGTCAAGTCGACAACACGGCAGGCAGCTTCGGAAACTTCAAATTTTCCAAGCCTAGAGACCAAAGGCCGCGAGACTCAAACAACACCAACTAAGTGACTCTGGGCGAGCATCTTTGACGTCAAGATAGGCGGACAAAGACATTGGTTCTACCGATGTCAAGTCGCCGCTAACATATCCATCAAGCCAAAGGCGCCCAGGGAGCTAGAGTGCCGAGGGAATCAAGAGTCCGAATATCAGAATGGTCGAATCATTCTACTTAGAGGCAAACGAATACCACAGGTAGTGGAGCGGGACATCTCAGAAAGGGGTCTTATGGAGTGGCTGGTTTTGCTGGTCTTCATACTTTAACGATGTATTATATGGTTGTAACTATTTGTTTTTCCTTTGATAGAGACTGGCTCTCCTCACGAATCAAGCAAGCCAGCCAGCTTCGGCAGGGCGTCGCCATCGACGCGCATGCCGACCCAGTTGTTCATGGCCTTTGCGCCAATGGATTCATAAAACTTGATACTCGGCTCGTTCCACTTCAGGACGGACCACTCGAGCCGCCCGCCCTCCATGGCGACGACCTCCTTGGCCAGCTCGACGAGCAGCCGCTTGCCGTACCCCTTCTTGCGCTCCGACAGGCGCACGTAGAGGTCCTCGAGGTATACACCCGGTTTGGCGCGCCAGGTGCTATAGTTGTAAAAGTAGAGGGCCATGCCGACGCCCTCGCCGGCCTCGTTGAAGAGGAGAAGGCACCGCGCGGGTTTCGACGGCGATGTGGGCTCCGTCTGGGGTTTGCCTGGCGTGTAGCTGGTCGCCGTCTGGGAGGAGGGCGCAAAGGCGATTGTGGCGCCGAGGGTCTCTTCTGTGGCGAGGACGCTGTCGAGCTCGTGCTCGTATTCTGCGAGCTCTTTGATGAGGCTTAGGATGGTGGGGATATCTGGTGGGGTGTTAGTCCTGGGTCCGTTGTTCTGATAGCGGAATAGCTCCTCTTCACTTACCCTCCCGGCGGGCGTGTCGGACAGATGCCATCTTCACGTCTACTGAATGGTCGATATTGAAGTTCTATGATGAGTAAGATTGCGAAATTGGTGACTGGTAGAGCCTCATATGTCGTGATCGTAATGTGGTATATGTACCTCTACTGTATACTACTCTTGTATCCATAAGATGTTGAGAAACGATTGTCAAGGGCGCGCCTCATGTCATGTGGTGGGGAAGCTTGCATGCAAGTCCCCCTCAGTTGTCCCGGCAGAATTGAGTCGCGGTTTTCACCGCCTGCTGGAATGTTTCACATGAGCTCTCACGATAATGCTCATTGGTTTTCCAGAGAAGCAAGCCATGATGAGTCTCTATAGGTTTCCATGGTATCTCAATGAACTGACGAGGTGTCACAAAAAATGAAATCGCCAAGAGCATGGGGTGCGATTGTGGAGTTGAGCAGCCAAATCACTCTGATCGTGAATTACAAAGCATCAGCGTTTCATTCCGTAGGCCCCGGTCGACTGACTTATTACACTGTCATAAGTCAAGTCATCAATGCAGGTACTGGTAGATAAACGAAACTTTCTCTCACCTTCACATCTCAATGGCGTTTTGCTACTCACATCTAGATGTATGAGGTTCGTCGTTAGCACGGGACTTGAGACTGATTTCCGGCGGGAGAACCCAATACCACAGCTCCTATCGTCGCCGACACCGGGCCGGCAAGAGTTGATAAGTTGATGTTAATACACCCAATACCGCTTCACAATTGGACCGAGAGTGTCCTTATCCTTGCCCAGTGATGATGACATGGACAATGTTCCCGCACGCCATTGACTGAGCCGTCTGAACCCCCCAGAGCGTCCTCCTCACCCCACACATTTCTACAGTGAAGGTAGGTAGTACGAATTAAGGTCCTTGGCTTGGTTCAATGGTATCCCCCCACCCCAGCCATCGGTCGCATCGGCGGTTTTCCGACCTGCCTGTTGCGCAATTCGACCCTGCGATGCGCAAAGCAAGCTCCCCGCACCCCGACGAATCCCATAAAGATGCCGATGGTGGGATTGAAAGTGCGAGGGTTGGAGCTTTGAGAAGCTTGGCCTGCTTTACTGTGCGATCATCAGCTGAAACGAAACCAATCCCCCAATCCCGTCGGAGCTTCTCAAACTCTCAAACTCACACAACGGCTTTCATCTCATCTCGAGGTTTACCTCAGCTTGCTTTATAAGCTATAAAACCAAGCTTATCGCCCAACGTCTTCTTTCACTTCTGAGATTCTCCATTGAGGCGTTCCTCATAAAACACCAACCACACCAATGATCATGCTCCTCCCGCCACCGAACAAGACCCTCAAGGGCCACAAGCTGCTTGTTCTCTCGCAATTCCCGCTGCCGCAGGAGTGGCTCGACAGGGTGCACGCCGAGTTTCCCGACCTGAAGGTGGTGCATCACGAGCTGGCTTGGGCTGATAAGAAACCGAAAGATAGCTTCAACCACGACGAGTGGAAGGACGTGACGATCCTTCTGACTGGCAGCGCCCTGCCCGCCATCGAGGACGCGCCCAAGCTGCACTACGTCCAGCTTCAGAGCGCCGGCGCCAATCACATTCTCAAGGACCCGTTATTCAAAGATACGGATGTGAGCTTTTGCACGGCCAATGGTGTCCATGGGTGAGATTTGTCTTGAGGGTTCCCTGGCTGGAGGACTTTTTTACTGATGTGAGGACTGTAGACCCCAGATTTCCGAATGGATCATCACAACGTTCCTCTCATTCCAGCATCAACGTAAGAGACATCTCATCACAAACGTAGGCATTCCCGGAATCACTCATCTGACCTCAACGCCCAGTTCCTAAATACATCGACAACTACCGCTCCGGCCACTGGCAACGCGGCAACGATTTCGTAGAAGACGCAGTCGGCCGCACAATGTAAGTCTCTCATCCATATCTAATCCGCAGACCCCGTTCTCACAAACACCACCGCAGAGGCATCCTCGGCTACGGCAGCATCGGCAGACAAACCGCCCGCGTCGCCACCGCCCTCGGCTTCAAAGTCCACGCCTACACCCTCCACCCGCGCCCAACCCCCGAATCCAAGCGCGACGACTCCTACACGCCCCCCGGGCTCGGCGACCCGGAGGGCAAGTTCCCGTCCAAATGGTTCTCGGGCGCCTCCAAGGCTGACCTGCACGCCTTCCTCGGTTCCGGGCTCGATTTGCTGGTTGTCGCGACGCCGTTGACGGATAAGACGAGTCACTTGCTGTCGGCCGAGGAGTTTGGCATCCTGGCGGAGAAGAAGACGTTTATTTCGAATATTGCGCGTGGTCCGATTATTAATACGGATGATTTGATTACCGCGCTGGAGGAGGGGACGATTCGTGGGGCGGCGCTGGATGTTACGGATCCGGAGCCGTTGCCTGATGGGCACCCGCTTTGGAAGGCGAAGAATCTGTTGATTACGCCGCATATTAGTGGGTTATCTACGAGTTATGGGGAGAGGGTCTTGGGGATTTTGGAGTTGAATTTGAAGAGGTTGAGTGAGGGCAAGAAGCTGGCTAATCTTGTGAACAAGAGGGAGGGATATTAGGTCGCTAGTGAGAGGATGGGTTGCGGTGCTTGTTATGTAGAGGACTGTAATCTGCGATGAGTTGATGAAAGCTAGAAGAATGTCATAAGTTGTGTTCAAGCATCGACATACCCTCGTATCACCACTACCATGTTTCAAAAACCTTTTCTAGCTCAGATTTCACGTCGCATACTAAAGCAAGGGCGTATAGCTTGCGTTACTCAATTCGAAATCTTAATGTTTTGCAACTGCCAGCGGCCTTTAATTACGAAGACATCCATTTTCATACAAGGATGCCACGAAAACATCGCTGTCGCTGCCACTGTCGTCGACGCATACCAACTTCCTATGAAGTGGAAACTACTAGTGATTTCACTTCTACTCCTCCTTTCAGCTCACCATGACCGCGCAATCAGACTGCTGCAACTACAGGAGTAGGCCCCTTCTGGTCAAACGTCTCGTAATGCGTTGATGGTTGGCCTTCACTAGCATCCTCAGTGCTATCACTATCCTGAGCTTTGCGGATCCTCTTCTCCCTAGCACAGAGTTAGCTCTTGACCTTTCACTTCTCTACATCAGTAACACTTACCCATGGGAGCCCAGCAATACTCTCACAACTTGCGTCATGATGACCAGGAGAACCACCATAACGGCAGAGTACACATAGCCCTTGGGAAACCTCGGGGCCTCAACAGTCGGGTATACAAACAGCGGGATCCACGCATTCGTAGACGTGGCGATAGCCGTCATGAGGATCAAGGTCAATGCTCTCTCTTCAATGTTGTGTTTAAGAATGATGTTGGCCCATCCGTACAGCACCGAGGAGACTGCGACCGCAGAGTACGTGGTGCTAAATGCATACCACTTCGCGGCTTCGGGCACGTTCCAAATAGCCAATATGACCAGCCCCGAGAAGTTGACTGCCGACGCCAGGGTAATAGCAGCGGGTCGTCCAATCCACAAGTCTGCGCTAAAGTTGATGAATAGCACAAAGAAGATTCCCAGCCCAGGGCTAAGCGCAGCCAGGTTATTCATTTGAGCGGTGCTGTATCTACCGAGACTCTTGATCCAGAGCAAAAAGGCGGCGCTGTTTGCACTGGTGTTGAAAAAGAGTATATCCCAGATGATCAAGACGTAGAATCGCCAATTCGTAAAGACTCGCTTCAATAGGCTGAGGGAGAAGGGTGTGCTCTTGACTGATGCGCCAGCCTTTTCCAGACGCGAGCGTGCCAGGTCTAGTTCGGACTCCTTCATGAGCAGCTTGTTTGGCTTTGCGGGTGTGCCGGGCCAGACAAAGTATCCGATTACTGCGAGAGGGAGTGTGATGATTGCGTTGATGATGAAGAGCCAGCGCCAACCGGCCAGGCCGTGTGTTCCATCGAGGTATGTCACTGCTGCGGCTTGCAGTAGGGATGCTGTCAGGGTACCGAGGGTGAGACCGATGTAGAAGATGCCTCCTCTTCGGCCGATTTCGTCACTTCGATACCATGAACCGAGGACAAAGTGAACGCCCGGGAAGTACGAGGCCTGTTTTGTACGTCAGCTTCAATCCAAGACGGATGGTGCAAAAGAGAGGGGCTCACTTCAAAGATGGCCACCATGAACCGATATGCCATGATTTCCGCATAGCTCTGGGCGCGGTACTGTAGCAGAGTGAACAGCCCCCAACCTAGATCTAGGGTCGGAACAAGCACGTGCATCGGGACTCTCGGGAACAGGTAGATAAACGGCAAGAGACCGACTACATTGCCCACGACGAAGATGGTCTGGAATTGGACGAGCTCATTGCCGTGAAAGCCGAGCTCATCGGCCATTCCAGAAACGTAGGCATTGTCTTTATTGTTGTTAGCGGCAATGGAAACCCTTCAGAGTTCGTCTTGAAGGATTGCCTACTGATGTTGATCTGGTCAATGTACTTAACCCAATAGATGATGCTGCGGGTGTATGGTCAGTCTTGTCGAACAGAACATGCAGAAAGATCGAGACATACAAAGCATAGGGTACGATGAGAAAGTCGAGTTTGAGGATCAGCTTTCTCTCTTCAGGGCTATCGGTCGGTGCAAACCAGTGGTACCAACGGCGAACCGACGGAGTTGACATCGCGTAAGAGTTTGAAGTCGTATTTGGGCTTGCAACAGTACCGGACGGAACTATCGATTGCAAGACATCATCTTCTATACCAACGAGTATTTATCATGGCCAAGTTCGACCAAGTCTCGTATAATGCTTGGTTGAAGTCGTCAATGCCGTACCTGAGCACATCACCGACAACCGTGGGTCGGGCTTCTCCCGATGAGGATCCAGACTCGCGTACCCATGACGGAAAGGTTCGGCAATAAAAAGAATGTAGTTATTTACCCGATAGCTTATCTGGTCATCATATCTGTAAGGTGTGGTTGGACGACGACCTTTCCTCTGGATATCGTTTAGACGTCTTACCGGGGGTGTTGAGGATGATGCCATCCCGTGTAACATTGCGCGAGCGGGTACGCGGCAGTTGGCCATTTTCTTTCCGCGCAGAAGCGTAACTCCTGGTTAGAAGAGATCCTACAGTAAGTTTAAGGCCCCGGATTCTGTATCTAAGGTCCTCAACATCTGCCCACTGTCCCCATGCCAAGCCCATTGTGGGCTACAAGTTTGCCTTCCGAGCCAAAGGTGGTCATTCCCAATACTGCTTTAAAGTTTGTGCAGGGTTCGTCACTCTGCTGTGGCCTAAACAGGAAATAGCCAAGATTATAGAGGCTCATTTGGATATCACTAGCAGCTCATCTTCATAAGGATCCCTAAAGTTTATTGTTTAATACTGTAGATTGACCGACCTTGCATACTTGCCGTCTGGTTTCTCTCGTAAAGGCCTCATAAAGGCCGAAGGTGGAACCGGCAACAGCAGGATGACAAGGGTTGCTATTCCTAGCAATTGAAAGCCATGTGTAGCGCAAAGCGCGTAATTGCACGTAGGCAACAATTGCATTGATCATAAACTGAACCGGAGTTTGTTCATGTAAAAGCCTTTGATTCACGAGCTCAGGTAACAGGAATGATTTAGGCTATCTTGTTTAAATTGAGACGTGGCAATGGAAAGCCAGGCTAAAGAGTGAAGACTCTACAGCAATGTCAAGCTGTTGAAGCCCCCTAGTCGCTACCATTGGCGCCGGCAGCAATGCAGGCGTTAGAGAAGCCATCGCCGTCCATCTGCTTGCCGGGAGAGTTGCAGACACGGTGACCATCATCATCACCGAGCGTGCAGTCGGAGCAGAAGCCGGGGCAGACCTTGTTGGTCGCAGCATCATTCTAGTCCAGTATTAGTTTCTTTGTCTCAATCCTCAAGGCTTTGGGGAGAGGTAAGAGCTTACGGGGAAGGGGAAGATGAATTGTCCGCTGCCGGAGGCAGTGATGCAGTGAAGCTGAGTGTGATGCTTGGCGGTGACACTATTGAATCACTTGTTAGCAACAAGATTTAAGAAACTAGTAATCATGTCCTTGTCGTGGTCATAACAGAATAAGAAAAGAAAACACGAATAGGCAAAGAAGAATGGATGCAGCCTACCCAGTTGCGGTAGCGAGGATGAAAGTCATCATGGCGGTAACGGTAGAGAACTGCATTTTGAGAACGAAGTAGGTAGGTTGATAAAGTGAGTGAGTGAATGTTGAAGCGACTGTTGACTGTTTGAGTGAATTGTGAGTTGATAGAATAATTGTCGAAGAGAGGAATCTGTAGATCTTAAGTAGCCATTGCTTGACATGTCAGCAAGTCATAGCCATAGGGTTGAACATGGTTGAAGCAAACGCCGGATTCAACTAGATCGGGACTCCAGTGATTCCCGGTACTGCCGCAAGGCTGAGATGTGCGATGATCTTGTTCACGACTCAAGAGAATGGTGAACTGGAGACAAGGCGTGGCCTGAGCCACGGCAGGGAGCGAATGCGAGAGCGAAAGTGGGAACAAGAGGCAATGAAACCCACGACTCGACGAATAATTCTGCTATTGCTTTGAGTCGTCCACAATTGAAGCTTTTGTCCCGGGAAATCGGAACATGAAAAGCTTTGATAATTGAGCCATGCTGATTGTTCATCTCATAGTCAATCACGGATATTGTCCGCCGCCGCGGATCCATCTTACCTTACCCAGCCCACAAAGTCAGGCAGCGATCATACCATATGATCTAGTTATACGAGCTGAAGCTCTAGAGACTCGTCATCCTTGCACGGGCAGTGGTTTCAGTTCAGATCGAATTAGGAAAGTATTCGCCTGTAGGAGCGTTACTTGATGCAAAACGCTAACATTTTCTACGTGGCCCCAGGCCATAAATGTATTTACTGAGGAAAAATTTACATGCATGGATCCGATGAACCCGAAATGATATTGCAACATAGTGGGTATCGTAACATGATGCCGTTACCCGTGATCATGTGCACACCTCTTCCCTTTCTTGCTTTTAAAGCCCGACCTTGTTAACTTCATTCCATCAACTTAGACGCACTGAGAGTACCAGTCGTTGACAAGCTGGCATTTGCCGGAGGCGCAGGTGGTGGCACCAGAGTAGCCCTGGCCACCGCACTGGCCGTAAAGGGCAACGGATCCAGAAGTCGCAGCCTCAGAAGCCTTAGGCGCAGCAGAGGTAGATGCTACGGGAGCGGTCGAGGGAGTAGTCTCGACGGTATCGGCGGTCTCGGCAGCAGCCTCAGTTGTAGCATCGGAGGAGGAAGAGGAAGCGCTGAGCTTGCCCATGCCGGCGTTGCTGGGGACGGTGGTCTTGATCGCGCTGCCAGCTGCGGCGCTGGCAATGGTAAGACCATCAAAGTCGCTAAAGAAGGAAGTGTCGGTGTACTTGAAGGCGTCGGTGGTGTCCTCAAAGACGTTGAGTTCGCACGCTCTGCCCAGCGCAGTCTTGCACTCGGCAGCGCTGGTCGCATCAGGAGCGGTGAAGAGTTTGCCCTGGTAGTCGGAGACGAGCTGCTTGACGTTGATGAAGGCGTTGCCCTCGAAAATACCGCGAGCGGTAGCCTCGCCACCCTCAATGGCGTGTCCCTTGGTGTCCTCCCAGACGTTGTTGACGGCGTGAAGCAGGGTGGAACCGCTCAGGGCGGGACCACGGCCGGCGGTCATGTACACGTAGTTGTTCTTCATGGTGATCTGGTCGTCCTTACCAACCATCTCGAAAGTCCAGTAGTGGTATCCATCGCAGCCAGTGGAGTAGGTCGAGTTTCCGTTGATGAAGTTGTTGGACAGGGTGATGCGCTTGCTAGCAGTGAAGCCGAACACGTAGTGCTGGCGACCGGGACGGGTAGTCTCGAATTCAAGTCAGCTTTGAATTACAAATACTTAGATTACGGTAGAACTTTACTCACCGTGACGTGGTCGACCCAGACAAGGTCAGCGCCGGCGAAAGACAGAGCATCACCGCCCCAGACGTACTTGTGGTTCAGGTCGGTAATCTCAATGTTCTGGATAATGACATTGCTGCCCTGCATCCTCAATCCCTTGCCCTTGATGACGCCCTTGTTACCGACACCGATGATAGTCTTGTTGGATCCGACGTCGATAGGCGTACGAGCGGCCTTGTACCAAGTGTCCGTCTCCTTGGTGGCGCTGCCACAGTCGTCCAGGATGATTCTCTGGCAAGCGGTGCCGGTGCCCCAGTTGGCGCATGCCGTGCCGGTCTCCGTGCCCTCGGACTCGGTAAAGTCATACTCTTGAGAAAGAGCAATGACACGAGGCTCGTCGTCGGTGAGGTACTTTGTCAGCTCGTCAATGTCCTTGGGCGTGACGGCGGCAAGACTTCCACCGCCGGTAACTCCGGCTGCGAAGCCTTCCGCCTTTCCGCTCACGGTCTGAGCGGAAGTCAAATTGGCGACGGCTGCCAAGACTGCCAAGATGGTTGAAGCCGACTTCATTGTGTCCGGAAGAAACGCGGAACCCGCGGAGAAGGCGAAAAACGTTTATAAAGACTGGGAAGAAAGGAAGGTGGTTAATGGCGAGTTCCAGAACTCAACGAATGGACAGGCTCGAATAAGACAATTCGAGACAAAACAAGTGAAAGAGAGACTTGAGGGTGACCCAACAGCTAGAGAGAATGGATTGTGAAAAACCGAGCCTCAACACATCTTTGAAAGGACGCAGCCTCTGATAAAGCATCGATGCTAGCCATTTCTCGTATGCGAATACGGTCAAGCCCGTTGGCTCACAAAGAGGAGGAATCTTTCTACCTGGAACAGACTACGCCTGTCACTTTAATTTAACTGACAGATCGAATAGGTGTAAGGCGCCCCCCAAGAGCCCTATGATTGGTTAGTTACAGTCTTGCTGCGGTGCGTGCGCCCTACGCGCCCCCCTGAATGGGACACAGAGTCTGCTCGATTGAGAATAGTTACGTCTCCTCCACGGCCCCATATGCCAAATGTAAGCAAATATCTACGGAACTTTCCAACCATGTTCTTCTTGGGCAAGTCATTCGTGATGCTAGCTACTGAACCCGCGCGGCCTTTCTCCGACGCGGAAACCACCTCGACCCAAGGCAGCTCACACTCGCAGCCGTCAAATCCATCAAAACATGTTTCACATCGCAATTATCTCAGCAAGTGCGGGAGGAAATCGGCCGATCGATGCCGTACCAAGCCAAAGGGATGTTTCGCTGTGAGAGGAAACTGAGGTTAAAGGCCTAAAGGAGCCGGGGACAAGAGCCTCTAAACTGAAGTACTGGCAGGGGTCACTCTCGCATTCGCATTTCTTCGTGATAGAGGAGCTTCTGTCTTGCCAGTAGCCAGCAGCGGCTTCTCCGTCGACGGCTAAGAAGCCAACGTGAACGCGTAGATGTTCGCAACTTGAGAATCTGTCTTGTTTAGTTTTTTGTGTAACCATATTTCTGACGGACTTCAATTCCCGATGCTTTTCAGCCATCGTACTACTCTCAGTTATTCGGAGAGCGTACCCCGCTTGCCCCAGACTCGGTGGACCTCACACAAGCACTATGGAGCGGTCTCAAGTTACATTTTAGTTAGTAGCAGTAGTACAGCATACCCGAGTCTATCCCGTAGTGGGCGATTAATTAAACATGCTAAATATGCTGAAGGGAACGGCACGAGATCCAATATCAAGCCGGCCCATCAATCAGGGGCAAGGGGTGGCATAAGCAGACGAGGAGACGGGATATGTCCGAAAACATTGCAGTTCGTTCTTGCACTGGAAATAGCGTTAGTGCAACTGCCAAATCAGGGCTAGAAATTTTTGTAAAATTGTCGGATATTACATGTCACGCATATCAATCTGGAAAACTCAAACAAACATGCAGCGCATTTTGATGAGGTCGAGAACGAATATGCGGTTGCTGTCGTTGTTTCTTGTCACATCTTGCCGAAGGTCTTGGCACGAGCATTGAGGTGGATTCGCGACTGTGCTCGTTTGTTAACGTGACCTCCTTCGTCGGCATTGAGAGGGTTATGATTGCAGGCATGCATCTTAATCACCTTGGCTCAGTCGCGTCTCAAGTCAAAGCTCTGCATGCAGATTTGATTTGCGTTTTCAGTGACCAAAAGTCAGTAAACAAATGGGAACATCTTGGCTCTTGTCGTGTTGTAAGCAGTATGGTCTGTACGGAGTTAAAACGACCTTGGTTGTACGAAGATATATCATGCGAGTATATAATGATTTTGAACAGAATCGCACGCACAAACCGTCGTGAACATAATCTACTGGCAAATTTAGAGGCAGAACTTTACGATCTAGATGTCGTTGCTGAACCTGAGGATCGATTCGCCCTTAGTCCAAGGCTTCGTCTCTCATCGCCAAGCGCTATTTGTGACTTGAGGCTACACGTAGGCAACTACTAGGGATTAATTTCGAAGGATCTTTCCGAGAAACACGTCAAACTCAAAGCTTGTCTTCCCATTCAATTCTGATGGGGTCTCACTTCAAAAGATCGTTTCGAAGGACCACATTGGGGTAGCTGTTTCAAGCCAAAGTCTCTGTCGCTACCGTACCATGCGACGGGGGACGTTCACTTCCGGCCCGGCCCAGGGATGATGCGGATCCATTGTCCACGTGTTGCTGGGTGTGCGGGACGGGCACTCCCGGGGCTGGGCACGAACGCCACGTGGGATACCGGCGAGCAGTTGCTAGCGCGGTCCGCGTGCGATGTTTCCAACGCCTTCCGTACTGCATCGTCGCCTCTTTCTATGCTAGTGGCCAGCTATGTTTGACTTGAAAGCCAGCTCAAAGGTCGTTTTCGAGTACAATCTTTCTCCTTGACGCCATCTATGTAGATCTAGACTAGAGCATAACAGAGACCCCTTAGGTCCGTCGGCTCCTGTCTTTCAGCTAAGGTCCCAAATGGGGAAATCTGTGAGGCAATCGTAAATTTGACCTTCGTGCCTCCCGAATCTCCAGTAGAAAGTATGAGTTTGGGATTAAATGTAAGGAACGCGTGCCATATGAGTTTCGGCAATTCGCAAGTACCGGATACGTTATAAACTCTAGCGTACTACGTAAGTGTGTTTTGAGGCACTCTGTTTACTCTTAACTAGCGGCTAATACTGCGTTCTCCCAGTTCACTGCTTACATACCGAATTGCTCAATTCGAGGTGGCGATAGGTGCAGCGTGCATGTC